GGGGGTGAAGAAGAAGAAGAAGAAGAAAAAAAAAAAAGGCGGGATCAATGCTCAAAATTTTGCAATGCAATGACAACTCTATCAAAATTCCTTACATTTTGTTAATGTTTTGAAAACAACTTCCTTTTTATCGAGGTTGTCGCCGCCCTTTTCTCATCTCTCCCACCCCTCATCACATACCTCTTCTCATCTCGTTGAAGACAAAAAAAAAAAAAAAAAAAAGAACCTTTCCCACCTGAGTTAAACTAGCTTCCCGTTCCTACCCGCACCCAGCGTGCCACAAATTTCTTTTATGTCTGCTACATCATAATCTTATTTACGATACCCGTTTGCTGTAACACGTCAAATGTACGGTGGCCCTTTTTTTTTTTTTTTGGAGATTTAAGGGAAGACCAAGATAAAATGGTACACTGTCTCATAATAACGGTTTAAAATGGCAAAAAAAAAAATAACTAGACTTTGCCCTTTTTTTTGGTATAGACTATTATTCTCAAAGCCAATTATAATAGTCAACAACACCCTTTTCTTATTTTGATTGCTCTATCAAATATTTTATTCGAAAGAGAGAAACTTTGGTCCTGTTTTTGATTTACAGTTTTACAATGTCCCGGTATGTAGCAAAAAAAAAAAAAAACTATTTTGAAATAAATAAATAAATAAAAAAAAACTTTACTTAGCGACTGTTAAGAATACACACACCCTACCATTACATAATAAAAAACAGGAGTTTCTTTTTCGTATGTTTCCAATTTGGTGTTTTTGTATAAATCAAAAGATTTTTTTTCAATAAAAAAGGGGAATTAGAGAAAATTCCCTTCTTTACTTTTCAAAAAGTAATGGCTAACTATTATTACTCAAAGTATTATATCCAACTTTAAATATCAAAGAAAACTCATAATGGGGTGGCTTTTCATACCGGGGGAAATGCCAAATAACTGTAAAATATGTTGTTCAAATATCTAAATACCGATTCTCCGGGAGCAGTCTAGAAAAAAAAAGGGGAGAAGGCTTCTTGTCTTTGATCTTATTCAACACACGTTTTTTTTTTTAACAAAAAGAAGAATATCTACAAACTTGGGCGATGTTTTTAACTTTTTCAGATTGCCATAATATTGTAAATACGTAACGCAATTGTTCTTACATTAATACCCACCCAAGTCATTTTTTTTTTATGTTTTTGCTTATGGAAATAAGGTTAATAGTAATATGTAAGGGAGAATCAAAAAAGTCTATTACAGATCTATGGCTTGTTTAAAACCCATGTAAAATAAGCTTATTAATTTAACAACCTCTCCCTCTCATTTTTTACTCAAAACAGAATAACTTAAAAAATTCATTGCCCGAAAAAAATTCACTGTAAGCCTTTTTGTTCGCTAAATTTATTTATTTTTTTCTTTTCTTTTGTTTTAATTTTTTACTTTAAACAAATATAATTTTAAGCTTTTTGGTATATAAATTCCCCATTAAAAACTGTCGATCACTTACACTAAGTCAAAAAGATCTTAAGCATATGTTCTGTTATCCAGCTTCTAGAAAATGTATGCAAAGAATCAACACAAACTGTAGCATTGTCAATTCATGCTTCTATGCTAAACCACAAAAGCACGAGTACCAGAACAGAACAGAACAAACATTGAACGCCTTCTTCTTTTTTTTTTTTCATGTGCCTAGAACTAAACATGGAATGAAACTTCAACTTATGGGGAATGTTATGGAATCTAGAAAGAAGCAAAAAGTGCATGTGATATCACTGACAAAGGAAAATAGACCCGATAATAAAAGACGTTTTTTTTTAGAATGAACAAAAGATAAATTGAGTATGTGTATCCGTTATTCAAAGGAGCATTAATCCTCAAAACAATCATCTGCAAGTTGATCACTTGTTAAAATACGAAAAGAAAAACAAAGCACAAAGAAGCCTTTTCATACCTTGTGGAACAAACAAAAAAACAAGTAGCCTAAAAATGGGTAATGCTTCATTATCAATATTATGGAGAGGAAAAGAAGAAGAAGAAGAAGAAGAAGAAGAAAAAAAAAGCTTATCAAAGTTAAAGAATAACAGTGCACCACCTTTGTAAATCTTTCTGCAGAACTTCATATTTGAACACGGCAGACTTTTTATGATTATAACACAGACGATGCTAATATATTCCGTTGAAAAAATCATACGATTCTAATCCAGATATTAATAATATCTACCCGAAAAAAATTAAGAAAGGGAAGAAGAATATTGTACATTAATTAATTACTACCTTTAACGTTTTTTTCCCCCTTTAAGTGAAGCTTTTTTTTTTTTCATTTCAAACAAACATGGTTCATGTAGATGATATACATATTAAATTTCCACCCACTTTACTTACTTGCCTTTTCTTTCAGTTTCAATTGTTTTCATTTATTGTTCTTTATCATACCTAGCTGTCTGAGCTTGGCCTTGCAATTGAAAGAAAAAAAAATGATGGGCCAATTCGTATTTTTTTATCCATGTTTTTATCGAAATATATTTGCTTATAATGCCATCCACTCTTGTTCCAATGTATTGGGAAAGAATTCTTAGCTATTAAAATTTTGCGTATTTTATGATTTCACTGCTTGAAGTTTTTTTTTTTTCATTTGCTTCTTTTTTTCAAAAGAAAACAAAAAAAAATACCCACCAGGCCTCGTTTTATTTTTTCTTAAAATAAAAAACGCTCAAATTTCAAGATTAACTCTATACTACGTAGGAACCAGCTGGACCCAAGAACAAAAGAAATAAAAAGAAGCACCTTTTTAATTCGGGGGGCTATAAAAAAAAGGATGAATGGTATGTAGAAAGAGGGAAAAAGTTTCAAGCGTGGGCTATCATAAATAGAAAGATTATCAAGACATGGCGATTGAATCATTTCTCTTTTTCCATTAAAGCACAAGTTTTTTTAATACACCTAATCAAAGTCTTTCAACCTTAATCATGTTTTTGCAATGTAACATTCAAATCAAGTATCCCTTTTTTTTTTTGTTTTTACTCATCTTTATCAACTGTTCTTTAATTTTTATCTCTCTCCCTTATTTTTAATTTATTTTTAATTTTTTTTTGCAATATAATTCGTTCAAAACACATCTGCTAAAAGGGCCTAACTATTGAAAACGTTAAACTGGAAACTATGGTATATAAGGGATCATAAAATCATAAAATCAATACACTGTATTAAAATCTGTGTATTAAAATCTAACAATTTAAAGTAAAGCATATGCTTATCCACACCGTCTTTAAACCCTTTATCATATCGTTCTCCCCCCTTTCTGGTTATTACAGTATCTTCGTTACATCTTATGAACAATCTTTCCAAAAAAGATGACTACAGAACAAATTTCCAATTTTTTTTTGTGATCTCTAATTCCCATAATTAAAACTTTGCATTTTTTCACATTTCGGGAAATTACTACCAAGTACATATACCTTGAATCAATTGACCTTTATTGTCATTATTGATATTGAAAATGGATATAATTATCTTCCTTTTTGAAATATTTTTATTCTTTTTTTTCTTGCTTTACAAAATCTAAATTGGATAATAACAACAACAGAAAAAAAAAAACCAATCCATAGCCTAGGTCGTAAATCTTTTTTTTTTTTTTTTTTTTTTTTTTTTTTTGGATCTGTATTAGTCACTGGTTAATAATAAAAATGGGAATTAAGGTATCGGTGCAGAACTTCGAAATATCGTGTTAATCACACAAAATTCTTTTTCTTTTTTTACAAAAGGGAAGGGGAAGCAAAAAACTTTAAAGCTGTCTTTGTGAGAAGTGGAAAATAAGAGGATTAACCCAAATAATAATATAAATTTATTGATATTAACCTTATATGGCTCAGAAACAAAATCAATGGAGCCTACGGGAATAGAGAAAGTCAGGTATCGAGTTAGAATGTTTTGGAAATAAAAGCGAAAAGAAAAGAGAACAAAATGAAGGACCCAAATCTGAATCCAGACTTCCACATTAAAGCAAAGAAGTGTGTCTATTTTGTTTTTTGATTTTATTTTTGGGTACCACAGGTCAAGTTTTTGTGGAAGCAATTCCAGAGTGTATGTAAGTTTTCCCTTTTTTTTCCTCAAAAAAATTTAAATTTTATTATATTCAGAAACATGCTGATAATATTTTTTTATTGTTTTTATAGAATAAACGATTTTCTCTCACTTCACTCTTTTTTTATTTCCAATATTTTTTTGGTGCGCGCAATCGTAATAAATCCTAAATTTATTATGTTGATTCGGTTATTCAATAAAAATGAATCTAGAGACTCACAAAAATTATGGATATAATAATGAGTGAAATTTGTTTAAATAAAAAATTAGAAAATTTTAAATAAATCTTGATAAAAAAAAGATTCATGAGAAAAATAATGATTTAGCCAGACCCCAATTGTTTTTTTTTGTTTAAGTCATTTGTTTTAAACAATAATTTTTTGTTTATTCAACTTATAACTTCTTTTGTAATTCTTTCAATTTTAATTGGGTATTTGAAAATTTCTCTATTATATTGTTGTTGTAACAAAAGGGTCTGTTTCAAATTTCATTAACAGATGTGGTTCTGAAAACTTATTAGTATTGTAAATTTAAATGTAGAATAAACAAATTTGTTAATATTAGCTTGACCAATAAATAATGGTATTTTTTTCTCATATCATTTTCCATCAAAACTTTTCACCAATAGCAGTGTTAAAACTGTTTAAAAAGTTTAATCTATATTATTAAGGTTTCTATTTGAACAAAAAAAATCAGTAACTCCAAACCAGGATAGAGGGTGACGATATGGCTATCTGTTAAGACATTGACTATTCGGATTGTTTTTAGAAATCATTGGGTACTACTACACACACATATTTGTCCCAGAACCTCATTAATTCTGGATTCAAAGTTGATGTACTAATATTATTAATTATATATATATATTGAATGTCTATGTGCAGTAATAAATCTAATAAAAAAAATTCTAAACGAAGAATGAAAATAACTTGTTCTCAGTTATTAAAACTTGATAAATGCAACCTCAGCCAAATCCCTCACACTTTGAACAACCAATATGCTTATAAGAAAAGCGTCACAAATCCTATATGGAAGAGGCGCCAGATGAAACCACATCAATCGTGGAATAGTCCAATAGTAACTATTTAGTGTATCCACTGCTAACGAGGCGTCTACAGTAGAGTTTTCAAAAATTTGAAAATAAAAGATACAAAGAACCACCAAGAGCAGTTCCTGACCATGTTGGCCAACAACACCAATAGTGTTGATCAAACTGTAATCATGGAGAGTTTTGTTGGTCCGATGGTGGTCATTGTGGTCATCAGTTTGCAGTGATTGTTTGGGTTCTTCATCAGTTGCTGAAGATACCGCCCCAGTCGTAGATGCTGTTGTAATTTCGAGTGAGCTAGTAGAAACGAGGAAAATAAATACAGCAATTGCAAGAGAGGTAAGAATACCTGGAGATTGGGACATAAACCACGACCACCATCCGCCAAAAATGTCAGATCCAGGTTGGTTTGTTTCAGTGTGGAGTGGGGCAAAATAAATCAGTGAGGATAAAAGTAGGGCCAATATGCTTAATAGAATTTGCGCAATAGACGTGAGATAAACCCTGTTTTTAGTTAAGGCAAATTGGTAATAATGAAACGCCATGCTAGAAAGAAACAAAACAGTGAAGAGTCCTGGGTATGCAGTCACTTGCAATAGCAACGATGATTTGTCACATGTCTTGGCCAGGTATAAAACCAGGGTATATATTGTGCCTATTAAGATGGCAAAAAAGGTAAATTTGAGTGTTTTAAATCCGGTTCTGGTTAATGAAATTGGATCCTCGGAAGGGTGGTAATGTCTGATGGCAAACTGGGTTTGCCTTAAAAGCAAGAAAAAGAGCCAGCTAAAAAAAGAAGTTAGCACCAGAACTAGTGCAAACTCTTTTTCAGATTGAAAGATTAAAAATGATGGACTCAAAGGCTTCTGCATCCCAAAGATTCCTAGCCACTTGACCCCTAGCACGAGGAAAACGGAATAACAGTTTTGGAAGATGAGATGGGAAATGCTCTTAATACTCGCAATTGCATAAAGTCTCAGTTTTTGCTTTTCGTCATTGGCAGAATTGGCTTCTTGATTGGCCAATACATTGTTGAGATGGTTACTTGTGCTGTAGCTAATAATTGACCCAATTCTTGTAGAGTCAAACAAAAGAAATGCAGACATTAAGTTGGCGAACAACCAATACACGCCAGTGCCAGCAGGCCCCTCAGGCATGTCAGGGTAGTGAAATGACAAGAATAAATAAATGAATACAGTAGCACCCTTTGCCGAGTCATAATAACTATGGACCTTACCCAAGATTGAAAAGCGGAGCCGCTTGGGCAACCCAGGATGGGAGAACCAAAAAAAGAAACTCAAAAACCAACCGATAATAGAAACCAAGACATCGGTGGACTCGGCCATTTCTCTTCTCACGCCTCCAATTCCAGTTACAACAGCATACCATAGTGCCATCCAGAGAAACAGTCTGGTGATTATTATAATGGGACTCTTTTCATTAAACTTTCGAGCAAAACTCATAATCAGCAAAATGAAAATGAAGACAAGCAAAAGGGAAACGTTGCTTGTTGTTGAGGGCGGCTTTGAGCAACAAGATTGATGGGTGGTGACGATGTTAGTCAAGGCATTATTACAGCGCTCGTTAGCAACAATTGATGCTTGGAGACCTGCAAGTGTTGGAGTAAAATGAATTCCCATGTGATCATAACTTTCAGGATATTCTTTAGAAAACAGATTAAAAACTGTTGGTACCTCTATTCCCGATAATTTTTGTTTTGTTCTATTGATGATACCGTTTAAAATGCTCACTTTTTCGTGTGTGATTGTTTTTGCACGATCCTCGTTCATCAAGGGGACATGCGGATGAAGGGTAGGTGCAAGAAACAGTGAATGTGGTTCTGTACTGCCCTTAAGCGACTTGTATGCTTGAAGAGCACGATTCATTGCTGCCCTATAATGTATGTCCATGTCTTCAGGATCAAAATGCGAACGTGAGAACCAAAGCCCAATAGATGTATATACAAATGCAATAGGTGTGTGCTTTTTTGTAGACAACATCTCCACTTCTTTTAAAGCAGATGAGTTAAAAAATGGGTCCCATATAAACTTATAAATAAGTTTGCGCTCTGGGGCTGAGGGATCAAGTGGATTATGAGCCGTGGTCGACAGCTCAAAGTCAGAGTGACGCTTAGAGGTATATGAGGAATAGTTTCCTGTGCCGTACAAACCATCTGACATTCCAACCATACCCCAAAACACTTGGCGCGATGTGGAGTCGCCAATGAATAAAAACTCCATTCCGTGGTCATATGCCTGGAAACATCTAAGTAGATCATTTTGGTTTCTATGATAAGAGTGGGTATAGCATCCTTGCGTGTTCCAAGCTGTGGGGAACTTTCGCCATGATCCAGACTGCATAACAGCCTCGCAACTGTTGGGATCTTCGGTATCTTAAGAAAGCCGATTAGCAAAAAAGTGAGTACTCAAAAAGGAAAAAAAAATTAATAAAAAAGCATACCCAACAGTTTATATCGAATAGTAACAAGAATAAACGAGATTAACAGAATGCCCCAGCGGGACAAAAGGTTCTTGAAGCCCCTGTGCATGTTTATGTCCTTTTGATTATTTAAGGTGTATGTGTCTTATTACTTTTGGCCTATCCATTTAAGACCAAGAGCCCCCTTTACGAGAGTATAGATCTGAAATTCGAAAAAAAAACAATGATTTCTCAGGAAGCGAAATAGGTTTCAATATTGATTTTGAAGGTTCTGCTTGCGTATAAGGGGCTCTACTATTTAGTTTGTGTTTTTTTATGGGTGAGGTGGTCGCAGCTGGTGGTGGTTAGAAATGTCGGGATTTTACTTTTGCCGGTAAACATTCTGAGAAATATGCCGGTCTAGGAGTTACCAAAAGGGTTTACTGCCGCAGCCTTCTATACATAGATTGGGCGAGAATGTCGGTCATACAGGAATTGCGGAGGCCTATCGGAACCGGCCAGAAAGCTTAAATAGCTTTGAAAAAAATAAAACAAAACTAATAAGAAATCAAACTGATGATTAAAATTGAACTTTTGAATGTGAATCTGATCTATATTTTTGTTTAAATCACTTTTCGTTTTGGGTGAAATTTCAACCATTTAGTCTCTCAACGTTTTCCCCGCTATTTTCACATGGCTCAAGAGTTTTTCCGGGACGCTTGTGCTTACTGGTTACTACAACGTCAGAAATGTAGATGAAAAACACCTCGATCTACTCAACAATTCGCAATCATCAAAGACCCGAAAGCGCGAAGATTTGATGAGAAGTCCTCGAGCTCACTGCTGTTGCTGAACCCTTTTGAAATGGTTCATTCAATGTGCGTTTAACCTGAGACCTTTTTGAAAGAACGTGGGAAGGTTTTTTTTATTATTATTTTTGTTTATGGGCAGGCGGTTCCCCAACATTTTTTTTTTTGCTCTGTATATATAAAAAAATCCTCAGACCTTTTCTTTTCCTCTTTTTATTTGCTACTTCACCACACACACAAAAACCCCTCTTTCAAACTAATATCCCAAAATATCCACACCCTCAAACATGTCAAGTACAGACGAGGCTTTGTCGGAAAAGCAGCCTTTGCTGAGTCCTCAGGAACCTATTACTGCTGCTCCAGCAGAAGTTGCTTCTACCACAGATTCAACTACCCCAGAAAACCATGCCGTTCGCCCGACTGTAACAACCCCAGCCCAATATACCAGAAAGAAACCGTCCATTGACAAGCAAACAAGCATCTATACATGGAGTTATGACTTGGTTGTGTGGATGTTCCTTAAGGTCTTTGAGCTGTTTTTCCGCGAAATCAGATCTCGCGGTGCATTCCGTGTCCCCAAAGATGGCCCAGTGATTTTCGTGGCCGCACCTCACGCAAACCAGTTCATCGACCCAATGCTCGTCATGCAACAAGTTAAACGCGAAGCCGATCGTAGAGTTTCTTTTCTTATTGCAGAAGCTTCTCTTAAAAGAAAGTTTATTGGTCTCATGGCTAGAATGACCCTGTCGATTGGTGTTGTAAGAGCACAGGACAATCTCAAATCAGCAACTGGAGAAATTACCATCAACTTTGAAGAAAACCCACTCAAGGTCATTGGCAAAGGAACAAAGTTTACTAAAGAAGCGTGTGTTCGCGGTCTTGTTGGTCTGCCACGATCTCTTGGTAATGCTGAAATTGCTGAAATCGTTAGTGATACCGAAATTATTCTGAGAAAAGAGTTCAAAAGCACCAAGGGCAAGGCTTTGCTTGCTGAAGGAACCTCATTCAAGTTGGCCCCTCACGTTGATCAGTCTAAGGTTTACCATCGCGTTTTCAGCCATCTTAATGAAGGCGGATGTATTGGTATTTTCCCTGAAGGTGGCTCTCATGATCGCTCAGACTTGCTTCCTCTCAAGGCTGGTGTAGCCATTATGGCCCTTGGCGCTTTGGCTGAGCATCCTGATTGCAATGTCAAGATTGTTGCTGTTGGCATGAATTACTTCCATCCTCACAAGTTTAGATCCCGTGCTGTGCTTGAATTTGGCCATCCGATTGATATCCCTCCTGAACTTGTCGAAGAATATCGTGCTGGTGGTGAAACCAAACGTGAGGCTGTCAAGGCCGTTCTTGACTTGGTCACTGACGGTCTCCGCGCTGTTACTGTCAGATGCTCTGATTGGGACACCCTTATGACGATCCAGGCTGCCAGACGTCTTTACAGCGGTGCCCATAAGATCCCCCTGCCTCTTGTCATTGAACTAAATCGCAGACTCTTAGAGGGATACAACAAGTACAAAAATGAGCCTGTCATTATCGACCTCCGGAAAAATGTCACTTCTTACAACCGCGCTTTGAGTGATATGGGCATAAAAGACCACCAGGTTGAAACTGCTAATATGAACAAATTTACTGTTTTCGGCAAACTTATTTACAGAACATTTAAGCTCATCCTCTTGTTGCTGCTCGCTCTCCCAGGTACCATTCTCTTCTCGCCCATTTTCATTGCCACTCGTTTAATTTCAAGAAAGAAGGCGGCACAGGCTCTCAAGGCCTCTACAGTCAAGATCCAGGCTAATGATGTCATTGCGACCTGGAAAGTTTTGGTTGCTATGGGCTTAGCCCCTCTTCTTTACCTGATCTACTCGTTGCTTGCCACATACCTTGAGTACAAATACCAGTTCTTGCCCGCCATTCGACCACTCTACATTATCACCATTCTCATGTACTTTTTGTTTCAAACTATCACATATGCGGCTCTTCTTATTGGAGAAACTGGCATGGATATTTTCAAATCGCTCAGACCCTTAGCACTTGCTTTGTCACCCAGATATGCTGATACACTGTCCAAGCTGCGAGAACAACGCCAGAACCTTGTGCTTCAAGTCACTGAGGTTGTCAACTCTCTTGGTCCCGAGTTGTACCCTGATTTTAAAGACATTAACAAGCTTGCCAATCTGTCTCATGAAGATGACGATGATGAGTTTGAACACAAGTCACATCACACTCGCTCAAAACGCAGCGAATCTGTCAGCTCTTCTGGCTCACATGCGCTTTCCAGAGTGACGTCGGAGTCCTCACTCGCAAATATGCCGTTGTTTGGCAATGCTGACGACGAAACATCCTCATCAACTGGTGTTTCACGTATTAATAGCGGTGCACACTCGAGATCGGAATCTCGCGATGGAGCTAAGTCTTATGGCCACACTTCTGCCACTGAAAGAGGTGCATTTGAGAGCGAAGTGAGCCAACGTATTCGTGACGCCATGGAGGAACGTGCGCGCCAACGTGGTACTGATTACGAAGATTAGATTTGTTTTTTTTTATTGAACCCCTTTTATTTTTGTTAGCTAGTTAATAAAGCTTCTATAGCTAGTAAATTAAAAAAATATTTTGTCCCTATCTTTTTTTTTTAAAACAGATTAATCCTCGCCTGCAGGAACTTCATCTTCCAAAACCTTTATCAACTTTACTCGCAATTCTGTAGAGGGAGCGCCTTTAAGGACATCTGAGACAAAAAAAGCATCGACCTCAAGCTGGACTGACTCAAGGGCGCCTTTGATAACTCCGGCAAAGATATTCGAGTACCACAGTTCTTTTCTGGCTCTGCCATCATCCGGGAGCTCGACAAACTCTGCAAGAGGGTTTTCGTCAAATACAAGAGAAAACTGCTTATTGTCGGGCGACCAGTTTTCAACAGCTGGTGTGATGTTGAGAAACATTTTAAAGCCAACCTTGGAAATAACCTCGGCCGTGTCCTTAAAGTTGGTGCATCGGCCAAGCCCAGATCGTGCTAAAAACTCCTCTATTAACCGCAGACCAATGTTGTAGCCCATGCGTTCAAGTTGCTTGTTGACCTTGACATAGTCACCTTCATAATCCCGGCAAAGCTGAGAAACTATAGAACCGTATGTTAATGTGACGAGCTCTGCATTCTAGTTTTTGTTTAAAAAAAAAAGGTCTCGGTTAGTCAAAGAATGTTCACTTTTATTGTGGTTAGTGCAAGAAAGTATATCAAGACATATAGGGAAAGGCAAAAAGCACTTTGATCTGTAAAAAGTCATTGATAGTTGTTGATTTCTAGTCGCTTGATACTTACCACTTTCTGGACCTTGTTTTTCCAAATGTCTTCTCCCACGGTTCGATATGCTTTAGACATGATGGTAGATTATTTATGTGTATCTTGACAATTGTTCCTTCAAAAAGGTATATCAAAGTTGGCGCTTTCTTTTTTTAAAAAAAGAAAATTAAGCTAGTTGGAGTACAATTCGTGTATATGGTATTTATTGGAGGGTCTGTTGCAGGGTCTGTCTAGGCTTTTGGGGAAGTTTTGCAAAAAAAAAAAAAAAAAAAAAAAAAAAAAAAGGAGGAGGTTCAACACAAAAAAAGGTGCCACACAGGCACATTGAAAATCCGCAACCCCTAACCCTCTTGTGTTATTCTTAGGCGCGATTTAAGAATTGCCTTTTTGCCCAGGACTAGATCTTCTTCATATCGTTTAAAAAAATTAGTTGTTATATTTATTTTACAAAAAATTATAGTCTATGGAATAAAAATACATAATTAAGGAGTGAATAATGAATAAAAAATGCCTTAAGGGATTCTAACTGTCCCTTTTAATATAAAAATACAAGTGCTGAACCGCGCACTGTTGGTTTAATAATACCGTTTCTAATACCCAAAAAGGTATTGCCTTAGATTAATCGATTAGTTGTTAATTTTTTTTGTTGTCATTTTAAAATTACCGTTGTTGTTTTAATATTTTTTTTTTGTTTTTTTTCATTGAAACTCCCAGTTGGTGGTTTATTCTCTTAAAGTATCGAAGTCACGGTGCGGTATGATACACTTCCAGTATAATAAGCTGTCGAGAACGATGTTGGCTGTGGACTTGTTACCGCTGCATTTGTTTCTGTCGCCGACACTGAACTCACCGTACGAATCGCAGATAAGATTGTTGTCTCAACACGCGTGGAAGTCGTAGGGGTAGGGTATGGGTAGTTTGTGCTCACACTAAATGTCAGCGTTCGCACTATAGTAATGTACTCTGTCGAAGTGGATTCGTACGAGGTCGAGCTGGCGGAATTGCTCAAAAAGCTTGAGGGAGTGGGGGTGCCAGTGATACTTGCAGAAATGTCCAATGTACCAAAAGTAACAGTCGGAAGTGCGGAAAGTGTGACAGTGGTAGTGGAGTTAATAAAAGCTGAGGAAGACAACGATGGTTGAATCGATGCACCTGAGGTGATGGTAGTAATGGGAGTGCCAGTGGTCAAAGAAACGGTGAGAGAAACAATGGTACTGGAATGGGCAGACGACTCAGAGCTGATAGTTGTGATGGGTACACCAGTGGTTAAAGAAGTGGTGAGTGATGTGATGGTAGAAGAAAATGATGGTGTTACAGATGAGTTCGAACTAATAGTTGTTATTGGGACACCAGTGGTAAAAGGAACTGTGAAAGAGGTAACTGTAGAGTTAGCATAAGGGGGGGTGGTGGGGATAGAAGAGGTAGTAGCAGTGACTGAAAAATTACCGTAAGTCGGCATCAACGTAGAGGTCTTTGTTCCATCTATAACCAAAGTAGCATGGTAAGGGTGACCGCTTCTCACTATAGTTGTAGTAAGGGTCTTAAGATGAGTAAGGGTGCTTGTAGGAGTCAAGGTTTTGTACAACGTGACTGTGCTTCTAGGAATCGTAGTAGTACGTGTTGTCCCATCAGATGTAAGAACCTGAGTAGACTCTTCGGCTGTCGAAATACTAGTGGGGAAAAGAGTTACACCATTGGATGTGACAGTCTCTCCCTCAGATGTGATGGTAGTTGTCAAAGTCTTAAATTTCGTGATGGTGCTTGTTGGTGTAATGGTCTTGTAGAGAGTAACAGTGGCCTTAAGGCTGGTGGTCAATGTAGTTCCTGCACTAGTGAGGGTTGCTTCAATGCCTTCAAAGATGGTGGTGGATGTGGGCACAAGAATAACGCTTCCAGAAGTGATTGTTTCTTCAACAGTAGATGTGCTCGTTCCTTCAACAACAAACGTCTGTGTGACTGTGGAGTTCTCGCGAGTCAAAGTTGTCGTGAGAGTTTGTAAGCTGATTAAGGTACTAGTAGGAGTCACAGTCTTGTAAAAAGTGAAGGTACTTCGAGGGAGGGTACTTGTGCGAGTGAATCCAGCCGCGGTTAGCGTCATGGTTTCTTCGTCAGCAACAGCGGTGGATACAGGAACTAAATTAAGAGCACCAGAGGTTTCAGCTTCCTCTACAGTAATAATGCTAGTACTCAGTACAGCATATGTCTGAGTAAAAGTAGATGTTTCACGGGTAATGGTAGTGGTAAGAGTTTGCAAATGAGTAACAGTACTCGTAGGGGTCACAGTTCTGTAAAGAGTGTAAGTGCTTCTAGGAATTATGCTGGTTTTGGTGACACCATCAGAAATGATAGTAGTAGTTTTTTCTTCAGCAACAGAAGTGGCAGTGGGTAAAATTGTCAAGACACCCGATGTAGTTTCCTCAGCAGTAGACGTGCTAGTATTATCAACAGCCAAAGTTTGGGTTACAGCAGCACCTTCAAGAGTGATTGTGGTGGTGAGCGTGTGGATATCAGTAATAATACTAGTTGGAGTCACAGTTCTAAAAAGAGTAACGGTGCTTTTGGGGATGATTGACGTTTTGGTAATACCAGCTACAGATAAAGTGATTGTTTCCTCATCTGCAATAGAAATTTGGGTTGGAACCAGAGTGAGTGAGCCAGAGGTGATTGTTTCTTCAATAGTAGAGGTCGAAAATGTGTCAATAACTAAAGTTTGAGTGATGGTAATGCCGTCAGAGGTGAGAGTTCTTGTGACGGTTTCAAAGTTGGAAACAGTGATAGTAGGGGTAATAGTTATGTAGCTTGTTATTGTGCTCTTAGGAATTGTGCTGGTTATAGTAGAAGGTTCAAGAGTAATGGTAGTGGTAACATCTTCAGAAGAAGAAGAAGAAGAAGGAGAGGGAACAGGGGTGTAAACACTGGGACTAACGTATTGGGTAGATTTAACTAATCCTAGTAGACCATCAGTTCTTGTAGTGACATAAGTCTTGCAAACATCACAAGGACCAGGCACAATGACTTCAGTAGTTGAGGCTTGGGCGGCAGCAGAAGACGATTCGGATGAACTAGAACTTGACAATGCACAATTGACAGAGTCACCGGTTATAGTTACATACATAGTGACAGGGTTAGTATCAACCCAAGAAGTTTCTGGGCTATTTTCAACCTGAAGAGTCACGATGCTATTGTCTTGTGCTGCCGCTATGCTAGTTGCAATGGGGAGAGATGTGACACTTTTTAGCAAAGCTAACGAGGCTAGCGTCCAAGCCCCAACTGACTGTTTGAATATCATTGAGTTGTATAGGTATCAAGTGGAAGCTGGAAAAGATTGTTAGACAGATAATTGATTAGATTAATAAAAAAAAAAAGGATTAACTTACAAAATTGTTGAAAAAAAAATTAAATAGATGAATGAAAAATTAGGATTATATTGTAACCGGGAATTTATGGATAAGTCTTTGAAAAGTGTAGAAAAAAATGAAGGTATTGAACCCACTGGGAAGACCAAAATATTTATACAATTTTAAGAAAGTTCCTTAGAAGGAGTTAAAGATGGGAAGACTTAATTTATAAATAGAAAAATTGTTTTACCAAATTAGGAAAAATGCATCTTGAGTTAGACAGTACCGTTCAAAGATATAAATAAATAAATAAAAGGGCATCATAGGTTTGGAAAAGAAATTTGGCATGGTTACCAGGAAAATATAGAGATCATTAAGGGGGGGAGTGACTTCATTTTCAATTTTTTGGAATATTTCGGCATATAAGAAACATTTATTTAAACGGCGATTTATTATTGATTTATAAGGGAAGGGAAAGGCAATTAAAAAAATTTAAACCTTGGGGCTGGGTTAGAGATGGATTTTGGGGGGCTTTTGGCATCTGAGCTTTTTTGATTTTTTGAAAATGAAAATGAAAATGAAAATGAAAATGAAAATGAAAATGGCTGCATTGGGAAATAAGGTTGCATTGAAATGCAGGTGTAAGTACGGCTGAACAAAGTCACATGAGTTTAAAAGCAAACTCTTGATCAATAGAGCACGATAAAAAAATATCTTTTCCTTTAATAAAAAAAAGTATTTTTTTAACAAAAATTTAAAAATTACAATGATTCAAAGTATGATGAATGATTTTCTATTAAAAAAATCATCATTTTATTTTCTTTACGGTATTCTTGATTTCAATTTTCTTTCATTTCTCTGGTTGTTATGGGGTATTATTCATTTCCAAAAAAAAAAAAAAAAAAATCTGAGCCTGCACGGCTTTTAAATTTCCCAAAACAGAAACATTTTCCTAAAGCGGCTTGTTATTGTACCTGGGGCTGGGCTGGCTGGTTTGGTTTGGCTGGGTCTGGCAGTTTTTTTGTTTTTTTTTCCTAAAAACCGTTTTTGTGCATTACATTTTTTTTTTCTGTAGTAAAAAAAAAAAATATATATATATATACCAGTTTGTTCCAAAAGCATCTTTTTTCAGAAAACCTCCCTGCAATTTGACAATCTGCAAGTATTATTAGTATTAAGATTAAGTACATAGACTTACATAGCAATCCTATCCTGAAAGAAAGATTTATAACGACATTTTGTTTATCGAAATATCTTTTATTTTTTTTATAAAGAGAAACCTTGGGATCATTGCCATGACTTAAGGGTTTAGGTCCCTATAATTTTTTTGTTTTTAACTTGTTTAGTTGATTGGGACTTTATTGTTTGATGATTTATAAAGGAGTGCGTATGGAGAGTATAAATATTTCCAATTATAACTGTATTGCTTATATCTCGCTGTCTATCCCAGCTCAACCTTTTAAAAAGTCTTCAGAAGTATAATATGGGGATTGTGGAAATTAATCTTTCTTGGATAACTTTTTTTTTAAGATGTCCTGCATATATATTTATATGTCAGTTTTCTTTTTTTTTTTTTTTATTCTTTCATTCTTTTTTTTCTCAATTAGCATTAGATCTTAAGCGAATTGACATTCAAAATATATTAAAACTAAGCTTAACTAAATAACGATATACTTTGTAATGGCTGGTAGAGCTCACTATTTTAATAGAGTTCATAATATGGGCATTGCTGGTATCAGTTCATTCTGAGTTTAAATCCATAACTGAGTACTTTTGGTGTTTTACAGTTCTAAGAGACTCTGGTATCTAGTCAAAGGAGGGAATGACGTAATATTAGTGAAAAGCCGCAGCATCTTTTGACGAGATATAAAAAAATAAGGGCCCTATATCACCCAAACTAGAGTAATAAGTCCTATTCAGCTGAAAAAAAAAAGTCAAATTGTAAAGCTCTGGGGGGTTAAAGAATTTTGGGTTTCAAAAAAATAAAAATAAAAATAAAAACAATAGATAAATTTTTGATTATTTCTAATTTCTGTTAAAACATGATTGTCAAGTTCACCCATATTTTTTCAAGAAAAAATTTTCATCTATAAAAATTTAGTCAATTACACAAGATTAATAAAAACAAATCTCACAACCATGGAATAAATCTAAATTAATCGGAAAATAAATAAATAAATAAATAAAAAGACATTTAAATCCATCAATATAAAAAAGTCAAGAAAAAATATTCTTAATTGTGCCTTTCAGATTATTGAGAGAGTAATTAAAATGACCTTGTTACATAATTTGCTGTAATAGGCCGAGTAACTAATCTAAGCTATATAGAATTAAGGTGAATAAATTTTAGTAAAAAAAAAAAAAAAGAAAAAAAAACTGGAATAAACTTGTTGTGAGAAAAAGAATTTGATTTAAACTTAGAAAATTCAAATATGAATCTACCAAATCGTTATCTTGATAGAATTGGAAAGAACGAAATATAGTCTTTCAGAAAATGATATATCTTTAGGTGTTAACTGAAAGGTAAAATTATTGTATCAATTTTAAACATAGCAATATTTTTTTTTAAAAGATATTTCTTTAAAAATTAAAACTCACAGACTTCTTCTTAAACAATTGGTAATTCTTTTGTAACTAAATTGAATTTTCATTTTTTATTTATTAGCAATTAGGAATAAAAGATTAATACATTTAACCAAAATAACCGGTTATATTCGTACAAGAGTACCTTACAAAGTTTTGTTAATGTGAATAGTATCTCAATGGGAGCTTTCCCGAGATGGTTGTTATCCGTAGGCTATTATAGAGTCAAGGTAGAATTGTCGTGAAGAAAAATCTGGAGGGTTTCAAAATGCCGCATATGTTTTTTTTTATATATATGAGAGCTATTTAGATGTTGCATATACTGCTGACATAATTTTTAATTTAACCACTCCAGTTGCCAGTGTGACAAACGAATTTCTCGCGCTTTCTAGAAAAACCTTTGCTGAGTCAATCATAAAAGAAAGCTGAGTAATACATGCGGGAATATATCACCTTTAATCGTGCGGCTGAGTCTTTGTCTATGTGTGTGTGTGTGTGTGTGTGTCTGTGGGCACCGGTTCTTCTTGTGGGGGAGACAAAAAAACAAAAAAAAAAAGTCCTCCCCGGCCAAAATTTGTTTTTTTTTTGCCAGATAGCTAACCAGCCAATTTCCAAAGGCTTCCACACGGGCCTACAAGATTCTGGCAAACACATCAAATAATGTCAGCCCATTGCGTAATAAAAAAAAAAAAAAAATCTCTTTCTTCTTCTAATTAGTGGCAACAACCATCCTCTCCCCCCTCAAAGAGAGCTTTTCTTCACTCGTAATAACTCTACTATAAATACTTGACTATTTCCTCAGTTTCTTTTTTTTTTTTTTTTTTTCAATTCCTTCTCTTTTTCCCTCTTTTTCTATTCTTCATCAAAACTTTACCCAACATTCAATTCCTTAAAACAAAAACTAATTCTAATCCTCCAATTTATACTCACAAAATCTAATAATAATGTCTTACTACTACGATAGCTACAACCCTTACAACAACCTCTCCCTTTGGGACATCATTGAGGCTCTTCAAAACCAAGCCTCTCAAGCCGATGCTGCTGAAGAAGAAGCTACTGCTGCTCCTCGCGCTGCTCCCACTCCTCGTCGCCAAGGTCCTTCTCCAGCCTCTGCTCGTGCCGCTGCTGCCGCTGCCGCTGCTGCTGCTCGCCCTGTTCCAACTGTTCGCCCTGTCCCGGCTGCTGCTCGTCCTGCTCCAGCTGCTCGTCCAGTCCCAACAGCTGCCCCAGCTCCTACCCCTGCTGCTCCTGCCCCCACTCCTGCCAAGCCAGTTTCTGCTTCACCACTTGTCCTTAAGCCTGTTTCTCGTACAGATGTTTTCCTGCCTTCAATTGATGTCTACGACACTCCTGAGGCCTACCGTCTGTATGCTTCTGTCCCCGGTGCTCAGAAGGCCTCTGTTGAGGTTCACTTTAACCCTGACAGCCATGAGCTGACCCTGGAAGGTGAAGTTCCTATTCCTGGCCCTATTTCTGGTGCTGCCGAGGGTAAGATTCATTTGCTTCTGAGCGAACGCGAGACTGGTGCCTTTGCTCGAACCTTGCACCTTCCTTCTGAACCTAAGGTTGATGACGAGAAGATTACTGCCAAGTTCAATGCAGGTGTCTTGGAGATCACTATTCCCAAGAAGAGTGGTGAGAAGACTGCCAGAAGAAAGATTACCATTGAGGATGTCGATGATGAGGAGCTTCTTTCTGAGGCCCAGGAGTCTGTTGAGTAAAGCTACTGGTCCCAATTGAGCTCCTTTTATGAAGTTATGAAACGAAACTAAAAATCTTAACGTGTATTAATTAATGAATTGAAATGAATTTATTTGAAAAGAATGAGAAATCTTTTTCATTGACCACTTTTTTACTTGATAAATCTTTTCTAATTGTAGAAATAGATGACGCTTGACTAAAAACCATCTTTTTATTTTGGACAAGCTATTTTATTTTATTTTATTTTTTTTTTTAACAAATGCCTAATAAGCTTAATAATTATGAAAACTCATACACATGCATGGATTTTTTATGGGCATACAGGGCTTTCAATAAAGCTGTCACAATTACTTTAAAATCTTGTAATTAACAAATTACTTAAAATAGATATTCATAATTAAGATATATGTACAGCCGTACCACCAAAATTATTTCACCTTCTCTTACATTGTGAAGTATCATAATTATGATACGGTTATAACCCAGTCAAACGTTTGATTATAAATTTATATTTAACACATTTAAATGTGTTATAACAATAATAAACCCAAAAAAAATGCTTCATTAAAATAAAAATTGGGAATTTTTTTTTCTTTAAATACCTGGCTTCATTCCCCAGGTTAAATTTTTTTTTTTTTTCACTATCCTAACATCTCTCAAATTGTACCAACTTTTGATCTTTTTTTCTTTTTTTCTTTACTTATTCTACAATCGATTTTGCTATGGTCTCTGATAATACTTTTGAATCTGAATCTTCTGCTCACTATAATTCCTCACTTAAAGCAAACCAATTGGATCTTGATATTACAGCTCATCTAGAGAAAATAGACAATTTTCCTTCAACCTCTGCTACGGATACTAAAAATGAAACTTTTCTGGTTAATGGCAGAAATATTACCTTCTCCTTGCCTGTTATTATGGAAATATTAACCAACAAACCTGTCGGAAACTTCTTTTCAAAGATTGGCCTTAGCTCTAATTTTTATCAAGTTCCTTTCAGAAAAACAGATAAAGATAAACCTTTCTTTGTTCAAGACAAGGGATTTTTTGAATGGGATCATATCCCATTTATACTCGATACTTCCCCAACTTCCTTTCAAGGTTACATTCGAGGCCTACTTCATAGCATGATTGGAGTTTGTTGTTATGTCTATATGGATGACATCATTATTTTCTCTCCCTCGGGAGAACAAAATAAGAAAGATGTCCGTTCAGTCTTGTCGGTATTACGTGACAACAATCTTAATGTCAATCTTGAGAGATGTGATTTCTTTCGTGAAGAAATAGAATTTTTGGGCTTTAAGCTCACTTCTTCAGGAATCACTTTTGAAGAATCCACCGTTAATAATACCACGAATTGGCCCAGACCCCGAAATGTGAGGGAGGTGAAAACATTTGTTGACTTTGCTAATCACTTTAGTAAACTTATCAAAAATTACAGGTCTCGCATAGAGCCTCTACAGAATATTATTGATAAAGGTTACATATGGACTTTAGATTGTGATGAAGCTTTTGCTTTAGTCAAAAACATATTTGATTTAGACCCATTTCTTCAACATTTTTCTCTCTTAAATGAAACCCTTGTGGAAATTGGTACTTCTTTCAGTGGCATGGGTGCCGTTCTCTCTCAAAAACACAAAGATGATAATAAGTTTTATCCGGTAGCCTTTTTCAGCAAAAAATTTGACAAAAAGGAAAGAAATTATTCCACATATAATCGGGAATTACTAGCAATTGTGGAAACCCTAGGCCATTGGTCTCATTATCTCACTTGCTTGCCTTTCACCATTCTTTCGGATCATGCTGCATTACTCAATTTCACTACCTTTAAAATAGAGACTTTCAGATCAAACCAATGGTACCATGAGCTTTTAAATTATGAGTTTGATATTAAAAATAGACCTGGTAATAATAATGTTACTGAGGCTGCTTTATCCATGATTCATATTTATGACGAAGACTCTCAGCAACAGATCGATGACAAAACTACAGTATTACAACCCTTTCAAGTCTCTCAGCAAGAATTTACCGACACTAGATTATACTCAATGTCTGTGAATTCAGAATTTTCTTTTGCTAATATCCCTGTCATTGATTCGTCTCCTTTGCTTGAACTCACCCCAGACTTGATCCAAGCAATTATCAATTCCCAGAAAAAGCATACTAAAGAAGGCACCAAATGGAATGAATTTATGATTTTTAATGAACGCATTTACATACCTGAAAAGGATACAGATTTAATAAATAAGCTCTTAAACTTTTACCATTCGAAGGTGTATTTACACACTGGGCGAAATAAATTATACCTTTCATTACGTTCTACGTTTTACATCGAAAATCTTAGATACCTCGCTGTTGAACATACAAAAACTTGCCATTTATGTCAAACTAGAAAATTTCGCGAAAAAGTTAGTGTCGGCGGAGATCTATATAAGCCAATATTGCCTTCCCCTTTTGTTCACGTTAATATAGACTACATTACTATGACAGGAGAATACAAAACCGGCTTAACTATCTGTTGCTTGTTTTCCAGATATATTCATTGTATTCCTTATACGGTTGGTGAAGGATTTAAGAAAATTCATGAACATTTAGATGAATTTTTCCGTCACCAGATTGGGGTTTACCCTAAGAAGATTACTTTTAGTAATAATAATAAAGCTTTTCATAATGTGGATTTAATTTATTGGTGTTTACAACACAATATTAAATTATATTTCCTAAACCTTTATCATCCACAATTAAATAGTCAAGTGGAAAGATCAAAGGCTCTTCTTATAGAGGAAATCTTCTTCTACTTACAAGAACACAACCTGCCCGAGGAACAATGGCATACACATCTCCCCCAAGTCTTGGAAGTACTTAATACATTCAAAAACTTTGTTGCCAAATATTCTTCCAAAGAAATTGTCAATTGCCCCCTGGATAGACAAGATTCTATGTGGCCTGATGTCCTCCACAATATTTACGAATTCTTAGGCATTTCCTCTGATAAAAACTCAGACCAAATTAAACACTTTGCTCGGGGAGACTGGGTGACGGTTGACACTTATGTTTCTGATTGGATTTCCGGAAGATTTAAGGGTGCTGGAGTATTGAACCCTCCTAAAAGGATTGGCCCCTTCCGAGTCATTTACAAGATCAATGACCAACTTTATTTGTTACAACTCCCTCCAACATGGATGCAATTTGGCCGACATATTAACTCTATTTTCAATATTACTCATCTCAACCGATACTTTTTAAAAACTGGAATTACTCCTCCACCAGCACCAATCGCATTAGTAGACAATGAATATGCTGTTCATGTTGTCAGAATCCTCAAACGGACATTCAAAGATGACTTTGTTTTGGAGATTGCAAAAGGAAATCATCTCACAGTCAAATTCTTACATGAGTCATGCAAAGAGTTATTGGAAGCTTTTGAGAGCATCCAGGCTAAACGTTTTTCTGGAGAGAAATTTCGGGTAGAAACTCCTAAAATGTGGACTGCTCGTTTCAATGGTTCTTCTTCATTTTAAGGGAGGGAAAAGGGTGATGTTATTATTTTCATGCTTTTATTACACATTCATTTTTTATAATAGCCATTTTTAAATTTGTTACAACTATTATTTTTGTTACTATGTAATTTTGTAATTTTTCAAAACCTCCTATTTTTGTTCACCACATTCTTTTTTTTTTAGTCTCTGCTGCCTGTTTTTTTTTGTTTTTTTTTTAGTATACATATACATCATAATAACCGCCACGCAAGTATACAAAACACTACCCACAAAAACATTACAAAAAAACAATAAGATGAGCCAGGAAACTTCTCCTCTGCCAACTGATGTCACTGATAAGCGTCGTGCTGATCTTGTGATTCCGTAAGTTTTATTGAATGATGTACAAAGTATTTACAAATCTAACTTTTAGATAACATAATTAAAAAAAAATTAAAACAGATACCGAGCACGTAAACCTCTTAAGAATGAAGTTTCTTCTGCTATGAGCAGCAGTATGCCCATTGCTGCCATGTTTCTGCGAAATAAGTACGTTTTATTCCTTAACTTTTTTTTTTTTTAAATCTCTTCTAACTTTTTTTTTTTTTTTTTTAAAACAGGATCCTCGCTTGGGCTTCTCTTTTCACCACAATTCAGGGATACCTTAACGAACCTGCCCAGCTTGCAAGCGATAGCCAACCTGCATGGCTTTCCGTGTTATTGGCTGCTGTCGGTATCGTAACTTGCTACATGGATATTATCATGCCCCCGCGCGGACCTACAATGGCCAACGCTGCGCGTGAGGCTGCAGCCGCTGTTACCGAATCAATCACCACTTCGATTGTTGCTGCTCCCACTGCTTAAAAAAATTCCCCTCCTTTATCTCCCTCTTGTCTTTTTCTTTTCTCTCTTTACAAATATCTTGTACAGTAATGCGTTAATGAAATTCGTTTTTTTTTTTTTTTTTTTTTTCCCCCACCCGTTATTTATGTATATATACTTAAAACTCAAACTCATCATCATCGTTAAAGTCTTTTTCAAATGGACAATTAAGACTATCATGACCATCTCGTTCACACAATCCACACCATTTATCTCGTCCATCGGCCAAATCAATCTGCTTAATTGTCGTGGCACCACTATCAAATCCGTTATTGCCTGGTTTGGTTGGTGTTGCCACAGACAAATCAGGAACATTACCGAGTGTCGCAGTATTTGGACTAACACCCATGCTCTCTTTTCTAGCCCCAGAACCTGCCGGCGGCAGGGGAATAGAAGGTGGAGGTGATGTGTGCGCAGGAGCGAGAGGTGCCATGGATGATGGAATTTTCATGCTAGCCAGTGAAACTGCAGAGGCTGCAGAAGCGGCCGCACTTGTGGGCGACTGCTGGGGGAGTTCGTCAAGCAACGCGTCAAGGGTTGGTGTAGCAGGAGATGAAGGTGATGAGGATACGCTGGAAGTCGATTTTTTAGGTGAAGATCTGTTGATTGCAATCTTCACTGGAGAAACTTTATTAGCAGATGGCGACGACGACGATAACGACGACGACGATAACGCAGCGGCTTGACGGGCATTCTCGGCCTCAGTTTGCTGGAAAATCTTTTCCTCAAGCATTTCCTCAAGCTTTGTCATATCCATTTCAGCCTTGGCCAGTTTCTTGAGCAATTCACTCATTTCTTGCTCAGCCTTCAACCTGCCCTTGCGTTCCTTTTGCAGTTCTTGCTTAAAGATACCAGCCTCATTCTCAGCAATTTCCTTTTCAAGTTGGGCCTGCTCCAAGCGATGTCCCATAATCTCCTTATCATCTGTCAAGTCTTCCACGGTTCTTTTAAGCTCCTCAATCTGCTTCTTAAGCTCATCAACTTGTTTCTGGTGAGCCTCATTATTATTAGGAATAAAGCTCGTACGACGTGAAGATGAGATGGGTGATGCGGGTGTACTGGCAGTCACTGATGCAGCTGCTGCCTCTAAAATTGCAATCTTGCTGCGTGCATCCTCCAGCTGTGCCATTAGATCGCTTAACCGACCTTCATTCTCTAACAGTTTATTTTCTGCGTCAGCAAGCTTTTTAAATTGCGCTTTAGCGTCTCTTTGTTCATCAATGTTTGTAGAGGTTGCAGCAGCTGCAGGAGCAGCAGCTGCCGAGTTTGCACTGACTTCCAAATCCTGAATTAATTGTTCAAGCTCATTAACACGCTCTGTTACTTTTTCAGCTTCGGCAAGCTTACTCTGTAATGTTTGAATCTCGTGCACATATACCGAGTTTGATTCTTGCAAGTCTACTTGCAGAGCATCGATTGTTTTGCGGAACTCATTACGTTTTTCGTCAAATTGTGCCTTCATGTGTGAAAACTTGCGGTCGCGTTCTTCCAAGGCAGCCTCTAGTTCACTATGGTGTACTTGTTTGAGTTGTTCAATTTCTACGCTAATTGCACTACTACCGAGAGACTTGGTATCCACATTGCTCATATTTTGTTCAACCTCAAGTACAGTTTTTTCTAGTTCTTGGAGTTCTTCAGATTGTTGTTGGAGTTGTGCGTCACGTTCTTGAATCTGTTTGCGCAATTCGAAAATTTCACGTTGGGCTTCAGCTTGGACTGTTGAAACTGCATGAGCTACTGCATTTGCTATTGCTGCACTGGTATTACCCTGAGGCTCTCTCAGACTCCCACTATTAATACTACTGGTATCATCAATTGATGACGAGTGATGGTGATTGTGATGGGATTCTCCATCGAAATAGTCGCTGTTAAAAGTAAGGGGTGTTGATGGGGTGCCTGCATGTGAGGGACTATTATTATTATCTCCAAAATCAGAACTTGAGCTGGAGAAACGTTTATCTGCAGATATACTTGGGAATGCTTGGTCAAGTTTCATAGGTGCAACTGAGGATGGTGGCCGCTTAAAAGTGGGTGTGCTAGCGCGCAGCTGAGTGGAACCAGCCTGTGGGGATCTAAGTCTGTTGGGAGCTTGTGATGAAGAAGAAGAAGAAGCAGTCGGTGTTGGTAAAGGGAAAGAGGGAACACTACCACTTCCATTACTGCCTGTAGAAAGAACTGAGGAAGGTCTACCAGTAGAGCGTGTTGAGTTTGTTGAGCGATTGGGAAGACCTCCTCCTGTTGGTGTGAAAGAACTTCTTCGACCAATGTATGATTTTCTTGCAGTGGCTGCAGTTGCTGCCGAGTTCGAACGAATGAGTTTAGGATACGAGATGAAAAGCCCAGACATGGGTGTTTCTGTAGAAAAATACTGACGGCCTGCATGATCACCATTGTGACGGCCCATTGATGCGTACTCGTCAACAAGTTCAACACCAGCAAACTCGCCCGTTTTACCATCGATGGGGCCGACATATTTAAGCACGGCAACCTGGCCTTCAGGTAGAGTGACACGGTCACCGATTGCAATGGCCGCCAGCCCATACGCGGCACCTGCGCGGGGGGTCTTGGGGAGATCCATTGAGGAGTGTGTGTGTGTATTGTTTATTTGTTTGTTAGTTGAGAGATTTAGGGGGGGGGAAAGAAGATTGTAGATTTTAATGTGAAGTATCTGGTGGTTTGCCAAAATTAAAAAAATAAATTAAAAAATAAACAAACAAAACCCTTTACCCTAAAGCTGAGTCATCAACCACGTGATTATATATTTTCATTACCACCACCAGCAATCCAAATTAGAAAAAAAAAAAAAAAAAATTCTTTGCACACAAAAAATTTTTTTCTTTCTGCCAACCAGCTAAAAAAAAAAAATAAAAATAAATAAAAAAAAACTACCCGCCACCTGAACCGACCAGCAAACGTACAGACGGGACCTACTTTTTTAAAATGCCCAAAACAACTCTCTTCATTACAGGTACATAACTATTTATCTTATTTATTAAAAAAAAAAAAAAAAAAACTTACACTAACTATTGAACTAGGCTTTAGCAGCGATGTCAAGGCCCGCGAACTCGCCGCCGAATTTGAGACGTGAGTAAACAAAATCATCCTTTGCCTGTTCCTCCTCTCCTCCTTTTCGTTCCTTTTCGTTCCTTTTCGTTCCTTTTCGTGTAATTCCATTTCCTCTACCCTCCTAAAACCCGCCGTCCCGAGACCTCGAGCCTGCTTTACTGCTCAATATCTTCTCCTACATCCCATCTCTCTTTGATGACATCCCACCTTCTCCATCTGTTGGGGTTTTGTCAACGCGCGCGCGTTCCTTCTATCTCCCCATTCCACTCCACTCCACTCCACTCTACCCATTCATACATACTCTTCCCTCCCACCCTCATATGTATATACCGTCACGTTGCTACGAAAACTCCTCTTTTCAAATAGAGCGTCTTTTTCCTTGCGACCAGACCTTTATTTTTAGCCAGGACCTTGTCCCAGATTTATCAATTTTTTTTTTCTTTTTGAAAAAAAAAAAGATACCTGGCTATATACAAGTGTTGTACGTGTGTGTGTGTTGAAAAAAAAAAAAAGTGGAGGGCTTTATTTTTATTTTATTTTTTTTTTCTATTCCTACTACAAAAAAGTCACTGGGACATTATCCCAATTCATATCTTTGGAAAATCACAACATTATACTAACCATTTTTTTTTTTGTTTTCTCCAGATTTGGCTCTCTCATTCGCTGTGATATTCCACCACCTCGCTCCAAGCCTTATGCTTTTATTGAGTACGAGGACTATCGTGATGCCCGTGAAGCATACCGCGACATGCACGAACGCCGCATCAAGTCGGGTGATGTGATTTTCGTCGAATGGGCAAAGACCCCCTTCCGCAAGCGCTACAGATCTCCTCCTCCCAAGCGTCGCCGCTATGCTTCTTCGCGCTCTCGGTCGCGCTCTAGATCCCGCTCTCGGTCACGTTCTCCTCGCCGCCGTGGAGACAGAGATAGATCTCGGTCGCGTGACCGTGGTAGCGGTGATCGTGGCAGCAGTGACCGTGATCGTGATCGTGATCGTGGAAGCGGAAGCGGAAGTAGCAGATACAGATCGCGCTCGCCTCCCTCACGTCGTGGCAGAGACAGATCTAGAGAAAGATCAAGAGACAGATACAGCCGATCATCACGATACGGTAGCAGAAGCCCGCCCCCACGCCGTGGAGGTAATGGCAATGGCAGTGGCAATGGAAATGGAAATGGAGCAGCACGTTCAGGCTCGCATTCGCGTTCTGCGTCACCCCACTCACCTGCTAGATCCCCGGCAAGATCTCCTGCTCGTTCTCCTGTTAGATCGCCTGTCCATTCGCCCAGCCAATCTCCCAAGCGTGAGGACAGTTCTGCTGCTACTACTGCTGCAACTGATGTCTCTTCTGATGCTCCAGCCAAGGATAGTGCTGTTGAGTCTGCAGGCACTGCTTCTGATGCCCCGGCAGCTGCGGAATCCATTGCTGCTGATGTTTCAGTTGCCTAAATGGTTTTCGGTATAACTAGCTCCTTTTTTTTTTTTAAAAAAATATATATATATATACACTTTTTGTAATATTTTTTTTTTCGTAAGGCTTAAAAAAAATAAATAATAATCTTTAGCTTTTTTTTTTTTTTTTTTTTTTTAAAATATTTTAAATATTTTAAATTTTTTAAATTTTTTACATGGCCGATTCTTCATCGTACGTGTATTCATCTGCGTTTTCTGTCATCATGTAATCATCGTCATCCTTCATATGTTGTTGATTCTTATTTCCCTTTCCTTTCACTTTCCCCTGTTCATCAAGTTCTTTTTTAAGTGCGGCCGCAGCAACTGCCGCTTCTTCTAGTTGCCTTTTCTTTTGTTGCGCTCGGGCAGCAGCCCCTGCCAAAACTGCGTCTGCATCAAAATGCAATACAGGACCTGCCAACTCACTACGTCGTGCAAACAGTCCGTCAAGTGACCTCCAAACAACTGGTTCCGGAACTTGAAACAATACAGGTTTTAACAAAGCCACCAACTCTGCATTATTATCCGAATCCTTGCGTTCTGTAACCACCTTGACCAATGTTGCCAAGAGCATGTTGACTGCGGGGGAAATGAGTGCCGGGATCTGGCCAGATTCTAAAATAGAAGCTGCAGCAACAGTATTCAAATGATGGTGAGTAGTAGAAGAAGATGTGGAAGTTGAAGTTGAAGTTGAAGTTGATGGTAAGGATGACTCCCCAGAGTTGATACAACTGCCACTGCTTCCCACAACAGAAGCCGTGGATGGCGGTGTCGGCAATCCTGAAGGATTGTTTGCAGTTGCAGCAAGTGCTTTAGAAACATAGTAATAGGGCGGAGCCAAGATTCTGGAGCACAGTTCAAGGATATGGGGGAGCGACGAGTCAAGGTGTGTGTCTGCAAACGCACGACGCTCTTCCTCGGTTGCAATTGCAGATTCGCGCACCCACAATTTCACAACCGCATCAAAGTCAACAATGGGTTCTGGGTCTAATACCTCGAGCACTCGCCGGGACAAGTATTTAGACCGCACATCAATGTAGTCGGCCAAATTTCCACGCGTCCACTTGGGCTCCACAGGCAAAGGTCGCTCGAGGTCGATCCATACCTCAATGAGTCCGTCAGCAGACTCAAGCTGGCCACGCGTAATATCGTCGCATCGTCGGAAATGCCCAGCCGCGCGAGAAAACGTGGTTGTGGACGATGATGTCATTGATGACAACGATGTAGACGACGCAGAGTTGCGGCTAGAGGCTGCCGCTGCTGCTGAACGTTCATCAAGCTCCTCAAACAATGCCCAACCACGAGACTTGATGCGCACATACCCGTCTGCTCGCCGAAACTGAATCTTGTCAATGCCATCTTGTACAGGTATCACAATGCGCTTGGTTCCACGATACAACGAGATGGACAATCGGTCGGGCTCAGCTAATGCTCGTTCACGCGCTGCCTGCTCTTCAGGGGTTGGGAACTGACCGCGACCACAAGAGTTGGTATTTTGTTCAGTTGCAGATAAGGTATTGACGCTTCCTGATGAGTTGTTGTTTACACCTCCTCCTGCGGCTCCTCCATGTGAGCTCAAGTAACGTGGGGTATCATTCCCTGAGCCTCTAAAGTAAAGTCTCAAACGAGAGTCTTTAGTTCCAGAAACTGTGGAGGGTATTGTTCGAGAAGGAGCTGAAGGAAGCGATGGAGTGGTAGAAGAAGCAGCAGCAGTCCGTTTTTGTTCCTCAAGCTCCTTGGCCTCGGCAGCAGAACCCTCGGTGGCCTCAAACGTGCCAATCTTGACGCGTGCTATCCGGAAATCACTAAAAACGCGCTGCTTAGCCACAGCAGCCAACGCCGCAGCTACACTTCCACGCATGTCCCCAGAACCACCTGCACCGCCACTATCACGCGACCCATCTCTCTGTTTATCACGACGGCCGTGGTGATGATGGTGATTATTGCGATTGTGAGTATACCCCCTTGCTCCATACACAGGAGGAGGACCTCGTGAGTTGGACCCACCACTATGTCCATTATTATTATTATTATTACCCGCGCCATTAGTGGTGTTGCCAGCACCTGTAGTCATGCCAGATGTTGAATTGCCATACCGACCAATCCCATTTCTTGTTGGACTATTAGAACCGTTATTACTTCTATTGCTACTTCCTGCTCCTCCTCCATTGCTGCCACTGTACCCGTGGTACGAGTCGTAATAATTAGTAGTTACCCCGTAATAGCTATTACTATGTGAAGGAGGCGATGATCCTGGAGTCCCGTTACCACTGCCATTACTACTCATGGTTTGCTGCTGGTGGTTTGGTGAAGAAGATTGCGATGGAGGCATGGGGGATAGCATTTGGTGGTGGTAATGTGGTTGTTGTTGCTGCTGCTGCTGCTGTTGCTGTTGCTGTTGCTGTAACACGGGTCCACCCCTTTGGTTATGATTGTGATGCGGATGAGACCCCTGACTTAAATCGTCATAGTACTGAGACGAATACTTAGGAGAGTATTGAGATGGAGGAGGCTGGCCCGCGTAATTTCGATTATGGTTATTGTATTGATGGTACCCTTGGTTATGACTGTAGTAACCACCGCTGCTATTATAAGTATTGTTTTTATAACCTTGACCATAATTTTGGTAGTAATGACTACCTGTGCCATTATTAGATTTTGAAGTGTGTCGAGATGATGGCTCACTAGTTGTTGCTGCTTGTTGATGCTGCTTGTAGGTTGATGTTGCTGACTGTGACTGGGCAGAGGAAGTTCTTTTAGACGAAGCTGAGTCTGTTGCCGTTGACGGCCGTGCTTTTGAGTTTGTTTGTGATGGTTTTGATGGTGACTGTGCAGAAGAAGACTTGTTTGTAGAAGAACCTGCATTTGTCTTATCACTCCGCTGAAGTTGATCATCTGAAGCATTAGTAGATTTGTGCGAAGATGATTGTCTATTGCCAGCCGTAAACCGCGGAAGATCAACCCGAGGCCGTTTAAGCGATGGAGGGCCGTCCATTTTTTTTCTTTTTTTTTCTTTTTTATAAGTATGAATGATTTAATTTATCGAAAGAATAAAAGTCTCAAAAAAAAAAAAAAAAAATCCGCCGTTAACTTTAAAGATTTAAATATCAATTTATAAGAAATTTCCAAATGAGTTCTTTTTTTTTCACTTTTCCTGTTATTGGGATATCTTAAGCGCCATTTAACTATTCTCTTTCGTATAGTTGAGACCTTTTTTTTTTTATTTATTTATTTTGTATCAATCCAACAAAATCTAAAGAAAAAAAAAGAAAGCTCGTTTATCACTCGTAAATCCTCCTTTTCAAGTATAGTATAACAATTTTACTTGAAAGATATTGGTATTAAATAACTTTTGGTTTTCTGTTATTTCTCTTAAATCATATATAACTTGTTATATGAAAAAGGAGGGAGGGAGGGGGGAAAAAAAAAGTCACTCTTCGTTTATGCGTGGATGCACACAATCGTGATATAAAATATTCAACAAAAAAAAAAAGGAAGTACCCGAAAGATAAAACCCCCTTTCTCTATCACGATTCTTTGTTCTTTTTTTATTTTATTTTTTTTTTTAAAAAAAAAAAAAAGAGAGAGATGATAAGAAATGGAAAAAGAGATTATGACGAGTAATATAGATGGTTGAATGAAAATAAATAATAATAAGAATGAAAGGATGTAGTTTAACTATTTTATGGGGAAAGGGGGAAAGAGAGGGAAAAAAAAAAAATAGCTTGTTAATAAATAAATTAAAATAAATCACACACTTTTACCCGCAATTTGTCCTCTTCTATTTGAATTTTTTTCTTGGGTTGCTTCTTTATTTGGTGATAGTGATGGACTTGGTAATTCCGGTTGATAGTGGTGGTGGTGGTGGTAGTGACAAAAAAAAAAAAAAAAATTAAAAAAATTTTGTTTGTAAAACATCTTAACTTGTTACATTGTAACATGTTTACACGTGATGACAGCTGTTACAAAATAGAAATGTAACTAAAGTGTAATATCCCGGTAAGTGCATTTACCCTCAAATGTCTTATCGCTCTTGTTTTACATTTCCTCGGTTATTAATTTCACAATGAAATTTCCCAACGTTCTCAAAAAAAAAAAAAAAAAAAAAAAAACTGTTTGTTCCCCACACACACACACAATTTTCAATTTTATAAATACCCAAAAATATCCACAAACAGCTTCATCCAAAACTTCCCCATTCTTGGATTTTAACCATAAATCTTCTCATCCTTTTATTTCTTCGCTAAAATCTGATTATATTACCCGACTCCTCTTTTTTTTTTTTTTTTTTTTCTTATTTTTCACTTCTAAAATGTCATCATCATCGCCACATACTCATTCATTTGATCCAGATTGTCCTTTCTGCTCTCTCGCAAACCACTCCCCTCCTCTCACTCAAAACAACATTGATGTTCTTCCACCAAACGTCCTTCTATCAACCCCACGCGTCCTTGCATTTCTTGATGTTCAACCTCTTACAACTTCTGCAGCTCACATTCTTATAACCCCACGAGCTCATACCCCGACTTTACTACAGCTCTCAAGCCAAGACGCAAAAGCTTTAGGCGAAGCGCTACCAGCAGTCGCTCGAGCAGCTGCAAAGGCCCTTGGGTATAATGATCAAGACTCTAACGATTACAATTCAAGCCCTGATTTTAATCTTATCCAGAATAACGGACCAGGTGCTGGTCAAACCGTCCCTCATGTGCATTTCCATCTAGTATTTCGTAAAAAAAATTCTTCTTCTTCTTCATCATCTTCATCTTCGCCAACCACAGGATTTTCATTAGACTCAGACCACACTGAAAAAATTGCAAAAACAATGCTCACAGATTCAAATAGATTTGCTAAAACACCAGCCTTGCGATGGTCTTATGCGGCCCAAGTGTTTGGTCGTGGCCAACGCACAGACTTGGACGATGATTGGACTCATCATATAGTCCCCCAACTTCGCAAACTTATCAAATTGTAAATTTTTTTAATATAGTTTCTCTAGATTTATTTGGGTTATTTTTTTTTTACATTTTTTTTTCTTTGTAGTCTACTTTATTCATCACCAAGACCTGTTGCGGCACGTTCCTCATCACTAGAGAGTTCCATCACTTCACGGTAATTTTCCTTGGCCCATTGGCGCGCAACTACCGAAGCTTTAAAGAATCGGCGGCTAGCATACTTTTTAAACAGAGCCACATGGCGCACTTCACGCTCCGACAAAAAGTCTACAAAAAGACGCACAATGGGCATCAGTTCTGCTTCAGATACATCGCCAGAGTAGTGCTCCAGATTGGCCGTCCATTCCAGGTTTTCCATGTCATCGGTTTCCGCATTAGCAATGCGTCTAGACAGAAACATGGCAGCTGCAGCTACTCTGGAAGGTGGGTAGCGGAGTTGGCGGTGATCCAGACAAGCAACTTCTAAAAAGTACTTGCCAAAGGACCGTGTGCGCACGTCATAATTGTCAGCCTTGGAAATCCGGCGCAGGAAATTTAGAGGGTTAGGGTACGACAGCTCGTAGCTGAGAACCTGCAGTAAGAAACGCTCTGCCGACAAAATCTCATCTTCCTTAAAGTTTTCATCCGTCAGCATGGCAAAGTACTTTGTATTTGGGGGGAACACTTCCTCGTACTTGGCCGCAATGAGAAGTGCGGCAATACCCACGAGCTGGATCTTGTCGAGGGTAACGACACGCATCGTCATGAAGCGGTCGATAATGTTGAATGCAAGAAACAGAGTTTCTGGTAAGAGACGGAGCTTAGCGTGCGTGTCCACAAGCCAGTCCATGAGAACACCGCGTGTTTCCCAGGTAAGGTCTCGCTGCTGGTCCATATAGTCTGGGTCGGGCATGTATTTACGCTCCAGTGTGTAAAAGTAGTCAAAAATATCATTGACATACTCCGAGACCATGAGGGGGTCCTCAATGTCCTCAGCATCAAGGTCATCCCATGGCTGGGTGCGCGCACGCTTAGCCGCACGAGTCTCTACCAAAAGTTGCTGTTGTTGTTGTTGTTCAACCTGCTCAACCAGGAGCTGGTCGTGTTGTTTTTGGAGCTCGAGTTCTTTTTCATATCGTAAGCGTAGTGTATTGTTGTTTTCATTAGCATCGTTAGTAGTGGTATTAATATTTAGTCTATCATTTGTCTTGTCATTATGGTCATTAGATGTATTGTTGTTATTGTCATGAGTAGAAGAAGAAGAAGAAGAAGAAGTAGAAGAATGATCTTCAGCTCTACGTTTGAGAGGTAAAATGCTGGATGAGATGGAAGATGAATTTGTTGTAGTTGTAGTTGTAGTTGTAGCTGTAGCTGTAGCTGTGATTGTTGAAGTAGTATTAATGGATGGAATGGAAGAGTTATGCACGTTAAAGGATTGTTTTGAACGGGTTGACCGAGTTGAACGATGTTGTTGTCGTTGTGGTTTCAATGATGCTGTGGAAATATCTGTTGTGATGCTATTACCATTACTTTGAACTTGTAATGGTAGTTGTTGTTGTTGTTGTTGTTGTTGAGAATCTAATGGTGGCTGTTGTTGTTGCTTGTCAGCCATCACCATTTTCTTGGCTGGCATTTTCTTGTAACCTTTTGTAGACGAAGACCCTAAGGCTGCAATTTTATGAACATTCGACAAGTCTTCGAGCGCAGCTCGTCGCTTAGCTTGGCCCTGCTGGATTGCAGAGGCAGAAGTGACAGAGGAGGAGGTAGAATTTGATAAAGATGTTGTAGATGCAAGTTTCTTTGAACGGGTGATGCGGACAGAAGAGGCGACAGCAGCGGCGGTTGCGGCAGAAGAAGCAGAGAGAGTAGACTGGCTGGCCATTCTTCTTGTTGAGCGTGTTCGACTCTAATGAATAGAGATGTTAGAAAGAAAAAAAAAAAAAGAAAAAAGAAAAAGTTATTGAGAAAAAAAAAATTATTGAGAAAAGGGAAAACAAATTTTTAGTTGGTGGTAGGTTTTTAATTATTATTATTATTATTATTATTATTATTTATTTATTATTATTAAATATATATTTTTGTTGTTGTGGTTGTTGTTAAAGTGACACACAAAGGAGAGGTTGTAGTTGTTGACGCGTGAAAAAAAAAAAAAAAAAAAAAAAAAAAAAAAACTTGATTGATGACATTTTTTAATCAAAAAAAAAAAAAAAAAAAAAAAAAAAAGGACACTTACCTGTATTGAGCTCATAAGGAATGCAATGAAAGATGATGATGATGTATTAGATTTTTGGTTGTTTTCCAAGACTTTAAAATATAAAAGATATTGGAGAAAAAAAAAAATTTTTTTTTAATACTTTTGCAAGGTAATTTATATTTTTATATTTAAAGTGGGAAGAAAATGTGAAAATGATTAGAAAATCTTTTGGAGGTTTTGAAAAAAATAAAATAAAATAAAATAATAAAAAAATAAAAAAATTAAAATTAAAATTAAAAAAAAAAATGCTTGTTGTTTGTTTGTTTGTTTGTTTGTTTGTTTGTTTATATTTATTTGTTGTTGTTGCTGTTACTGTTACTGTTGCTGGAGTGGAAAGAAAAAAAAAAAAATTGGCTGGCTGGCTGACTGGCTAAATGGCTGGCTGGATAGCTGGCTGGCTGGCTGTGGTAGAAGAAGAAGAAAAAAAGAAAAAAAGAAAAAAATGCAAGGGTTAGGTTTTGGAACGGCTGTATCTTTTTTTATGTTACTGAGAAGTTTATGATTGCAAAGAAGGCATAATAATCCACTGGGGATGAAATAAAGTAAATTCGTCGGAATGAAGGGCGGAGAAGTCCTGATTTTTTTTTAATTCTTTTAATTCTTGGTTTTTTTTAAATAATAAATTATAGATAAATGATGATGATACAAAAAGATTATTGATTAAAAATTAAAAATTATTGTAAATTTAAATACAAAAAAAACGAGTGACTGAGAAATGAAAAAAAATAAAAATAAATTAAAATAAAAATAAAAATAATTTAGCAATTATAAAGGAGCGACAGTGAAACTTTTCAATTAACAAAAAAAAAAAAAAAAAACTAATAAAAAATCCAAGATCTTTTATAGAAAACGTCAATTAGAGAGAGAGAGAGTAAGAAGAAGAAGAAGAAGAAGAAAAAAAGAGAGAGAGAGAGGGAAAAATAAAAAAGGAAAAAGAAGAGACTTTATAAGTAAAAAGGGAAAGAAATCCCATTCATCAGGAAATGTCCATCCTTTTATATATTCTTCTATATTAACTGTAAAAATACTATATAGACAAGACATAATAATAATCATAATAATAATCAAGAAACCCCTTCTACACTTCTTCTCTCCTGCGGTTGTTGCGGCGATGTAATGTTTTTGTTTATTGTTTATGTTTTTAATCAACATTCTCTGTTTATTTATTTATTTGTTTATTTATTTATTTATTTATTTGTTTGTTTACTATATACTAAGCTTAAAAAAAAAAAAAAAAAAAACCAAGCTTAAACATGAAGCCGCGTTCTTTGGTTGTTGTTGTTGTTGTTGTTGTTGTTGTTGTTGCTAAGCATAATCTATATTACTGTATACCCACCACCCATTTCTTTCCCAATAATTCATATTTACTACATCTCTCTAACAGTTATTTAAAAAAACAAAAAAATTAAAACACCTCGCTTACTTTCCCTAAAAAAAAAAAAAAAAAAAAAAAAAAGTAAATACCACCGTGTGACCTCCAGAAAAAATAAACAAGTCTCAAGATTTTTTTTTAGTTATAATCGGTGTTTTAGTTATAATCGGTGTTTTATTTATAATATAATATAATAGAATCCTCATATTCAAGATCAATCATCTGTCAATCAAACATGGTATCTATATATATATTGATTCTTTTTTTTTTTTTTCATTATCTTTTATCTAACAATCTATCTTATTTTTTTTTTTTTTCCAAACAGTCTCTCTATACTTTTGCCGATACAACCCGTCAGACAATCAACAAGTTCCGCTTCGCCTCTGCGCGAGCCAAAAACCCACAAGCTTTGATTCTTAAGATTGCTAAAACTGATCAAGTCATCTCTATTGATCCCTTTGACGATGACACCCTCATTATCTCCTCCATCGATGACCTCCGTGAAACTCTCCCAGAAAACGCCCCACGTTTGGTTCTGCTCTCTTACCCACATGTTCTCCCAGACGGAAGACTCACCGCCCCATACGTCATGCTGTACTTCCGCCCGCCAACAGCTTCACAAACCCTTCTCATGAGCTATGCTGGTGCCGTTGAGCTTATTCGTAACGAATCTAATGTTTCCAGGTATGTCTTGTCGTTATTATTATTACTATTATTATTATTATTACAAAATTACAAAATTCCTGTATCGATAGAAGACGTTTTGTTACAACATTTTACTGATTACTAACACTTGTTTTTTTTCTTTTTTTCTTTTTTTATCTTTCCAGAGTAATTGAATTCGAAGATGAAGACGATCTTGATGACATTGAAGCTCTTCTTTTTTAAATTTTACTACTTGTTTTTTTTAGAATTTAGGATGATTTAAGATCATTTAATTTTGACGTATTTTTTATTTTATTTTATTTTTTTGGTTTATATAAATGTAAATAAATTTCCCAATTGGGCATTTCTTTCCTTTTTTTTTTTTTTTTTTTTTTTATGATACTTAATAAGACCTCTCATCATCATCATCATCATCAAATACCCCACGCTCCAACGATATGCGTGCTCTACCAAAAAAAAATGACTTGCCTTATTTGTATATTTTGGCCCTGGAAACAGAATTTCCACCCCCCCTCTCTCACTCTTTGAATTAAAATTCCAATCAAAAGCAATTCTTAGGTCTTAGTCTTTGTCGTTTTTTCGTTATTTATATCACACGCTTATATATACTTATATTCACACCACATATTATTTTTATTTTTATTATTATTTTAATAATTATTTCGATCGCGATAAGATCTCTAAACTTTTTAAGCTTATGGGTTAATCCAATGCCTTATATTATTATATATAAGTCTATGAATTCCAAAATATACTTTTCTTTATTTTTAATTTACTTCAATTCAATCAATATTATTCAAAACATAAACCTCTTTTTTTTTTTTTCTCCATTCTGTCTCTTTTTATTATTATTATTATTTATTTTGTTCGCGCACTGTAAAATCGTAGCTTAATTAAAATTATTTTTTTTGTCCTGCATTAATTATCGATTCCTTGGGTCCCATCGAGAGCTTACACTTGTTCTCCAACAACAACGGCCATCAATGGAATGTAAACCAAGCACCCACTATTCTAATTCCATTGGACTAACAAAAATAAAATAAAATAAAAATATATATATATATATATATATTAAAAAAGACCTCCTCGATTCTCTTTTTATATGAAGGGTGTCAAGGTGCCTACTGACATTTACAAAGCATATCAAGGTTGCCTGTGTAGCGTGTAGAAAAAAAAAATAAACACTTTCTTAACTAAAGAACGTGTTTTTTTCATAAATCGGGCCGATACTTTGAACTTGATTGCAAGTCTAGTATATACTATTAGCTAAAGTATCAAGTGTGTGTGTGAATATTTTCAAATAAAATCTTTAAAGTCACAGTGATCAAGAATCCTGAACTCATGCACCGAAGATAGATCCGTGCATGAGATATAAATAAAAAAGATCAGAGGAACGCTCGTTTTTCTTTTTTTCTTTTTATATATATATATTTTTTTGTTTTTTCTTTTTTTAACACTTGCACACATTCTCTAGTCTAGATATCGCAAGAATCTGCCTTCTTATTACGCCTTTAAAGAAGCCTCGTAATTACATTGTTAATAGGATTAGACTCAAAATCAAAAAAAAAAAAAAAAGTTTCTGTGCTTGAAGATCTTATTTTACTCTTGGTGAACATACACTTCATCATATATATATGCCAATATATATGGAAAATAACTGTGTTATTGAAGCATTAATCGCTTATTTCATCCAACATAGAAAAGGGTCCCCCGGTTATTTATTTATTTATTTTTTACTCTCGTTGTTTTCATCATCACTGTCATTGTCGTTGAAAAATTTTTTTTTTTTAAACTTTTCAAGCTTAATAGGCTTATTGTACACTTTCTTTGTAGAATAAAAATAATACTACTATTAATTAAAAATACTTTTGCTTTAAAAGTTAAAGCATTTTCAATCGAGCCACCATTGAACTTAATAGTGTATATATAATGTCAATGTCCAATGAAAAAAAAAATATTTTCCAGTTTAAACTTAGAAAAAAAAAAAAGTATCACCACAATTAAAAATAATCAAATTTCTCTTATTTGATCCTAATCCTAACTGAAACCAAAGTTTCACTTACAATGACAGCGCTTTCTCTCTATTCTTTTTTTTTTTTTTAAAGGTTTTGATTACATTCTATATCGCCAATAAATTCAACCGTATATATGATAATCTATCTATCTATCTGCCCATTATATATAAATAATTAAAAATGCCCATAAGCTTTTTCTTTAGGTGCATTGTGACACCGCCTTTTCTTCCTCCTCCTCCCCCCCCGGAATTTTTTTTTCTTTTGTTCTGTGGAATGTACACTACATCAGACAAGGACCATCATCGCCAAAAGAGAATTGGTTGTGTTGGCATGACTAAGAAAAAAAATGCTAATTACGAGCTTAAATAGAAGATAACCATATATATATATATGGCCTGTTAGTTAGTGGATCAATTAATGGAAATAGCAAGCTTAATATACTTCCATCATCCTTATCATCAATTTCTGTTCCAAACAAACCACCATTTCCACCCCCCCTTCTTCTTTATCTTACACTCGTTTATATATTAAAGCTTTTTTTTCTTTTTTTTCATTATTATTGATGTCTGTAATCTAAGAAAAGTACTCCGCTTTTAAATATGCACATAAACCACCAAGCTCCGTATTTTATGAAATCCTCCCCCAAAAAAAACTCGTGTATGAGCCTCAAGCACTTTTTCTTTTCGGGGTTTTTTTTTTCACATTTTCCATCAACGCCGCACCGGTTAAACACCAGTGTCAATGTGCATACATATATACAGGCAGTACAAAAAGAGGCTCTCTCCCTATGCAAGTATATTCTACATTTGTAGTAATTAATAGCCAAAGCTTACCATTGAAAGGAAAAAAAAATGAAAAAAAAAACAGCTTTTTTTTTTTTAGAGAAATTACCTCATAGAGCATCTAAACAAACAATCGTAATAATAATAATAATAATAATAATAATAATAATAATAATACAGGAATCAAAAGAAAGAAATTTAAAATACTTATATTTGAGATAGAATGTTGCAATTGCCAAGGATTGTTAAAGCAGGTGGACCGACTTGAGACCGACTAAACGAGATTAAGGTGTGAAATAAAAAAAATATAAAAAACCTCAGTCTTAGAATGAAAATAGCTTTTCTACATTAATATCACCAACTTTTTTTTTTTTTTTTTTTCTTCCTCTTCATTCTTGTGCAATGTCTCTTTATATTAATTACTTTAAATATTTCCATCTTGAAAAGAAGAAATAAAAAAACTACTCAAAACAATTGGATCCAAAGTTTCATTTAAAAAATAATAGAACGCTCATCTTTACATAATAATCCAACGTAAGGCACAGGGTCACAAGATATACACAAAATTTAAACCACAGTCTTTGAAATTTATCAAACATTGTGAGACATGGAGATTTCCTTATTTAAAAAAAAATAAAAATAAAAATAAAAGCTTTGACATGTTTTTTTTTTTTTGTAATGTAACCGGGTATTGCTACAAATGAACCAAAACAGAGTTTTTATATTTATATTTATTTTTATATTTATTTTTCCCTTTTCGCTTCAAAATAGTAAAAAGGTTTCTCCGGAAAGACCAAAAGCAAAGATCAAGTGAGATGTAGGATAAATAAAAACCAAAAAAAAAAAAAAAAAATAGGGGATAAAGAAGAAGAAGAAGAAGAATAACCAAAAAAAAAAAATCAATTACCTAATGCTGTTTAATACATTTGTAACATAATCGAGAGAAACAACCCATCTTAACTACCTCTGATATTTCAAGAACAAGAAATAAAAGCTTCCAGTTCTTTGATATCACACTCTTTCTAAGTTGGTTAACAATGTTAGCTATGGTTTTGTTTTGTTTTATTCTATTCTATTCACATTCACATCCACATTCACATTCATATTCTCATTTACATTCATAATTCATAATTCATTTTAAGTCTTTTTCAATACACTATATGCCTAGCCCTGCAACCAAAAACCCCTCTCTTGATGCTACATTACCAAACTTATCACATTACCATTTATCTCTCTAGAATGTATGCGTAATTATAGAATCTTTCAATGTTTTTTTTTTTTTTTTTTTTTTTTTACATTAACCAATGCGGCTCAAAGCATTCCAAAAGCCATACCTTTTGTTTTCCTAAACCAAAAAAAACGAAAAAAAAACACATACATCACTCTCAAACTTGTGAGCCACTATCACTTTGTTCTTTTGTCTTTGAAAATATTACTTTGGTATCAAATTTTTTTTTTTTTTTTTGATTATTTATCCATAGAAAATTTCGCATCTATCTGTCAAATTAAGCATATATCCATCTTTATTTGCTTTTAATTCTGAGTGTACTAGAAAAAAGAGACTTGAAAGAAAAAAAAAAAAAAAAACCACTACTAAACTTAGAATTAAATGTAATGAACACTTTGCAAAACAAAAGATCTTCAAAATTTCTGTTATGGACGTTTTAGGGAAAAAGGAAAAAAAAAAAATCGTAGCTGAGAATTACTACTGGGTACAACTCAAAATTTCAATCTTTAAATATCCTTTCCACTTTTTATTGTTGTAGTAGGTCTCTTCATCATTTGCCCCAACGCTTAAACCAAAAAGGACTTTCCAAGCTTAAACTAAAACCAGCCAGCCAGCCAGTTAGCCAGCCAGTTAGCCAGCCAGTTAGCCAGCCAGTTAGCCAGCCGGCCTTCTTTTCATTAGATGATATAACTAAGCGTAGATTTTGACTAGCTCTAAAGGGTCATCTACACTTCCATAGCGTTTCCATGATATCGTTTCCATGAGATGTCCATTTTTCTCCTGTCCTCATCCTCTATTCTCTGCTGTTCTCTTCTCGCGTTGTATTTATGCCAATTTAAGCTTAATCAGTGAATCTAACCCTCTCTAATTTATATAAACGTACCTCATTTTCTTATTTATCACCAGCAGTAACGCCATCATTCTTTAATTTTTTTTTTTTGGTCCTCATCTTTTCTTTTCTTTTGTTTATTATTTCCCCTTTGAACCCTTTATATTTTATTTATATATTAATATCAAAATATTTAATAATTTCAATCGTCTACCTGGAAACCACCACCTTTATTTTCTCATTAATTAGTGGTAACACCAACAACAGCATTTATCTTTTGACCACCGCCATCACTCTTTTTTTTTTTTTTTTTTTTTTCTACCCCTTTCTTTTACAGGAACTGGATTTATTTTTTTTTTCTTTTTTTTTTTTTTTTTTGATTAATTATGTGGTCTCCATCATTTCTTTATTGTCCGCCGGCATCTCCTGTAGTGCGCCGCATTGTCCTAAAGAGGACATTTTCAACGGCGGACATTGCAAACCAAAAAAAAAAAAAAAAAAAAAAAAAATAGAGCAAGAAATATTTGAAGACTACGATGATACTGGTATTCCTTTGACTAGATGTGTAGATGTGTAAATGAAAAATATATTTAAGTAAAGCTGATGGTAGGGAGCTAAATATTTTTTGAAAAAAAAAAAAAAATATAAAAAAATAAATGGTTGTGCAGGTATATATTTTAAACCCTAACCATTTTGAATTCATTAATAAAGCATTTACAGTTCACTGTATATTACTTGAAAAAACCTCAATATCACCAGCAGTGACTATACATACAATATAAAATTATTACAAAATGAATTTACAAAGCTTATTCAGATGATAAATTTAGTAATATAATAACGGTAATAGAAAAGATAATTTTTTTTCCATTTTCAATGGTTTTAATAAATCCTAATGAATAATGAATAATGAAAAACAAACAAACAAACAAGTAACAATAAGCAAATTGACTTAAAGTTCATCAGTGGGTAAGGGTAATTCAAAACAAAGTCAAACTTTAATATACATTTAATCACGTGATCAATATTGATATAGTAGTTGTTATCTTAATAATTATTAAGCTTCGAATTGTGTTGCTCAAGTTATTGCATTTTTTTTTAAAAAAAAAAGTTTACTTTACTACCATTTCAACCAGTGCTTCAAACAGTGCTTCAAACGAACAATCAAACAATCAAACAAACTAAAGAACTTACAAGCCAGTCATGTCCGAGTTTCCAGATAAAAACTTACCTGCAAGTCAGAACTCGCAAAATGAATCTTCATCTAATGTTTCAAGGGTGACTACGGATAAGGAGATTTCCCTTAATAATTTTGTTAATTCTAATCATTCACAAACTGCTGGTATTTCTGTCACCAATATTCCGCAGCAACCTTTACCTCCAACATCAATACCACCTCCAACTCAAACTATCCAAAGTGCAACATTTACAAATGTTAATTCTTTTATTTCTGGAAACCTGCCTCAGTCTGTTCCCTCTAATCAATCAGGTCCAGGGGGCGTACTTAATATGACATGTTTTGGTACTATTAATCCAGAAACTGATAAGGAGTTTTCTCAACGCACTCCTTCAACAGATTCCTCACTCCTATTTTCACTTAAAAGAAAACGAGGAGTTGACTTTAATTCTAATTTTGGACATAACGAAAATGAGGAATCATCTATTCCTCATGCCAAGTCTTTTACTTTTAAATCTTCGCTAAATGTATTAAGTTTTTCAAATGAAACGAATACAACCAATACAGCGAATACATCGAATTCATCGAATTCATCGAATACAAAGAATACAACGAACACAACGAATAAAACGAATACAACCAATTCAACCAATACATCGAAGACAACCAATTCAACCAATACATCGAATACATCGAATACAACCAATATAACCAATGCAACGAATACAACGAATACAACCAATGCAACGAATACAACCAATGCAACGAATACCGCAAACACCACGGATACAACGAATACCACGGATACAAAGGATACAACGAATACCACGGATACACAGGATACAACGAATACCACGGATACACAGGATACAACGAACACAACGAATACATCGAATGCAACGAATACAACGAATACATCAAATACATCGAATACATCGAATAAATCGAATACAACTAATGCTACTAACGCAACAAATGTACAACTTAAACCCCCTATGGCAAAGAGCGTACCTACAGTGCCATATCCCCGCCGCATCAACACCAATTCAACCGAACTTGTTTTCCGACCTTATTTGGATCCACAGAGTAAAACGGAAAATGCTATTGTTAGTGTCGTTGGTCATGCAGACTTTCGCAGTCATGCTTCTGTTTATAATTACTCATCCTTTTCTCTGCCACCAGAACTTCCTGATAGCACTTCAGATGTTGAACCAGATGAAAATTTGGATAATGATCCTCAGGCACTAGATGATTACAATGATAATGACACTACAACAACCACGATTGGTAAGCTTATAATAAATAAGTAATATATAAAATAAAATAGTAATTAACCAATAAAAGGATATTTGAATGCTGACGAAAGCATACCAGTTGATGAATCTAAATTGCCTAGAATACATGTGGATAATATTCTTTCTGGATCAGACCCAATTCAAAGACCGAATCCTATAGATTTGGCCTCAATTAAAATGGATGATGATTCTAGTTTGGAAGGAAATCTTGGTTATGATCCTTCAAGTCTTCCCCCACCTCCGACGCAGAAACAACTTGATAATCAGGTATCACCTTCGGAAATACTTAGACTCGAAGCTTGCCGCGTTCATCTCATGAATAAAATTGCCAATGACCCTGTTGCAAATGCATATGCCACAATACAATTTGATCTTATTGTCAAACGCGGCATCTCTCAAAAATCTTTTAATACTGTCATTAAAAATCTCACAAATTTGCCAAAAAATCAGAAAAATCGATTTAAACGTGAAATTAGAGGGTTTATTGCTTTTATGAATGAGCTTTGTGGTCCTACCGAAGGACCAAACTATTTTGGTACAGGTATCCGAAGTTTTGATGTATGCCCAAACTTTTGTTTAGCTTTTGATGGCCCTGAATATGGAGATATCACTTGTGATTCTTGTGAAGGTCCATGCCAACACAAACGCCATCTAGACAAATGCCCGCGATGCAACAGCAACCGATTAAAGAAATTTAGTAACGATCGAGTTCCCTTACCCGTTACTGTAAAGTACTTATCTTTTCGATCTTACATTCAAAATTGGTTTTCCAACTCTTTTTGTGCCCAAGTTTTATCGAATTCACTTGCCACATCGGATTCGGATATTACTGATATATTCGATGGCATATACACTCAAGCTGCCGGATTTCCTACCACACCCAATACTTTACAATCTCTTACAGTTCGCAGACTGATCTTTCATTTGTGCACTGATGATGGTAACATCATTAAGAGTGGTGAAAATTTGAAGTTGAATAACGTGAAACTTGTATGCCATAATTTCCCTAAGGCAGATAGAGCTAAGTTTGCCTTTTCTCCTTTTTCTTTCCCTCACAAAACTGGTGAAATTGCACATGCTTATTTACCGTCTTTTTTCTGGGCCATTACAAATGATTTTTATCAAGCACAGTATGGCATGTTTGTATACAATTCTTTCACCCAACAAGAAGAAATAATTTTCCCCAAATTACTTTATTTATGTGCTGATAAGCCAGCATCTAATAGTGTCCTAGGTTACACCTCGACAGCTGGCAAACACCCTTGTCCTACTTGCAAGGTTGAGCAATATTTCACTGGACTGCCCACTGATGCCACTGATGCCACTGATGCCACTGATGCCACAGATGCCACTGCTACTTCTACTTCTACTGCCACAGATACCACAGTTTCAACTAAGAGGAACGGTAAAAACAAAGGGGTTCCTACATACTTAACTCCTCAGGATTTATCTATGAGAACCAGTCAAGATTCAATTGAAGCTACGAGAGATCTTCCTCTTTACACAGACATTTCTCCAACTAAGAAATTTCCTCGGCCTGCTATCGTGCTAAAAAAAAATAAAGGTGAGCAGATAGGTATCAACGACAAATCCGCCTTTTTCAGCGACGATCCTAATCGGTCAATCGCAGCTTTCATGGGTCCTGAGTCTATTGCAATTGATCTTATGAATTTTTCCTTTGTTAACATTGCAGATCTAATGGGTAACTTTTTACTGCCTTTAAAAAAAAGTAAAAGAAACAGTGAAAAAAATGATGACCCTGTGACTTTAAAAGATCTGAAACTCAATGTACATCATAAGGAAGCACTTTTAAACGTTTTTCGGGGAATGAACTACGTTGCTAGTAGTCAGTGGTTGAACGAAGAAATTGATATTCAAGCTTTTAGAGATGGGAGATTTTCCGAAATTTCATCTGAAAATAAAAAAGTATTTCTCGAGTTATTTACACTGATATATTTTTCCATTCTCCCCCAGTTTGAAAATGATTCAAAAAAATTGCATCTTCTCAATTTACTTCTTGAGCTGACCATCATAATTCGCATGAGTTACATGTCTAAAATCCCACGAGATATTTTTGATTTTGACAAGTCAACAAACAATCTCAAAGGTACGCACAACTTCAGCACCTTTATTGTCCAATTTATTCAAGATTGGGAAAAATCATTTTATGAAGCTACACAATCTTTGGGAGAAATGCCAATTGATATCCACCTTTTGTCACATATACCTTATTTTTTGGCTATTAATGGTAGTATTCGTGAGATGTGGGCTGGGATTCCTGAGAGGTCTGAAGTTATTTTCAAAAGAGAAACCGATTCTTCACTCTATATGGCTGAAAATTTGGGAGAAGGAAGACTCAGAAAATTTGCAGCTAAAATTCTCCAACCTCAGCAAAAAATCTTGACACAAACTGGTTATGTACTTCAAAAGCCAGCTCGTCACCCCAAACAGCCTTCTACTAAAAAGAAATCTGCAGCTGATATTAGAACAGCGATCCCTGCTACCTCTACAGGTACTTTAATCACTACAACCTCAGTTGCACCTTTAAACCCTGGTTCCAACTTTCCTTCTGATGTTCCTTATACTTTTGAATTTCCACTTGATAGAATTATATATATGATTGCTCATCCTATCGGCACCAAATTTGGTTCTGAAAGTGGGCGTATTAATTTCTGGGCTCAATTCCGAATCATGTTCCCCAGATTTGATATTCAAGGGGGAAATAATTTTGAATCTACTCCTGGGTTTGAATTTAAGCCAGATTTCAATCTGGCAAACTCACGGGCATTTGAATGGGAAAGTTATTTTAGTGGGCAAGACGAAAGATTTAGACTCGCTTTTGAAACTGGATATAATTTTGAATTTTTAAAGACTTTTAACAAGCTTTTAACTGATTTCAACGCAGCTCGCCACAAAGACTTGTCAAGTTTTTTGGAAATTAACAAAGACGCTTTTATTCCTGGTCGTTCTGAATTACAAAAGGTAGAATTAGCCACAAATGTAAAGAACGCTTTTCGAAGGATTATTCAATTTGCTGATTCCTTAAAAGACAAGGATCTTAGTTCATCAGCTCCGACCAGCTCAACTGAAATTGGTACATCTGGTTCTACTGAGCCTGTTAGCACATTAGCTGACAATAACCCAGCACCTAGTCAACCACCAACTGACGATGAGCCTAATTTTATGGCTGAGGACATGGACGATGGTACAGAAAATTCAAGAAATAATTCGTCTTCAACAGGCCCCAAGTTCTCTTTTAATGTCTCGTTCCAAGAAATTCAGAACGCAATTGATGGCTATATAGCCCTACGCAAAGAAGGCAGTAAAGTGTATTCTTTGCATTTGTTTCGGCAGTGCCAGCCCTTATCAAATCCTAAGAAGAAGATCGAATATGGTGAAATAATTCGGGTTAAAAGATCTTCTATAAAATCATCATCATCATCATCATCATCATATAAACTTGCCATTTATATGAAAAGCTTTGCATTTGTGAAGGTGAAATTTTCTGATGGCAAAGAAGAGGGATTTGTTTTTGGAAAGTTTTTGGATCTAGACAAAAGCCAAAAATTAGAGCTTGACTCTGATCTGAAGCTTCACGACAAACAAAAAGGCAAGCTTATTCTTGGATATCGCAGCACGAGATTTCAACTAGTTGATTACTTTAGTGTGATTCCTCTTGAACAGATCGGCAATGTTTGTTTTCTAATCTGTCCTCCTTATTGTAAAGGTCCAAACGACACCTTTTTTCTCATGGAGTACTTGTTTGATCCTAATATTTTTGCTAGAATTGAACGCGAAAATGATGAGCCAATTGATTTGGCACTTTATGAAGATGAAGATGAAATTGGCGGCGAATTTCAAAATGTGATTAATCAAAATAATATGAGGCTGACTCCTGAAGTAATTGCAGATCTTTCGAAAGAGACTCTTCATGGAATGAGGTATGCTACAGAAGAATTAAATAGAGACTATATGGAGTATTTGGTAGGAGGAACTAGTCATAAGGGTATCATACAGTTGGCTAAGGAAGAAATGATTGCGACTGCAAAAAGTCTTCAAGATTGGAAAAACAAACGAAAACAACTGTTTTCGAATCTGCATCCAGGCACTTAACTTTAATATTTAATTTGGTATAGATATTTGATGTATTTTTTTTTGACAATGAAAGAATAAATATTTTGGTATTAATTGCTCTTTAAACCAATATAATAAAACTCCAACTTTTTTAAAAATTCGTTTAATATTGTTAAATTAATTCAATTTAATTAAGTTATTTTTTTAATAACTTTAATGTAATTGTAATAAAAAAAATATGACTAAGCAATTTGAAATTTTTTTTCACTTCACGGCTTTTTCACACCAAAGTTTTTTTCTTGGTGATCTGACTGATTAACAGACTTTTAACATCAAAGACAAACTTGCATAAACAAAATGGCACGCCCTAAAAGAGGAGGTCCCAGTTTGCCGTCAGACTTGCTTGACGAGCTGTGTATGTAATATTTTCAACTGTTAAATATAAAAACCAATCTAACTTTGAAAAAAAAAAAAAAAAAAAAAAAAAAAACAGCTGGTGCCACAGGAACAAATGATAGACAAAACAACAGACGGACTAAAAAACGCAAGATTGTAAGCCGCAAAGAACTGCGCAAAGAAGAACGCAAAGCCAAAAAGATGAAACGCAGCGGGCAACCTGAGTCAATTGTTTCTTCAGGTGGTGTCAATGGAACTCATCAAAAGAACGACAGTGCTTCAAAGAAGATTCAAAAGGGTGGACCAGCCAAGAAAAAGCCAGCTCCAAAACAAGATAGTGATGATGATGTTGGTGACTTTGATGACGATGAAGAAGACGAGTTTGGAGGGTTTAGTGATGATGACGATTTGGATGAGGACGATTTTGATGATAATGATGAGGATGGCGGGTCAGTCGAAGATACCTGGGCAGCACTCAAAAAACTTAAGGAAAAGAAAAAGGTTGCTACTGAGCCGGAAACAGCTGAGGATACCTGGGCAGCTTTAAAAAAGCTTAAGGAGAAAAAGAACAAGAAATCAGGGCCTGAGCCAGAAACTGCGGAAGATACATGGGCAGCTCTTAAGAAGCTGAAAGAAAAAAAGAACAAAAAGGCTGAGCCTGAACCCGAGCCCGAAACTGCAGAAGATACGTGGGCAGCACTGAAAAAGCTTAAAGAAAAGAAAAAGAAAGTAGCTGATGTGGAGCCAGAGACTGCAGAAGATACATGGGCAGCGCTGAAAAAACTTAAAGAAAAAAAGAAGAAGGGATCCGACAAAAAGACAGTAGATATTGAGCCTGAGACTGCAGAAGATACCTGGGCTGCACTAAAAAAGCTCAAGGAAAAGAAAACTGGAAAGACTGATGTTACTGAGAAACAAAAAAAGAGCAAAAAGATAACTGAAAAGCCAAAAGAGGCTGCAGCTCCACCCAAGCGTGCAGGCCGCAGTCTTGCAGATCTTCTTAATAAGACTACACCAGGGTCATCAACTTCATCTACATCCAAGGAGCCTAAGGAGTCCAAGATTCCGTCACATTTGCCCAATGATGTACAAGAGGCATTCCGACGAGATGATGAGGATATTGCCTTTTATTCGAAAATGTTGGGTATGAAGGATCCGTTAGGTCAAATGCCTAAGATGAATGAAGACGATGAGGATGGTTTGGAAGATTTGTTGGATGGTTTGGATCTTGATTTTGGAGACTACGATAGTTCTGAGGAAGAGGAAGAAGAAGAAGAAAAAGAGGAAAAGGAAAAGAAGACGAAACCGGCAAAGCGGGTAAAACAACAGGAGCCAGAAAGTGATGATGACGACGAAGAAAAAGATAGTGATGAAGATGAAGATGAACTTACAGGACTCCCGTTTTCCTCAGACGATGAGCTGGATTCAGATGACTTTGATTCGGATGGATCTGAAGACTTGGAAGGTCTAGACGAAAGCGGCAATGAAGATGAGGATGAAGAAGATGATTTTGAGAATGAGGTATCAGAATCTGATGAAGAAGATGATGAAGAAGATGATGAAGAAGAAGAAGAAGATACCAAGCCTAAACGCGAGAACCCATACGTTGCTCCGACTACTGAAAAATACATTCCACCATCTGTACGCAAGCGTATGGAAGAAGCCCAGAAAGCAGCAGCAGCAGGAGGGTCGTCTTCTGGAACCACAGATGCATCTGGACTTTCACCTGAAGAAATGGCGCGTCTACGGCGTCAAGTTAAAGGTCAATTAAATCGATTGACTGATACCAATATTGCAGGCATTGTGAAGACACTTTCTGATATGTATTTGAACCACCCTCGTCAGTATGTTACGGAGATTGTAACGGAAACAGTACTAAGTGCTGTGGCACTCCAAGGTGCACTTTCAGAAAAGTTTTTGGCTGTACATGCGGCTCTCGTGGCAGCACTTTATCGATCTGCAGGCCTTGAGTTTGGTGCACATTTTGTGCAAACACTTGTGGAGGAGTACGATAAACGAGTGGGTAAGCAAACAAAAGAAGAAAAAGAAAAAGATGATAATGATGAGAGTGCAGTGTTTAAAGTGTCCAACAAGGAAGCAGCAAACTTGATTTCATTGTTGGCCGAACTTTATTCATTCAACATTGTATGGTGTGGAATTGTATACGATTTTGTGCGCGAGTTTTTGCAACCTGTCGATAGCAAAGGAGTAGGGTTGGACGAAGGCAAGACGGAGATGTTGCTGCGTGTTCTGCGTGCTGCAGGTTCTCAATTACGATCTGATGATCCGCGGGCGTTACGTGACATTGTTGTAAAGTTGAATGAGCTTAAAGCTCGGGCTTCAGAACGTGGGCAACAATTAAGTCCACGTACTTTATTTATGATTGGGTTTATTGAAGATCTTAAAAATAATCGGCAAAAGAGAGTAGGAGAAAATAATACGGAAACAGCGCGTGAAACACGGAAACAAATGCGTGATTTTTTAAATGCAAATGTCAAGGCACCTAAGCGTGAGGCACTACGTGTGTCACTAGATGATATTAGGAACGTGGGGACGCGTGGTAAATGGTGGTTAGTTGGATCAGCATGGAGGTCCAAAAACATGAGTGAGATTGGGGAACAGCAGGAACAAGAAGAAGAGGATGCGCGGAAAGCAGCAGTAGATGGAGAAAACAGTCTTGTAGATAAAAAAGCGTTACAGGATTTGCTTGATGGCGCAGCTCCAGACTGGATGGAACTTGCACGGCAACAACGCATGAATACGGACATTCGACGGGCAGTATTTATTGCAATTATGAGTAGTGGGGATTATGTTGATGCGGTAGACCGGTTGCAACAATTAAAATTGCGGAGTAAACAGGAGCGTGAGATTGTACGTGTTCTTTTACACTGTTGTGCAATGGAACCAGTTTATAATCCTTTTTATGCACTTGTTGCTGCAAGGTTATGTTCCACTGAGCGTGCCATTTCCAAAACATTTACATTTTGTTTGTATGATGAGCTTGGAGAACTTGAAGGCGATGATAGTGATGATGAACGTGAAGGAATGGGTCGATTATATGATGATGATGATGATGATAAAGAGAATGGATTAAGAGGTGGTGGTGATAATGATGAAGATGAAGATGATGAGAGTGCAGCATTGAGTAGGATTCGACAAATGAAGCAACGTAAAAAATTGCAACGCAAGAAAATGCGTGAAGAAGCTGCAGTTTCTGGTCCTGAGGGACAGCAACGGTTAAGGCGGATTGTTCATTATGCCAAATTATATGGAACATTAGTTGCAGTTGGTGCACAACCTTTATCAGTTCTTAAGACTGCTAATTTAGTTGCACCAGCTCCTGACACTGCAGTATTTCTTAATCTTTTTTTTGTGACTTTGTTTTTGCAAGTTGCAGCCAATGGTGGGGTAGGTATGCCTGGGGCAGTTGGTAATGGTAATGGTAATGGTTACAACAACAACAATAACAACAATAAGAGGAATAATGGGAATAATGGGAATAATAAAAAACGTAATTCTACGGCTAAGCTTGGGTCTGGACTTGCGGCGGCCATGTTTGAACGGAAACTTGATCCTGAGAGTGAGCGTGGGCTTGTTCATTTAGTAGTTCAAACAGCTGGCAAAGGTAAAGGCAAGAAGCAACAACAGCAACAGCAACAGCAAAAGGAGTTTTCGGATTCTGAAGATGAACAAGGTCATATTCGGAATAAAGAAGATGCAGGGATTACATTATTACGTAAAATTAGACACTATTTACCTAAGGTACTTGAGAGTGATCTTTTGGATGATGAATTGACTGCAGTGGCAGCTGTTGCATCACGTAATGCAGCCAAAAGAGCAGCAAGGGTGGAGCAGGATAAGAGTAAAGTACAATGGTCTATTAATTTGGTTGTTGATGCTATTGATGAGTTATTGGAGAGAACTGATAATTCTCATGGTCGGATGCGTTAAAATAATGGGGAAATGCGGGGGGATGAAGAGGAAGGAAGGAATTATTTAATTATTTTATTTATTTAATTTATGAAAAAATTATGAAAAAATTATTATAATTTTGAAAAAAAAAAAAAAAAAAAAAAATTGTTTCCCATAAATGTTCCGGTCACGGATTAATTCCTTTTTTTTTTTTTTTTTTTTTTTTCTACATAATTATAATAATAATAATAATAATAATAATAATAATAAAGGTATCTCAGTATTTTCTCCACACTTAGATTAATACATTATATTTGAATTCTTTGGTCACTAATATGCAACCGTTCAAACTCTAGTCGTCGAATATCAGTTGAGCTAAGTTTATCCATATAATTATTTTGTTCATTACCTTCAACACATCCCAACATTCCGATATCATAAACAATTAATGGTTTCCATCCCTTATCAAGTCTAGTTTTATTAATTTGAAGACCTCCTTTAAAAGTTTCACGAGATACTACAAGAGCATCAATATTTTCCACAAGAACTGTAGGACCTGCTGGATCATGTAACATAATGGTTTCAACTTCAAGTTGTGGGAAAACATAAGCCAAAAATTCTTCAACATGACTGCGACGTACTAGATATGATTCTAAAACTTCTGCGTACTTTTTATTAACAAGAAGTTCGCTGCCGGTGATTCCGGCAATTAGTTTTTCTTTAGCCAGGTACCCAGCCACAGTTAGTAATAACCGGTGTCCATCGTGCAAGTGGTCAAAAGTTCCGCCCACTATTGGAAGAAGAAGAAGAAGAAAAAAAAAAAAAAAAAAAAAATTTGAGCAACTAGTTAGTCAAAAATATAAAATAAAATAAGCTTTTTCTGTTTGTTTGTTTGTTTGTACTTACCTGCGACAACATCATGTTCCCATTCGCCAGCAGAATCTTTCCCCTTTGTTCGTTTAGTAAGTTCATCTTCATCAGATTTAAGTCTATTAAGATCACTCATGTTTACATCCTCATCTTCTTCAACAATTCCATTGAGAGAATATGCAGGACCATTAGCACCAGCATAAGATGGACGACGGTTTGAAGATGAATAACGGTTCCCAGGGTCTTGAGTTGAATAATTATTTGGCATTTTAACAATGACTGTAGGCAAGCCCAAGATGCGGCAGTTTTCAGGTAAAGAGTTACGGAAATCCGAGAGAAGATCATCCTCTGGGTATTTGTTAGAAGAAATGAAATAAAAAAAAATTTTTAAGACTTACCATATTTTCCAGCAATAATGACTTCCCATGATTGTTTACGGTTAAGTTCTAAATTACGGCCATCTAAAAGAACAGTAACACGAATATCACGTTTCCCCATTTGATTAATTTGTTGGCGAGCAAGGTCATAAAATGCAGCAGTAAGACGTTCGACAGCTCTAATAGTATTTTGTGAACGAAGAACTAAAATATCTAGACAACCACCATTAACAGTACGGTAGAGAGAGTTATAAATGAGTTGTGGGTAATATTCATGAATTTTTGTGCAATCTGAGCCGCCCACTAGGACTAAGGTTGAATTGTAGAACATTTCTTGTTTGTTATGAATTTTGAATTTTTTAAAAATAATAAGGATATGATAATAAAGAATAATAATAATAATAATAATAATAAACTTGGAAGGGATTTATTTATATATATATATATATATATATATGAATTGAAAATGAGATGGAAATAATTTAAAAAAAAAAAAAAAAAAAAAAAAGAGAATAATAAAGAGGAGGGGGGGAAGAGGTGGGGAGAAAATAAAAATATCAAGTGTGGGGGATTCCAGAAATAAAAAAAAAAAAAAAAAATCACCTGTATTTAACACCAAATAAAATTAATAAACAAACTGCCACTTAAGAGGGGGTGTGTATGTGTGTGTTGTATGTTATGTGTGTAGTAAAAGATTTCAAGTAATTATTATAATCGTGACTTTATTTACCACGGTATTCTCAGAAATACGCTAGATTTTTATTTATTTTTATTTTTAAATTTTATTTTTGTTTAAATTGTTAAAATTGTTTTAAATTGTTAAAATTAAAGCGGGGCGAATTCCCCCGCCTTCTTCTTTGTTTTTTTTTAACATCTCCCCTCTCTCTCTCTCTCTTTCTCTCTCTCTCTCTCTTTCAAAATATATCTCTTATGTAATTACAAAAAATAATAATTTTTTATTTTTTATTTTATTTTATTTTATTTTATTTTTGACTTTTCAATTTACTTTAATATTTATATTTATATATATATATATATATATTTGCTTGCTGGGAGATTAAATAAATAAAATAAATAAATAAAAAAAAACTACCAAACGGGACTACACGGGATTTTTTCTTTTTTTTTCTAAGTTAAATTAGAAGAAGAAAGGAGGGGAGGTAAGGCTTTTTTTTTTTTTAGTTATTACACTTATATATTAAACTATTAAAGAAAACCTCTATTATATATAAAGAAATAATAAAATTTTCATTTTTAATAATAATTATTATTAAATTATTATAATAAAAAAAAAAAAAGATTTCCAACCTTCAATCTCTCAATATAAAAATACATTAAATTTTTTTTTTATTTTTAATTTTTTCATTTAAATTTATTTTCTTCATCATATATTTACAAAAAAAGAAGAATAGTAGTAGTAGACTATATAGGACATTCATTATATATAAAAAAAAAAAAAAAAAAAACAAAACTCACAAAAAATATACACAAATATATATATACGCTTCATACATGGAAGGAAGGGGACAAAGGGGGAAAAAAGATAAAAAATAAAAAATAAAAAAAAATAACAATCCAACATAAAAATTATTATTATTAATTCTTTCTTTATCAATAAATCCACGTTTTTTTTTTTTCAACACAATTACATTGCTTTTATTATTCCCTTTTCTTCTTAAGCAATGATACGAGTAATCAAACCAGTACCAACAGTACGGCCACCCTCACGAATGTTAAAACGTTGACCTTGTTCAACAGCAGTAGGGTGAACAAGCTCACAAATCATCTCAGTGTTATCACCAGGCATAACTTGAGTGCTCTCATCAACACCCTCAGGGAATGTAAGAACTGTAGTAACATCAGCAGAGCCAATGAAAAGTTGAGGTCTATAGTTAAGACCAAAACCAGAGTGACGACCACCCTCTTCCTTACTCAAAACATAAATAGAAGCAAGGAACTTGGTATGAGGCTTAACAGTGCCAGGCTTGCAAATAACCATACCACGCTTAAGATCCTCACGCTTAACACCACGGAGAAGAATACCGGCATTATCACCAGCTTGGGCCTGATCAAGTTCCTTCTTAAACATTTCAATACCAGTAACAGTGGTCTTGATTGGAGCATCATTAAAACCAACAATCTCAACTTCCTCACCACGCTTAAGAGTACCTCTATAAACACGGCCAGTGGCAACAGTACCACGACCAGGAATAGAGAAAACACCCTCAAGAGGCATCAAGAAAGGTTGATCCATATCACGAACAGGAGTAGGAATATATTCATCAATAGCATCCAAAAGCTTCAAAATACTGTCACGGCCAATCTCAGGGTTTCTATCCTCAAGAGCACAAAGAGCAGATCCCATAATAACAGGAGTGTTATCACCATCAAAACCATAAGAAGTAAGCAATTCTCTCATTTCCATCTCAACAAGTTCAAGCATTTCAGGATCATCAACAGTATCAACCTTGTTGACATAAACAACAATGTGTTCAATACCAACTTGGCGGGCAAGAAGCAAGTGTTCACGAGTTTGGGGCATTTGACCATCAGTAGCAGCAACAACAATAATAGCACCATCCATACGGGCAGCACCAGAAATCATATTCTTAATGTAATCAGCGTGACCAGGGCAGTCAACGTGAGCATAGTGACGCTTATCAGTTTCATACTCAACGTGAGCAGAAGTAATGGTAATACCACGGGCTCTCTCTTCAGGAGCCTTGTCAATGGAAGCATAATCCAAAAACTGGGCACCACCCTTGTCGGCAAGGACCTTGGTGATGGCAGCAGTAAGAGTAGTCTTACCGTGATCGACGTGACCAATGGTACCAATATTCAAATGGGGCTTGGTACGTTCAAAAGAAGCGAATCGCACCTTCTGGGCAATAGGAGAAGCGACTATATAAGAAAAAAAAGAGAGAAAGAAAGAAAGATTAGAATATGGACCAATGAGAAGACAGAATGGTAGTATGAAATTTTTTTTTTTTTTTTTTTTTTTTTAAATCAAGAAAAAAAAAAAATTTTTTTATTTTAATTAATATTTATATTAAAATACATACCAGCTCTAAAAGGAGCAGCGAATCTCAAAAGATTGAGAGGACGAAGAACTCTGGCAGCAGCCATTTTAATTGATTGCTCTTAAACGGATGTGTGAGATTTTTAATTTTCACAGATGAAGAGAAGAAAAGAGAGAGAGAGAGAAGGAAAAAAAAAAAAAAAAAAAAAAAAGAGAGAGAGAGAGGAAAGAAATAAAAAAAAAAAAAAGGAGAAAAATTATGTTGTTGTGTAAATGTGTAATCACCAATGTTAGTAGTAATAGTAGTAATAGTAGTAATAGTAGTGTTTAGTGGTTTTTGGTGGTGTTTAGTAAGTGGTGGTAATAATGTTAAAGTGGCGCGTATTTATCTTATACAAGCCTAAAAATAAAAAAAAATTAAATTATTACAACTTTACAACTTTTTTTATATATAAAAGTTTATGTAATATCATAATGGCTAATAAACTTTTGTTCTTATGAGCGGTATTTAAGTATAACATATTGTGGCAAAAAAAAAATATATTATATATATATATAATATTATAATAATTATTACCATCAACATTATTTTTATTGGTTGAACGGAACAAATTTTTTTTTTTTTTTTTTTTTTTTTTTTTTTTTTTTTCCCACGGGGTTCGCAATCGGGAAAATTTCTTGAAAAAAAAAATAAAAAACCTAACACGTGATAAATATTATTATTAAATTAAATTTGTTTGTTTATTTAATTTTTATTTAATTTTTATTTAAAGGTTATAAAAATTTAAATTAAAAATAACCAAACCTTCCCAACTTATCTCCACTTATCTTCATCAACGCTGTAATTGTATTTCTTAATTCCTACAAACAGAGATAAAGTTTATTACAATCTCTTATAAGCCAGTTAAACTGTTTAAGATAGTCGACATGTCCATCTCTGGAGATATCCGTTTTCAATCCTTTTCTTTCCTCTTGAAGCAAAGGACACTTAACCAAAAAATATGATGAACAAGTTTCTAGCTCTCCACATTTGCAGTTATAACTATCCTTTTTTTTTTTTTTTTTCAATTCCAAACTTTTTAAACCATGTGCCAAAGTTGCCATAGCCGATAAATTAAATTTTACTTACAAGTTACAACTAAATATATTTAAATATACTATTTATACATTAAAAGTTAACAAAATTTAACAAAATAGAACCAGTGGCCTAAAGGTAAGGCACTGCTTTCCGGCGGCAGAGATTGCGGGTTCGAGTCCCGTCTGGTTCTCTCATTGATAATAATTATTTTTTTGTTAAATCAAAATATATACATTTATTATTTTTTTTATTTTATTTTTTATTTTTTTTTTTTATTCAATATATATTGAATTGATGAATTTTATTATTGAACATTGAACATTCAGCTGATCAGCATGATGATGATAATGATGATGATAATGATAATGATAATGATGGTGCCGTGCACTTATTTTTTTTTTTTTTTTTGGAAACAAAGAAACTTTTTTTTTTTTTTTTTTTTTTTTTTTTTTTTTTTGGAATAAACGAGGCAGTTTCTTATATAAATTTTTTTTTATTTTTTTCGAATACAATACAATACAATAAAATAAAATATAGAGAAACATCACAAACAAGAGGCAGGTTCTAATTAGGTGGGTTTCTTCTTTTTTATTTTATTTTAATTTTTTTTTATTTTAGTTAAACTATATATATATATATAATTTTTTTTTTATCAATCACAATTATTTTTATCAATCATAATTATGATTGATCATCACCATCATCATCATAATCTCGGTAATTCCCATATCTTTATTTTTTATTTTTATTTTTATTTTATTTTTATTTTTTAATTGCAATTAATGAACTCTTTTTTGTTAATTGTTTTTTTGAATAATATTAACAATTTCAATTTCAATTTCAATTTCAACATCAATTATTAAATATCAAATATGACAATAAATAAATAAATAAAATAATTATAAATAAAAGACTAGTTAGAAATGCCTCCATTTCAAAGCCTCTTTCTACGTAAACAAATTTTATTTTATTTTATTTTATTTTATTTTATTTTATTTTATTTTATTTTTTTTTTTTTTTTTTTGAAACGACATTCTGACGATAGAAATTGTCTTATTTAAAAAAAAAAAAATAATAATAATAATAATTCCTTCTATATAAACATTCCAAAGTAATTTAATTTTAATTTTTATTTTAATTTTTTTTATAGCTTTGGAAAAAAATAAATAAAAATAAACTTCTATATAGATTATTATTATTATATTATTATAATAATAATAATAACAACTGGTATTACATAACAATTATATATATAAATTCACACGGAATAACATTGCTCCGCTTAATATTCCAAGCAAACCATTTCTCATCCTTTAGAAGATTTTGCTCACTCATCTTTATTTTTATTTTTATTTTTATTTTTATTTTTAATTTATTTTTATCTTCTTTTCTTAATATATTTTTGTATTTATAAAAAAAAAAAAAAAAACAGTTTTTTTAATTTTTTTTTTTTAATAATAATAATAATAATAATAAATACTACTACAGTTCAAGTAATTTCACTTCTACTTCTCAGATTCACCTAAATCACCATCTAAATAAATGTTTGATACCTTGAAGAACCTCTGGTTATTGTTGTTCTCGTCTTCGTACTGAGACTGGTTTTTGATTTTTTTTGATTTTTTTTTTGATTCCCTTGTGTGTCTTCTCTCAAGATCTATCCTTTTTTTTTATTTTTATTTTTTTTTCTTTTGTCATGGATCAAAAACCCCAAAATAATACCCAAAACAAATCTTCTTCTTCTTCATCATCATCATCATCATCATCATCATCATCACATTTCACAGAATCTTCTGTCACATCATTAGCAGCTTCCAAAAAACGCCATATGGCCTGTGAACAGTGCCGCAAACGGAAACTCAAATGTAGTGGTACAAAACCTCAATGCTCTGCATGCTCGCGTAATGCCCGCGATTGCGTTTATCTCAATTCCTTTAAAAAAAGTGGCCCTAAACCTGGCCATCTCAAAAGCCTTGAAAAACGTTTGGAACTCATGGAATCACTCTTAATAGCAAATGGAATCAAACTTAACCCTGATGATGATGATAATAATAATACTTCTGATGATTTGGACTCTAATAATTGCCTAACTTTAACGGATCATCCCCATCCCACCATTCCGGCTTCCGAGCTTGAATTTGAAAAATTTGAAAAATTTGAAAAATTTGAAGACTCAATCCCTTCATCTTCATTAGAATCTATAACAACAACACAAAATATTATCAAAAATGATGTTTTTTCTGCTAAACAATCTCAGCGTGCAATCAGCCATAATAGTTATACTGATAGTTATACTGATAGTTATACTAATAGTAATAACAATAAACATTTCGATACAAACTCTCACATCAATAAATCCCTACATTTCACCAATGGATCCGTCGACTCTTTTACTCACTTTGAATACAAGTCGGCCAGAATTTCCACCGGAAATGATACTGAAATCTACCACAATATGGAATTCCAACTTATCCCCATCAACGTTGATGAAGCATACCCAAACGACGCAATCACATATGAACTTCTCGAAATTTATTTCAACCGTATCCACCCCCATTACTGCATCATTAATAAATCTCGCTTTTATACTTCTCTTGCTGCAGGCCATACTAAACGTCCTAAACCATTTCTTTTCTATGCAATTTTACTTGTTTCTGCTTCAATTAGCGAAAAATTCACTGCTCTTGAAAAGGAATTTTATGCTCGTTGCATCAAATATGTTGATCGGGCTGAAAAATCAGGGTTTGGAGAAGATATCATCAATATCCAATATGTACAATCTTTAGTTCTTTTGTGCATTTATGAACATAGATGTGGGTCCTTTGCTCGAGCTTGGATTTATACTGGGAAAGCAACAAGAGCAGTTCATATGAACAATACCCATGATATCGATTCTCAGCTAGGCTCCAGATTTACTGGCCTTTTCCCCTCAAATGAAATCGGGAACAAGCTCGGAGAAGTTGATTTGGACGAAGCTCGTCGAGTACTTTGGATCGTATACATTCTTGACAATTATGGCTCAGTGGCTACGGGCTGGCCTGTATCCATAAATTTCGAAGAAATCTCCACTTTAATCCCTCTGGATGACGTTGAAGAAGTCCAAGATGGTAGGAAAAATACTTCTTTAGCATCAATGAACGACATTTTACGGTCCCCTGAAAGATACCTAAATGGTATGCGATCCTTCACTGCTTTTAACGTTGTTCTCATCCATCTTTTATTTCGTGCATTTCGTCTCATGACTGAAACCCCTCAACATGACGACTTTTCTAAAACTGGGTATTGGTGGTCTAAACATAACAATGTTCAACTCCAAATTGATAGACTATCACGAATACTTCCAAGTTATGACCAGTCATCTCCACACATCAACTCCATTATTTGTCTTCATATCCTTCATAAAATGTGCTACCTTTCTTTGTACCGTGCAGCTGTTGTTCGTCTTAAGACTCTCGGTGGCCCATATGAAACTGAAGCTTTTGAAGAGTTGTGCTTCAAAGCAACAACTGATCTTACAATGTCTCTAAGATTTTCCACAAATCTTTATGATGTCATTGAGCACCCGGGCCCCCTATTTTGCATTTATACAGCTGCTAGAAGTTTTCTCACTTTTATCGAAGACAAAACATCTCCCTCGTACTCCATCAGTGATGAGAAAAGAGAAAAGGATAAATTTATGATTTTGCGTTGCAAAAACTACCTCGACTTTTTATTAACTGTGTTTAACATTCTGCGCCCCCGCATGTTTCTCGCAGAATGCTTTTACGACAAAATTTACAATGATTTGATCCATGCACACATTGGAAGACCCCCAGATATGCCCAAACCTGCTAGATCACAGACCAAGTGCCCCATGAACCCCACTTCCAAGTCTGGTCCGGCTGCTTTACGAGTCCAAGTGATTCACGAAGAAGAAAAGACTAAACAACAACTACAACAACAACAACAACAGCAACAACAAGCAGAGACCAAAACTCAATCACTAAGGTCCTTTTGGGGGGCCGTAAATACCCTTCTTAATAATGAAAAGTCAACTGAAGGAGTCGACCAACAATCTCCTGCATCAGAATCGTCTTCTTTGATTGAAGTAACCTCATCTTTTTGTACGAGCTCCTCTTCGTCGTCATCAACATCTGCGGGTAACGCCCGTTCTCCAGCAACTGCCAACCGTGTAATGAAACAAAATGACTTGTTTACAAAACATTGCACAGGAATCCAGCAAGAGTTTGGCAAAACATACACAATATATAAATCCGATTTAAGTGACTTGCCTTGTTCCTCTTCATCTCCCTCCCCTGGCTCTTTGCAACCAATCATAAGCATTCAGCCTGAAACTCCCAGCACAATTTTACCTACGTTTCATCCACCTCCAGCAGAGCCTTCCCCAATTACTATGAGCACAGCATTCATGGGTTCTTCGCCTCTCGTATCAAGTACTGTTTCTTCGGTACGTGTCAGTAGCGGTACCACCCCTTCAAGCACCACTTGTTGTTCTTCTTCTTCTTCTTTAACTGTTAGTTCGACTCCTTCCTCAATTCCCACTCAACCATTTTCAAACGTTACTACAGATAATACTATCAACCCCTTACCAAATTTTCAGTCCCCTGGATTGCCCAATGCTACACCTCCACCACCTCCTCTTCAACCATCAACTTCTCCTTTGCCTTCACAAGTGACAGTATTCCCCAGGGGATCGCCTTTGCCTCAGGACCCCAGCTCTAGTTCTGGCTCTGGTCCTTCTATGGTTGCTACAACTTGTCAAGCACAACAAACACATGCACTAACTCAGGCACAGGCACAAGCCCAGGTGCAAGCGCAGGCGCTGGTGCCACCACCACCACCACTATCTCAATCGCCGGTAGTAATTATTAATGCGACAGGCCCTGAGGTTGGGGTTGTTGGTACACCACAAGATTTGGGAATCCAACAACCGCAACCTCACAAGTACCCAGACTATCTGGACTGGAACTCAGAAATGAACTTTGAGACTATTATCCAGGAAATCCTCGGTAGTAATGGCCAACAGAAACCGTTACCGGTGCCACAAGAGGACATGCCAATGGCCACACACTCGGTGCTTATGTCGCGAGACGGATCTCACCCAAACATGGGCTCACAAGATTATCGTAAATTATTTTAAACATTTTTTTTTTCTGTACACATAGGCTTATTTATTTAAATTATTGGAATACTCGTGATTTTTTATTTTTTTTATTTTTTTATATTGAAAATGTGGGGTGTGGCTTTTTTTTTTTCTTTTTTTTTCTTAGGGATGTTTATTATAAAAAAAAATCAGTGTTGTTTACTTTTTATTTATTTTTCAATCACTACGACCATGAACGAAGCCCAACTGAAGGAAACCTTTGAAAAGGGTATGGCAAAAGCCCATGAACATTTCGTTCGATCTGAACTTCCTCTTACTATTCAGATCCTGGAAAGACTTGAAAATCGTCTACGCGGGTCTTCTGCTCCTACAGGTTCAGCCCATGCGCGCTCTCTAGGATCTAAATCACGTTCTGCTACAGCCTCTACTACCACCACTGACCCGCTGGCCCCGCTTCTTTTCCAGGTGCTCGACCGGCGGTGTTTATGTGCACGGCGTATGAAAGACTTTGATCGTGCACAAAAAGATGCTCAGCGTATGGTGACTTTATGTCCTCGCGAGCCAAAGGGGTACCTTGTACTAGGCCGCGTTGCGGAAATGAGAGGCAAACCCATGCTGGCCCATAGAACGTATACTGAGGGACTCAAGCGGTGTGCAGGGTGTAGAGACAGCAGTGAAAAGACCGCAGAAACAGCATACAAGGCCATGGAAACAGCTCTGGCAGCCATTCCAATCAATGACCTACAACAACAATCGTCAAACGTCAAACGGCAACAGCAACAGCAACAGCAACACCCCCAGAAACTGAAATCAAGAAGTGCATCGCCAGCAATAGGCCCAGGAGTCGACCCACTTTCCAAGCTTCCCTACTTTGAGGTTTTCCAACCAATTCTTAATTCGCTCGACTTCAAATCACTTCTGGCATGTATGAGTGTCAGCCGGCGCTGGCGCGAAATGATTATGAGCGATGACCGCATGATTTCCGAAAGACTTGATCTTACTATCAACACATTGAGCAACGGCTGGCGATCAGCAGACTTACGCTGGGTTCTGAAGTGGGGGGCTGGTGGAGCCCGAGGGAAAAAACGAGTGATTCAAAATGTCATTGTCGACACGGTACGCCCGGGCCATGAAGCTGGGGTCGTGGAGGCCTTATTTTCAACGTACTCGCACAACATCAAGAAACTGAAACTAAACCTCAAGCAAACAACTCTTTTTGATTTTTTCCTTTCTCTCTACGGACCAAAGCCTATAAACTTTTGTACCAATCTGGAGTCTCTTATACTGGACGCACCATTCTCGACTCTTTTACTGTCAATTGCATTACCCATGTTCACTGCGTTAAAACGTCTGGAAATCAATTTTAACCCCAACATTACACCCAATTACTTTTTCCTTGACTTGTCTAAGAAAGATCCTCCTAGTGATACACGGCCGGGTCCGCAAAACCTGGAGGTTCTACAGCTTTTCAACATTGCGCCGGATCTCAAGTGGTATATTCCAAAATACATTCGGTCTAAGCTAACTAAACTTAAAACACTGACGCTTTCGTACAGCAAATGTATACAAATGACTGACCAACTAGAAGAGCAGTTCACAGAAATGCTGGAAAACTTGCCAGACTTGGAATCGCTTACTCTCAATGCAGAATATTTATCGTCTTCTCCCAATATGGTTAAATCACCGCGACTAAAAAACTTGAGCTTTTACCACCCACAGTGGTCAAGCGCACCTAGAAATATGCACGGCCCAGAAGCACAACTGCCAACAAAGGATCTGCGTATCCAGTACGGCAATATCACCATATCTTCTGGTCCTGAGTTTCTTGCGTGCTTACGCCATTTAGGATGCGGCCATAATCTGACTCTCCTTTTACTTGAAAATGTCCGCCTACCCTATTTATATGACGAAGAAGGATACGACCGGTACGTACGGCATGCGTTCCCCAATCTACAAACCCTTTCCTTTGGTGGCGTCTCCGAAGTTGGTGACGAAACGGCATCTGCCATTGTTGCAAGGGAACCGTTCCCACAAAACGTTATTGTGAGTCAAACTTCGACTTCGTATTTTGGAGTAAGAGCCCTCATAACCGCCGGTGTTCAAAGAATAGGAATTCAACGGTGCTACTTTACAATGAAACAGCTTTTGGAAATAAAAAATTCAATCGAGCTTATTGAATTTGATCGATTCAACAGACCATTAAATGATCAACGTGTTGCATAAGAAAAAAAATCAAACGGTAAAAATTGATAACGTGTAACGTACAGTAAAAAAAATAACAAATTGATAATATTTAAACCTTTTTCCAGCGACCACCCATTGGGACGCCTGTTCGCTCACGGACTTGTTCGCCGTGAATGTGTCCCTTCTTGACAATCTCTGCCTCGTTCATGGTTAACAAGACCTTATCTTTGATAAGTACTTGACCATTGACTACAACTGTCTCAACATCATTGCCTGTGGCAATATACACAACAGCCGAACACGGGTCACGATTGGGTACGCCGTACAGCTTATCTGAAAGGTTGATAGAAATAAAGTCAGCCTTCTTACCGATTTCCAAGGATCCCAAGGAGTCTTCGTGTCCAATGGCCCGGGCTCCGTGACGTGTAGCCATTTCAATAACAGTTTCTGCAGGAACGAGATCTGGAGCATAATGGATAGCTTTGGGTAATAGCGACGCCAGTTTCATTTCCTGAAGAAGATCCATGACATTGTTACATGGGCAGCCATCGCAACCAATACCAACAATGGCACCGGCCTCAAGACACTCCTTGACTCGAGCAATGCCGGACCCTAGCTTGGCATTGGAGGTAGGGCAATGGGCCATGGATGCACCAGAACCAGCAAGAAGCTTAATGTCATTGTCATCAAGATGAACCATATGGGCCAACACCGTACGAGGACCCAATAATCCGTACTCCTTGCAGTATGTCATGGGGGTATGGCCTTTTGATGCGAAAAACTCGCGGTCAGCCTTGATTTCTGCACAGTGCATGGTGATACCAATGTTACGGTCGCGAGCAATCTTAGACATTTTTGTGTAAAGCTCTTCCGAAACACCTCCAGGAGTCCGGGCTCCGAACCAGACTTCGACACGACCATCACCCGCACCGTCATACTTGGCATGACACTCGAGAACCTTATCTAGCGACGACTCGTCTTCAATCAACCCAGGGTGCATTGAAACTCCGTCTTGAGTGGCGTAGCGTGGAACATCCATGACCACTTTCCCTAAGCAGCCGCGGATTCCAGATTCGACCACTGCTTTGACAGCTCCACCAAACCCGTAACGTTCTGCAAAAAGTGCTTCGACAAAACATGTTGTTCCACTTTTGAGCATTTCTGCAATGGTAAGCTGTGCAGCAACATACCCATCCTCCTCGGAGAAATTGCCCTGCATGGGCCAAACACGGTCACACAACCATGGAATTAGAGTCAGATCATCGGCCGCCGATCGCAGCAACGACTGAGCCAAGTGGACATGCAATGAAATGAGACCGGGCATGATGATGTGGCCAGTCAAGTCAGTGATTGGTTCGTTGGGGTATTTAGCCAACAGGGGTTCTGTTTTCCCAATATCGTCGATGGTTGTGGAGCCCTCCTTGACGAGGATTGCACCGTCGAGAATCACTTCGCGGTCCTTATTGACGGTGATGATTGAAGCATGAGTGTAGAGCATTTTATTTTTATTTTATTTTATTTTATTTAATTTTTTTTTTTTTGCTAAGTTGCTACTTAAGTATAAAGATTGTGAATTAGGACTGACTGATTGATGAAGTGAAAAATTCCCAATTCGTGCGGGGGAAGTAGCAAATGGTGCCGCTTAAATATATTATTATTCGAGCCTCATGCATGTGTGAAACGGTCCCGGACAAGCCCGAATCAGCCAAACAACCATCTTGGGAGTTCTACATTTTATAGTTATCATGATATGACATTGATAATGACAACATGCTTGCTATTTGTTCAGGATCCGCTATCTAATCTATAGGTTGCCCCGCGCGCTTTGGTCTCTCTCGATAGCTTCAAACAGGGCCCGGAAGTTGCCAGCACCAAAACCATTGTGGTTCATTCGTTGGATAATCTCAATAAAAACAGTCGGACGGTCTCCCAGCGGTCGTGTAAAAGTCTGTAACAAGTACCCGTTCTCATCAAAGTCCACCAGAATCCCCAGACGTTCCAGTTCTTCCAAACTTGGCGGAATCACATAATTGTATGGAATCTCCAACTGCTTCTCAGCAAATGACCAACGGGAAGTCTCCACAGGTTTAATCATAGGTGGTGACACGGCAGCATCAACAATAACTTTGGAATTTTCCACCATTGCATATTTGGCTTCAAGCGTCTCTGACGCAGCACATGACAAAGCCTCGTCTGCACTACCGCTATCTGTGCTCATTGTCAATACATCTGTGGCGAGTGAGTCAACGTCTCCAACAGATCTGGCAGATGACAAAGAAGATACCAATGACAATGACAATGACGGTGACGATGACGATGACGATGACAACGAGGCCGACGGCGATACCAACTCCTCGCTTCCACTCACCCTAACACCCCTTTCTCTTAAACGGAGAGCAAGCATCTCATAGTATGCATGAGGTACCACAATAAAGTCTACCCCTCGGTGGGTCTTCATGCTTGAAACAGCCGCAACAATATCTTCAGTGAGTAGCGCAATGTGTTGAACACCTGGCCCATCATAATACTCAACAAACTCTTCCACCTGCGACCGTTTCTTTCCTGGCGCTGTTTCATTGATTGGCATCTTGATGGCATTAACACCCCCAGAAGCCATGACCACCGAACGCAACGCTGAATACTCTGTATGTACTTGCGAATCATCCACTGACCAAAACCGGCGAAATCCAAGCGCATGCTCGTAATACCGACATGCATCCTCCATCTGATCCCGGTCCTGGTTCCCAACACAATGGTCAATGCGCACCAACGGCGCGGCCGGAAGCAACTTGTTGATAGGGTCCCTACCTTTAGACTCAAAATACCCAGGTAAAAAGACACCACGATACGTTGGCTGGCCGGTTTTTACATCTACATACTCAACCAAGGTATGGGTTGTATCACCATAAGTTTGAATCACCGCTTGACGTACATACCCGTCCTTGTCTTCCAAAACATGAGGTGGTTTGACTACTCGTGCACCATTTTCCACTGCTGAATTGAAAAGTGCATCAAGATCATTCACAGCAAATGACACATCTTTAACCCCGTCTCCGTGTTTCTAAAAATTATACCGTTAGGTTTTCTAAAAAAACAGGTAATTCGATACCACTTGGTGTATACCTTAATGTGCTCGTTAATCTCGCAAATTAGATCAATATCTTCTTCATGGCCCTTCTCCACTCTTGCCTCGCTTCTTAAAACAGACATAAAGACAAATCGCACAAGGTGACTACCAACAACGTGAGCTGCAATGTTGCGCGATCCAGTCTCAAGCCCACGATAAGCAACATGCTCAAATCCCATGCGTGTAATCATGTACGATGCAGCTTGACGAGCATTGCTAACATACCAGGTTACGTGCGAGTAACCAGTATACTTTGATTGATGAGTTGTTTCAGTAGCCATTATGAAAAATTAGTTATTTCAAAAAAAAAAAAAAAAAAAAAGAAAGAAATGTTTAAAAAAAATACAACAATTTATATTTTATTTGCAATTGAATTCTCAAATCGTACGATCCATCAATATATAATTTTTTTTTTCATACTCTTCAAAGCAACAGTTAATTTGTGAGCAAAATTACTGGCTCTGACACTATACCTAGACAGCCCCATTGCCTCAGAGACTTTCTGATACCCATGTGATGATTTAATGTAAAGATATGCTACCACAATTCAAGAATTCTCTTGAGAAAGCTCATACCTACTCTAATACTTGTACTCGTGGTGCAGCGCCCGCTCAACCATCTGGCCGCAAAGTTTAGCATAAGGATTCACCAGCGCCGCGGCCCGCTGCGCGTACTCGTTGCCATACTCCCCTCCCAAGTGCAACCACCTGCTTGCTTCTTCTTCCAATTCCCAGCTGTCATCTTTACCAATCACCGTAATGTCGTTATGATTTTCTTCATGTGATGACTTTGTGGCTCTTGCCACTTGGATACGTGTCAAGACTACCCATCCTTTTTGTGTGTAAGCCTGTGCTGCCACATGGCGTGCTAAATAGGTATGAGGGCCATTTGTTTTTTGAATATCTTTTTGTGCTAGATCAATAGCACGTCCCAGATCAGTGTCAATACTGTCTAAAGATACTGTAATTTCTGACCCTGATTCTTTTTTTTCAAGATACAAAAGACGCTTAAGCTGAGCACGGTTATTGTATGCGGATGCATATTCAGAATTTTGTTCAATTAAAGCATCCATCTCTTCAAGAGCCTTTTTGTAATTTATGCTCTTGCTTTCAAGACCCTGAATAATCTCTATTTCTCTGCGCTGAGCATTTGACAAATTTCCTTGATCAATACTATAATGCAAGCCTCCATCCAAGTGAGCACAGATTACTTGTGGAGATTCCTTTTCAACCTTTTCAATCTTTTCTTTAGGGAAAAGACAAAATAAAACAAACTGGTCGTTCTTTGATAGTTGTGACATGGTACAGAGGTAGATTGAAAAGAAAATAACAAATAACAAATAACAAATAACAAAAAAGAAAAAAGAAAAAAGAAAAAAGAAAAAAGAACTTAAACAAAAAACTAAATGAGGCTAAAAACTTTTGGCTATTTGTATTCCTATATAAACCTATATCAATGCTAATTGAAAAATAAAAAAAATCTCGTTATATATAACGGTGAAATAATAATAATAATAATAAAAAAGGACTTAAAGACTAATATAAAAAATGCAAAAAAACGAGTAATCAAAGATCAAGGGAAGGTGATTTCTGGAGGAGTTCCAGGAAATGTATACCAGTCAAAATCCCTTTTAACCTTCCTTGCTTCTTCCAAATCAGGCACCTTAAAAATCACCACGGCTTTACCTTCAGAATTAATGGATGCAATAGCCGAAGTCTGAATTTTGCCAAACAAATTAGTAAACGTCTCAAAAATCTCATCACTATTTTTAAATGCTTTAATGTCAACGTTGCTAGCCTTGACAATAACTGGAGCCTTCTTATTTACAGAAGGTACGTGTGCATTGGAAACTCTTTTCTCAGGAGCCAAAGGTACCAAGGGTGGCATTCCAGAGGAAGGACCAGCAGGTGAATTAACCTTCCCATAATTGCCCCACATCTGCTGGTACATGAGCCATTGGGAATGCATTTTGACCCATTCAGCAAAGTTGGTAATCGATGTCAACGTCACCTTTACAGTCACATTATTTGGTAGCAACAAAAAACCAGTGTTCTTACAAAGAGTAGCACAAGTCTGAGCACTTTCCATTTCAATCAACCCTCTCTTCATTCCATTGGAATCAAGATCATCATAAATAAAGCACCCAGTAGGCCTACCATATGCAGTAAAACACTGATAAAAAAACTGGGGAGACCATTGATTCGGAATGTTTTCAACCAAGATGGTGCGAAAGTGCTGGATAGCAGGATCAATCTTCTCTGAGGTAGTAGTACTGGGAAAATGAGAGCACTGAAAGTCTTCAGTGCCTGCGTTTCCAGCTCTGGGACGAACCTCTCTAAATATACTAGTCAGTATTCATAAGCTCAATCAAGGCAAATCATTATACTTACAAGGTAGCACCGTCCAACACCAATGGCTCTTTATGGTTAAGTACCTTGTTGACCGACTCGGGTACAAGAAACTTTATAAAGGCATAGTCTCTTCTGTTGCGTCCAGTGACGGCATTCTTCAGGTTGACAGATTTAACAAGACCTAAAAAAAAAAAGAGAGAGAGCGAGGGTTAGTAAACAAATATTTAAGAGACGATAAAACTATGCTTTGAAAGTCATTTCAAAATCTTTGCATTTGCTTGTTAAAGGGGTACCAAACTGAGAAAAAAAAGAACTGAGCATATCTTGTGTAGTTGTGGGAGCAACGTTTCCCACAAACACAACGCAATTAATATCATAAACAAATCGAGGCTCAATGTACTTGAACCCATTTTCAGGGAAATTATCGATAGATGAAGACAAAGGAGTCAAGTGAGACTTAGCATTGGAGACTGACTCCAAAACATTGGGGGTAGTAGCTACAGAAGCAGAAGGTCCAAATTTAGCACGAACAGGAGGGTGATTTTCAATATTATCACCAGAGTCTTCACAGTCAGTGCAAACCAAAGGTGTCTGATACTTCTTAGCCCAAACACTAGAAAGAGGATGAGAATTTGAAATACCAATCTTGTTATCTTTATTTGAGTTGGACAAAACTGGTTTAGGAGCATGCTTAGAAACAAGAGGGCGATTCTGGTGATCTGGCAATGCCTTGGATGCGTTTAGAGTAGGTTTCTTGAGAGAAACATTTTCGCCAATACGATTTGCAAGCACATTTTTATTGTCCTTAAAAGTAGGAAATGAAGGTTTTTTGCTGAAAAATTTTAAAAGGTCCAAATGTTAAAAAAGTAATCACTGGGAATAAGCTAAAAGCTATACATACCTCTTAGAACCAACAACGGTCCAAGTGCCATCTTGGTCCTTAATGGAAGTAGTCATGAGTCCCATAGTAGACTTATCAACGGAGATGAAGTTTTCGTCAGAGATTTTAGGCATATCGAAAAAAAAGAACAAGAAAAGAAAAAGTATAGATAAGGAAAGTGAAAAAGAAGGGCCTTTTTTCTACTATGGCAGAGTCAAAACGATCTTGGAAATATGGTTCAAAGAAAAAAAAAAGAAAGACAATAAAATGATATGCAGAAGGAATAGTTAAAGTCCAGCGAGCTTTCTCCTTATAAAGAATTGGAAACCCAGACTTGAATGGTGGCAAGAAGGAAGAAAAGGAAGAAAGAAAGCAAACAATTGTCAAGTAATGGAATTTATTTATTTACCTTCTCGACAACCTGAGTTACAGAGGCCAAATAACCCAAAATTAAATCACATGATTGAGTTTTGTTTTTTAGGTAGTGTGCGGCTTGAATTTGTTTCTAATAGCAACAAATACTCGCCTCTTTTTGAGGATTTACATGGCAAATTGAACTTCATTAAGAAAACTTTTCAAAATATGTTTCAGTCAAAAAAAAAAAACATAAAAAACATAAAAAACATAAAAAACATAAAAAACATAAAAAATCATTAAATTCATTAAATTCATAGACATCATAATAATAAGTATTTATATATATATTTTAAATTGCAGACCCGTAATTGTTTTTCATAAGCTTATGCGGGAGCAATGAAGAAAGAGCCCCAAGAGAACTCTTTCTTCTCACATGGCGGCGTGGTTGGCCATCATGAGAGGGGGTTACGTCATTAAGGTCATCAGAAGAAATAGCTGAAGTATGGAAACGAGAGTGGCTCGATCCAGCCAGCGACGAGCTGTTCATGGAGGGCTTGGGAGGGGAGCTTGAAACTCCAGACAAAGAAGTAGTTCTTGTCTTGACTGTGGGTGGGGTTGGAGAACAAGATGCAGTAGTATTTGCTACCGTTGATTGAATTGCTGCAGCAGTGGTAGAAGAAAAGGTATTGTGGGGTTGGGATTGTGAACGAGCCTTTTTAGGAATATAGTGTGTGGGAGAATTGAAAGTAAAATTTGGACCCTTAAAAGGAGGTTTGATGCATGGCTCGCTAATGTCGTGCTTTGTCTCTTCAGACTCGGAATTAGAATCCGCATCAGTATCATCATTTTTGCCATTGTATAACCGAGAAAAAGAATGAGAAGATGCCTTTTTATGAATGGTGCGAGGAGTAGAATGAGCCTTGGAATTACTCTTGTCATAAGAACCAAAACTAGTATCCATGGTTGACTGCGTCTCACCCTGGTTTGAGGGGAGCACTGACTTGTAAGGAGAAACAGATTTAATAGAGCCATGAGAAAAAGACTCATCAAAAACAGTTTCTTCATTAGACAAAAAAGAGTCTTCAGCGGCACTCTCTCCACTAGAAGAAAGAGAGGAAAACGATCTAGAATCTTTCAGTGTCTTCATAGAATATGGCTTCACTTTGCGGCAAATTTTCAACTCTTGTTCAATAATGCGCTTTGACACATTTGTTTTACTCTTGGATAAAAAGGAGGACACAATAGGATCACCATTAATGCTATTCTGTTGAATATCCTCCAATCTAAGCTGGAAAGCATTAGAAGTAGAGTCAACTGCATTTCGGAACCAGTCTTTTTGAACATCCAAAAACTTAATCAAGCACGTTTCTGCCATCTTCTTAGACAGGTTGAAGAGGGCGGGAAGTTCTGTCTTCAACTTAGTATGAATAAGCCAGAATCGATCGGCATTGCGACGCATAATAAACTCGGGGCCATACTCAGTCATGGATGAAAAAGAAGAAGAAGAAGAAGACAAACCGGAGGAGGAAAATGGAGTGGAAGTAGAAAGAGAGTTATGAGCGTTTTTTTGAGCAATGTACTTTTGGAAAGGAACATGAAGGCGGGCGCGCTCTTCAATCAAACCTTCGACTCTTTTGAAAAAATTTAAGACTTGATAAATAGGAGGAAGAACCTCAATGTCAACACGGTTTTTAAGTCTGTTTGTAGAAGCATGGGCAAAAGAAGCAGTGGTGAATGGACTGCAAAACATGGAATATCTGCGATACTTTTTAATGCTCAAAAGGGCACGTTTTAATGTAGTTTCAAGAGTGTCATCGAGACTAGAAAACGTATTGATGGGCTCGTCAATGGTGAGAGTGCTACTAGTCACATCGTCATCCATAAGAGCACCCCAGTTCATCCAATAATGAGCCAAGCTATTAGTGACATCAAAGTGGTTTTGAATTTTGCAAACATGGTTATTGATAGCATCCACGAACTTTTTAACATCTAAGTTTTTGGTTTTAAATTGTTCGATAAGATTGTTTAGCTCAAGATCAGCATCGCTATTTTCCTTTAAAAGCTCCATCATGTTATTGTGCTCAGGGCTGTTGAATGAAAAAGGAGGATTATTGGCGGAGACTGAAGAAGCAGCTGAGCTATTGCTACTAGCTGGAGAGTCGTCTGGAGAAAAAGTAACCGACTCGGGGCTAGGTGGGGTGTCTGTAAAGGAGTGTTCAATTGCAACAGGAGAAATGGGAGAAGCGCCATCAGCTTCATTATTAATACCTTGAGCACAACTTTCAATCTCACGCAAAGCATGTTTCAAAGAAAGATAATCAGAATGGCTTTCTGGAGTGTTTTTTAAAATGGAACTAAGAAGCAAAGGGTATTTTAAAAGACGCTGAACAGGCTTGATCAACAAACTGTCCAAACTCCAAGCAGCAGTGACAGGTTTGCAAAGTTCATTACACTCAAGAAGCCATTTTTCAATGGTGGGACATGCAATATTTTTGATTCTGTAAAAGGTATTCATCTGGTGTTTATTTTTAACACAGTACTCTTTAAACGGCTTTTCCATCATTGGCAAATAGTCTAAAAAGACAATACCAATGTTAGATGGAACGTCTTTAAGAAGATTGTCAGGATCAGAAGCATCCAAGCTGCATTCCTCTGCAATATAAGAAGGAACAAGTCTGTGAAGTCTCTTGACAAAGTGCTGTGAAGCAGCCAAAACAGAAGAAATATTGCCAAACAGAGTAATTAAATCACGATTGTCCAAGTATTCGCTGTATGGTTGTATGCTGGCAAACTTGACATAGACTGACAAAACAATGTTCAAATCCTTTGCGAAGTTTTCTTCAGTAGAGATGAGCTCGCGAATACAGTTGTACTTGGTACGGAGCTTTTTCTGAACATTAAGATCCGTGTCGACAGGTGTAGGCAACGACTCTCTACGAGTTGGTTGTTTGGTTTCAAAATTCATGGTTGACTTTGATAGTTTCAATTTTTTCTGTTGCTTTGAAGAAGAAGAGTTGGAGTTGGAGGTGAAATTTGCAGTACTGGAATGATATTTAAATGAAGAAGTAGAAGAGTGCAGAGTGGTATGACTGCTGTTAGCAGCAGAGAAAGCACACACACTAGGCTTTTTAGTTAAATCGGTGTGTGTTTGACAAGATTGAACTTGAGTTAGCGATGTATCAGTGGATGGTTTATGCTTGGATGTGTAATTTTCCTTTTGAGACTGTTTCACAGGTATGGAGGCAGCATTAACTGGAGAAAAGGAACGGGGGTAATTTTCCAGCAACCTCCGATTAGAGTCTAAAAGCCTCCAAGCGTCGGTACGATCTCCCATGTTGTCATCCAGAGAAGTAACAGTGTGATTAAGACTACTATTACCAAGAAGAGTTTTTCTGCGCTCGATCCAAGTGGTATCAAAGTCGCTGCTACTTCTGCTACGACGATGACCTTTATTTTTAGGTTTAGGAGTGCTGCTGTTTGTGGAAGAGCCCGAGTCAGATGCCAGCGAAGAGTAAGAAAAGTTGTTGTTAGAGTCATTACTACTATTGCTTTCTCTTTTTAAGCTGTGCTTGGATTTAGTTGGTGTAGAGGGAGAAGAAAAATATCCTTGAAAAGCGTCTCCATCGGGTTTGAAAAAATCATTAGAAAAGATGTCATCAGAACTCTTGTTGCGAGAGTATTGAATTTTCTTTGAACTCTTTTGGTTGGAGTTCAAAAATGACTTGTTCAAAGTTTCAATGGGAATAAGGTTGCCATTGTGAGACAAGGCAAGGTCATCAGTATTTGACTTTGGATCGTAAACGGCTGGAACAACAAACCCAATTGAGTTTGTAGCCATGGCGGAAGCGGATGCCTGGAAAATGGAGGTTGATGCAGATGAAAGCTTGGTAGGCTTTGTGAGAGGCGATTTGGGTGCAGAGATTTGGGAAGAGAAAATCTGTTTGGTTGTATCAGACAATGCAAGTGCTTCTGGTTTGGGTTTAGTGGATGACAATCGTACAGGTGTAGGTGACGACAAATCTTTAGTGGGTCCTGATGCTTTTGTGGAGTCAGAAGGTCTGCGGCTCTTTTTGGAAGTTTCACGCAGGGGATCAGGAAGAAGAATGGATTGGGTGGCTTTTGACGAGGCTGACTGGGGTTGAGTCGGCTTGAGAGGGAGAATATTGGGAGACTTGCTGTCATTGTTAATTTCAGAGGGTCTTCTAGAAATAAAGTCACCGTCTTGATTAAATAATTTTTCTGAAAACTTAATCGAAGACGAGGCTGATGAAGTGTTTTGAAAGGTAAGAGGTGATGCAAGATGAGTGTAAGCAACTTTTGATGCAGAGGAAGGAGCAATACGGGAAGAGCGAATGCGAGCTGAGGAAGAAGAAGAAAAAGAAGAAATATTGGCAAAGGCGTCAAGAGACTTGGAGCGACGTCTGTTGCGCTTGACTTCTGGGGTGACTAGCTTTGTAGGTTGAAGAGCGCGAGTCTTGTTTAAACTCAAAGAAGAAGTAGTTTGGTGAGAAGTGATTCCAGCCAAAGCTTTGGGCTTGTGTCTCAAAGCAGAGGTACGCTTGATATTGACTTCAGCTTCAATGAATACAGGCTGGTTCATTGGGGAATCAAGAGAATTGTTGGTGAGCAAAACGTCTTCAAACTTGATTGGAGATGAGAAAGAGTTTTTATTTTGGGACATGGCGTCAGGTGCAAAGTCAATAGGGCCAATGACAAGAGCAGAAGGAGGAGAAGATATATTGACAGGTGTTTGGAAAAGTGGAGTTTTGTAGACAGTGGCAGAAGAACATGTGTAAGGAGGTTGAGCGAGAGCACTTGCATTTATAGGAAAAGATTCAGATAATGATGGAACGCTTTTCCTTGGTGTGAGGGAAGCTTTATGAGAAGAAGCTTTTGATGCTGGTGCTGTTGCAACATCTGGTTTGGACACTTCCTCACCAGACCTTTTAACTTTTAAAGTAGGTTTGTTAAGCTTTGAGGAGCTACAAGAAGGTTGCTGCACCTGTGGCTTGTTTGGTCGGGTTGCTATTTCATCCACAATAGTGGCTGAAAAAGAAGCGCTGGATTGTTTCCGTAAATCGTTCTTACTACTGTTGACTTTGGGGAATGTGCCATTATTTTTCAATAAATGAGTAAAAGAATCTTGGGGTTGAGAGATTAAATTCTGACAGCTTTGACAGCTTTGACAGTTTTGACAGCAATTGTGGCTGTTGGCTTCATAATGACCACTTCCATTGCGGCTGTCGGTGTCATTGTAACCACTTCCATTGCGGCTGCGGATTTCACTAACTTTCCCTGAACCGGTTTCCAAAGACTCATATCCGGAAATTTGAATCAAACCAGTCAAAGGCGATTCTGTCTTTTTTATCGATATCTAAATTAATTTGTCAATTAAGTTCGTAATTTATGTGGGCAGTGATTTAAAAAGTTGGGAAGAGTTTTAATGAAAAAACTTAAATTTTGTGATTCAAATTTTTAAAAATAAATAAATGAATGAAAAAAATTTTTTTTTGAATAAAATAAAAAGAAACCGTAATAATCGCCAAAAACAAAATCTTAAAATTAAAATGAAAAAAAAAAAAAAAAATTAAAAATGGAAAAAGAAAATAAAACTTACCATTTCATCAGGGGCTATATACTCATCTTGAATTCTCGGAGTAGAATTAATGGGCCTAAGCGTGTTATCTTTGAAACCAGGAACTAGGTTGCATGAATTAATAGTACTTTCCGGATAAACCTGTGATTCATGCATAATGTTTCTAGAAGGAGGAGTGTTTTGATTAGTTTTGCTGATAAAGTTAGCCGGACTTGGGGGTGAAATTCCGTCATTAGTATGTGACGTTTCAAAGATATTATGATTTAGAATAGGGGTGTGGGTTTCCGCATTAAAGAGCATAAATGGGTTGTTTGGGGAAAGGGTCATAACATAAGAATCTGAGCTATCTGAGCTGTCATCGGAACATATGCTTGCTGGGCTGGGTGGTCTTTGAAGAATCTGTGGAGATGAGTGGTTGAGACGGGAAATGCTCTTCAAATTTTTATTTTCGTGGGGAACATTAAAGGAAGCTTTTCGGTAAACTGCCGAGTGTTTTTTAGACCTACTGCTGGATGATTTTGGAAGAGGGGGGAGTTCTTTATTAATTTGGGAATGGGAGATTGTGGAAGAGAGAGATGCAGTGGAGGCCGATTTTAATCGAATGCTGTCGTCATCGAGACTCATGTTTTTAGATATGCTTGAAGAGTGGAATTGTTGCGGCAGATAGGAACAACTGAATGATACTGCTGTTTTGCGCTGGGATTTGCAGTAGAGTGAAGAAGTTTGGATTTGAGGGGGACGTTTGCTGGATAGAGAGTGTGCAGGATGTGAGGTGAGTGAGGAGTGTTTAGAGGGTTGAGGTGGAATTGGGATAACCATGATTATTTATAAATCCCCAAGGAAATCAAAGATATATATATATGTCCTTCAAAAAGAGGATTTAACTTCCGATTTTGTTCTTTCTTTTTACTGACGCTTCTTTATTTTAATTTTTAACCACAGATTTCGTTGTTTATTCTTGTTGTAGTTATTAACAAAAAAAAAATAATTTTTCGCTAAAAAAGGAGTGGTTTTGGAAACACACAAAGGACAAGAAAAAAAATAAAATATAATAAAAATAAAAATAAAAAAAAAAAATTAAGGCTGGATATTTTAGGTAACCACTCTATTAAAGATTATTATTATTATTATTAAAAGCATAAATTAAATCTATTGATGATGAATATGAAAAAAAAATCAATATGGCGATAGAAACAGTAAAAAAATTTTTTTTTTCTATTTTAAACAAAACAAAAAAATTGAGAAAATTTGTGAGCACTTGAGGAAATGCTCCACAATATATATATACATATATATATTAATGACTTTATTTTTTATGATTGGGTTTGAAGCATTAATTGGCGATTCTATTTGATAATTGGCATTTCTTAAACCCTCTCAAAATTTTTTGATTTTTGATTTTTGATTTTTGATTTTAAATTTTTTTTTTATTATAGTCAAAACGGCTTTATTAGACTTAATACACCTTAAATGCCAAATTTGTCAGGTGTAAACCTGCATGCTGCGAATGAGCCCCCGCCCATTCAAGCTAGAATATTAATCGAACAAAAGAATATAATAAAGGTGTGCGCGCATATACATTTGACCAGAAGAGAAATGATCGAGGTTTTACGATTTAATTTGAAAGAAGAAGAAGAAGAAAAAAAAAAACAAGGTCTTCTTAGAGATTTATGATCCAGGGGCAGAGTGGAGGTTTGTCCGGTGAATGTTCGGATGTGGATGATCCACCGGTTTTGTAGTCTACTTTTCACCTAATATAACAACAGGAAACACATATATATATATATATGAATATATTTGTAACTAAATAGGGTGAATCGATTTTAGAGAAAAAAAAGCATCGAATATCATCATTAGTATATCAGTTTTTTCGTCACTTTGTTTTTCATTACCAGATGCCAATATGAAAAGGTAATGCCGACACCCCCAAAAGGACAATGCAATCAAGAGGAGGAGAAAAAAGTAGTGATGTTTTGTTAAAAGGTCCAGGCACCAACAATAACAAAAGGGACAGGAACCTGTCACGCACGTTCCCCAAAACGGTCACCACAACTCTCAAAGATCATGGAGAAGGTGCTAAGTGAGCTTAAGTTTTTAAGAAAGATTTATTTGATCCCTAATTGATCATCATAATGCATGATGGGGTGGGTGTTTTCTTTCATATCATAAGCTCATAAAATCTCATGTAATGAATAATTGGTATACCAAAGTTTTAAAAAAAAAAATCCTTCTTTTTATCAACCCCTGCCTTCTTTTGAAGAAATATTACAGACGAAGAGTGCGTATTATGGAAACTGGTGCCAGGATTTAAATGATTGCTAGAAATCATTCGGTAACAAATGTAGGTACGCTAGCAGCAGCGTTAGCAGCATAATAATAATAATAATAATAATAATAATAATAATAATAATAATAATAAGTCTTGTAGTATCAATATTCCTAATAAGTCTTGTAGTATCGATAATCCTAATAATGGCATCACCACTACAAGTAATTCAACATTTTAAAAAAAAAAATTTCTGGTCTTGTAATCCGAAAATCCGATGGTATGGGAAAGCGCTTTCAATCAACTTTTTCCCGAACCAGCCCAGCCCCTAGCCAGTAATAATTTTTTATTTGGCCCAGATCGCAATCAGAGAAATGCGGTCCGTTGATATTGTTGCTAGAACTACATACATCAAAGGCGCTTACATTGCGCTTATCACAAAGAGGTTCTAAGAGTTAGTGATTACATGTCAACGTTTGGGTGGCATGTAAGCTGTAGATGCAAATGATGAAACACTCCAATACACCCTCTTTATGACCCACCTAGTCACACATTTATATATAAGGACTTATTAGAAAATAATATTCTTTTCAAATATTACAAAAATTGGCATATCTGAAATAACTGAGTAGTAAGATAGATGTTTTATAAATATATACAGATAGCTTATTATATAAAGTCGTTTAATCTCCGGGCATTTTGATTCATCCGCTTAACCATATGAAAAAAAATATATATATATCCACCCCCGCAAACACTTGGTTACCTTCACTCAAAAATACTGTCTATGCTCGATCCAAGGTAAAGTTTAAGCTGCGACTTAGTAGCTGGCATGATTTTTACCTTGATTAGATCCCATCCTGCCCGGTCATATGCCTGGAACCGGTGACAACCTCCAAATCCAAAATAGTACGGCGTTCCGTTATGTACCACAGCAAGCACATCGATTGGTGTCATGTCATCGTATTGGTTCTCATCACAATTTTCGTTATTTTTTGCTGGGGTTACTTTATCCTCACTCTCCGTTTGTCGCTGTCGCAGCCCAGTGTTAACCTCGCTCGCGGGAATCGGACGTCCTTGGTTATAAAGCTTTTCACCCTGCTCTGTTGCGGTGGTCGGAATATGTTCATATTCGCGGTTCATGGTTTGCATCATGCGTTCGATCTTAGGTTCATCGAGTACAGGCAAGATCGGCCGACGAATAAGTTCACGGCGAAGATACATGATATTATTAAGACGTCCTGTTTGAATTGATGCCATTTTTTAAGGTGATTTTATTTTTTATTTTTTAATTTATAATTATTATAATTAGCTTTTAATAATGTTGTTTCTAGAGATATTATTTTAATATTTTAATATTTTAATATTTTATTTTTTGGTGATGATGCTGCTGGTTGCTTGAGCAAAATGTAGTGCTGGTCGGCTATTATTTGCAAGTATCACAATTGTTATTTATATACCACGTTTAGCGAGTACAAATTAGAAACAAAAGAAAATCACAAGTGTTGGAGGCTCTTCTTTTCTATTCACCTAGTAGCTCAAAGTTCCCAAGTGTTTTGTTTATATACTTTTTGATGGTGATGTTGCTCTGAGGTGGATCTTAATCTTTTTTTTTTCTAAGTGGTTTTGTCAGCCAAACAAGCTTATAAGCTTCATAATTATGTTCTAGAACACCTGTATTATTAAAGTAAATAAAAAAGAAAACTCTGGTAAGCTTTAAAAAAACCAAATCGTATCACAAACGAAAAAAAAGAAGAAAAAGAATCCTTACGAAGGTTCTTTTTTTTTTTTTTTTTCTCCCGACTCTTAATCATCAGGTCACTCAAGGCATTCTCTTGAGCTTCTAGCGTAGCAGTAATACGTTTGCTAGCGTGGTCGAACGAGCGACAGATTTGCTAGGTAGTACCAAAAATAATTTTTTTTTTTTTTTTTATTCTCAATGTAAGCTGAAGAGTAGCAAAGTTTGTAGGCTTATATAATGACAAATATTATTTTATTTTATTTTTTTTTGAAAGGGATAAAGAACTTATTGAACATGTTGCCTTAACCAAATTTGGTTACCTGATTTTTTTTTAAAAAATAGGTAATTACCTTTTTTAAGTTCGTACAGTAGGGAGACCAAAATCACACCCAAAAAATTAATAAAAATATATAGAAAACAAAATTAAACAACAAGCAAGCTCAAGCAATCTCTATAAATTAAAGATTTATGTATAAAAAGATATACGACCCCGGTGAGGATTGAACTCACGATCTCACGATTAACAGTCGTGCGCCTTAACCAGCTTGGCCACGGAGTCAATTTTTTTTAATAATTTTTCATATTTAAAAATCTTATCGAGATATTATGAAATATTCAAAGCCCTAAATTTAAAATTTTGTTATAAAAGGGGAAAGGGCTGGATGGTGTAAAGGGTAACACGTTCGCTCGATAGCGGAAGATACTGGGTTCAATTCCCAGAATACCCCCTTTTCCTGAGGATGTGTACGGGAGTATACACCTAGACTGAAAACCATAGGCTACCCTGGTTACAGGAATGCCGACTCTTCCGTACAGTCTAAATAGCCTGCAGGTGATTGCGGGCCGTATCTCTGACGGAAGAGATTAAGAAATACATGGGCGTCCGTGAAGATAAGTGGAAATGGGTTGGGAAGGTTTTGGGACCGACAGACTGGTTCTCCCTGTTCCTCGTAAGCTGGCATCAGGGCCCATCTTCCGGAGACGCACAGAACAGAAACCACCCGTACTAAAAAGGTACAAATGAAAACCGGCAAGTCACATAAGTCAGTCAATAAAAGGATAGCGCAGATGCTGATGTTATATAGTTCTATAACCCTTGAATAAAAACAAACAAACAAACAAACAATTTTGTTATAAAGATGTTATATAATTCTATAAACCTTGAATAAAAACAAACAAACAAACAAAACAAACAAACAATTTTGTTATAAAAATAAGGATTTGTGATAACAAAAATTTATATTAAGACCAAAATCTACAGAAAACCCTTTCTGAAATGGTCACAAGAGTAAACATGAAAAAAGATAGTCTGAGGATCTTGAGTATTGTTACTCAGTTTCGCACTGGCCATGGCAATTTTGGCGCATGGTTTAAAAAATTTGGAACTTAAAAGGATAGTTGCAACTGCAAATGTGAAAAGCTGGAAACAATTAAACTCATTTTGGTTGAGTGTCCTTTGCTGGAAGAAGAAAGAACAGAATTGAAACGGATATCTCCAGAGATGGACATGTCGACTCTCTTAAACAGTTTAATTGGCTTACAAGAAATTGTAAACTTTATCTCTGTTTGGAGGGATTAAGTAATAAAATTACAGCGTTGATGAAGACAAGTGGAAATAAGTTGAGAAGGTTTAGTCTTTGACCCCATGTTCCTTGTGAGCTGGCTTCAGGACTAATTTTCGGGCTGTGGGAGATTCAATATTGAACTCAAATTAAAAGTGTTTTATGACTACGAAAAGAGATATATATATTAAGAACAAAAAGAATGGCATAGATGCAGATTCTATCTTATTCTATCACTAGAATAAAAACAAACAACCAATCAAAATTAACCACAAATGCTTTGAAAATTTGTATAAATAGTTTGATATGAAATTGTGACTGGCTGGATACAATTCGAAATCATTTAATTGTATGACCTTTGCTGATTAAAGAAATAAAACGCTTAAAAGAAATGTTTCTAGAGATAGGAACGCCAATTCTTTTAACCTGACTTAGTGTCTTGTAAGCGATTATATGCTTTGTTTGATTGGAGGAATTACGAAATAAAATTAAAGCGTTGACGAAGACAAGTGGAAATAAATTTGGTAGAACTTGGTCTTTGTTCCTCCTGTTCCTCGTAAACATTGCTTCAAGACTTACTTTTGTGCAGATGGAAATGCAAACTTTGAAGTTAGATTAAAAGTTCACTGTGAAAATGGAAAGTTGGAAAGTTGGAAAGTATGAAGAAAAAAAAAGGCAGTGTATTGATATTCCTATGCATCAAAAGAAAATAAATAAACTTTGGCATTGAATATAGAAATTAAAAGAAAATAAGGTGAAATGTTATTTACTTTAAAAAAAAAAATGTAGAAAAAAAAATATTTTCTTTAATTTTTTATAATAATGACAAGGCTTTACTTATTGTTATTGAATAAGGCTTAATATAATTTTCTTCAAGTACAAAATCTTTAAATCACAATGGTCAGATTGTGACATTTAACGGAAAATTATTTATTTTTTAAAAATTGATTTTTTTGTTCATATTAAACTTTTTAAACATTAAAAATCACATTACTAATAATTGAAAGACCAGGGCTTTGAAAGAAGACATACAAAAAAAATTATATGAAAAATTTTTTACCTTACAATTGATGTTTTTTGGAAAAAATTTTTTTTTCTCGTTAAAAAAAAATTGGTTTTAATGCTTAATGAGCTTATTTAGTTAAAGGGTCCAAAAGTTAATGCCATTTAAAATGAGATAAAATAATAACGTCATTAATACTTTTTTTTTTCTTTGAAAATTCAAATAAAAAGAAACAAAAAAATTGAATCCTCACAAAAAGAAGATTGTGACGAAAAGTCCCAAAATAAAAAAAAAAAAGAGGATACAACAAGACGATTTTAAGACGATTCTTAAACAAGGAGACAGGTTAGAAAGAAACGAAGAGATTTAATGGATTTTTATGCACTCACAATTGACTGCAGTAAATGCATGACTGTGGGTCTTTACAAAATCCTCTATATCAAAGAAGTGACTCCGAGTTCAGTCCGCTTTTGTCACATTCGAATTCTTGGTTAGTTTTTTTTAAAAAAAAAAATAAACGTTAGAATTCACCTTTTTTGAATATGAAATCACTCAATTTCAACCTTTTTATACATCTTTTGGTAGACCAAAACTTGTTTAAATGTAGCAAATGATTTCACTAAAAGTTCCTTGAATGAGTGGTTAACAAATCAGCATTTGTAAGTCCTTTGTTTTAAGTACTTCATAAAAACGCCTTTTTCCCTCTTCTTTTTTTCATTTTTGTTTTAAAAGAAACCAATATTGTTTTTGAATATTCACTCGTGTTTATATTGAGCTCAATTGATGATATGATCATCTTGTAAAATATGGAATTGGTAATAGTTCTCTATGATGTTATAATTACTAAGATCCTTATTCATTGTTAGGCGAAACTTTAAACGCTTCTTTTTTTAATCGAGCTTGAAAAACCATTTTCTGCAAAATGCACTTATGCAAGGCGTTGTCAAAATGGTAAATAAGAGCAAAAACTTTGTGAACAAGATTTGTGGAAAGATTTCCATGTACATCACTCTTTTTTTTTCTTTTTTTTTTTCGGTTAAAAGAAGCAAAAAAAAAAAAAGAATTGCTAAAGTCAATTTCAACAAAGGTAATTTACACTAAAATGACTTAATAGGATTTGCCTCACTCCATTTACATTACCGATAAGTCTTAAAGATTGTGATTATCTTCAAAGTAAATTTAACAACAAAAAAAAAATAAAAACTCCCGTCGGGTAGAAGTTTAATTTTGGAGTTGAGGCTACCTGATTCTACAGCGGGTAGCATTTTTTGCTTAAATTAAATCACGGGCTAAGCTTAGTTCGTGGGGCTTGCTTGACCCATTACAGATACTGGTAGACATATATATGGGGTGATATGTTACTATTTTCATTTATATTTAAATTAGATATATATTTAATTTAAATTTAAATTAGATATGTTATTTTTTTTTTTTTACTTCTAAACGTATTTTGGGGCAAAGAAAAAAAAAAAAAGAAGAATACCATAGTTTGTTAAGAAAACCTTTCATTGTCTAACCACTACTCCTCAAATAATGTCCAAAAGCTTGGGTTATCAAAGCCAAGTGATCATCCTCCTCAAATCAATGCTATGAAACCAGAAATATCTAGAGAAATTAAAATTGTTTTGAGCTCTGAGGCTTAAAGGTTTATTGAGGCTCAATTTCAGCCAACATAATATTATGTTGAGCTTTATAATGCTCTTTATTTCTCCAATAACTTGGCTTCAATCAATATCACAAAGCACTTTCTGTATCCTTATGATCACATTTCTTTAATTGTTTGTTCATTTCTTTGATTGTTTAACATTAAAAAGTGTTTGTCTTTAGCCCGCATTTTTTTTTTAAAAGTAGCGCGTGGGTCAGTTAGTAGCAAGTATGTGATACTTACAGCTCTTCACAAAACGGTTAGACACAAGTCTTTGTTACACCGCCAATAATCTTGCTCGGGTTATCACAACCACCACCATAAAAAAAAAAAACCCAAAAAAACATCACATCACCACCACACTACAAAAAAAAAAATAAAAATGTACACACCACGACAAACATTTGTAGCTCTGGCATCTGGTTCAATAAACCTCGGCTCGCGGACTTTACTATCAAAGTCTGTCTTGCGACCACTAGTATACCGACCACAGATTACCCAGAAAGCTTTGCTCTCTCCTATTTCCCAATCCTTTTCTACGTCAGCTATTCGGCGGCAAAAAGAAGAAACCCAACCCCCCGTGAAAAGTAATACCGATGGAAAAGTCGTTGTTGATCTGTCGGAGCATCCCATCATCAAACGAATTCCCAAGTTCTTGCATCCATACACAATCGGATTCCTTAATGCACCTGTCTCCCATGTCACTTCTTTCATCATTGTCCATGAGTTGACTGCTGTAATTCCACTGTTTGGCCTCTGGGGCCTTTTCTACTACTACGACTACACCCCTGTCGCCGGCATCCCTGAATGGTTGCTGCAAAAGGGAACTCACTTTATTGATGTCCTGGCTGAGCGTAACGGCTGGACTTCTCTCAAAACAGAGGCGGGTGCAAACATTGTGCTACAGGGTGCAATTTCTTACGCCATTGTTAAGGCCATTCTTCCTTTCCGAGCTGCTTTTTCGCTCCTGGCCATGCCATGGTTCGCCAAATGGGTTGTCATACCCTTTACTAGACTCTTCACTCGGATCGGTTCTAAAAAGGCAGCGGCTTCTGTGGAACAAAGTGCATCTCGCAAGCCAGGCACCAAATTTGTCGAATCTACAATCACATCTTCCTTCCGCAAACAGATGAAGGAAACTTCAACTCCCTTGCCCGACCCACGAGGCCAGGTTTGGACACAAGATCTCCCCAGCCAACCTCCAAAGATAAAACGGGCTTCATCCAACAAACCAAAGCTCTAATAATCTTTCATGTCATGTAAATATTATTTCAAAAAACAAAAAAAAGAAGAAAAAAAAAATTAAAATTATAATATGAATTTAATTTTCATAAACCAGTCTGAAACATCCATCATGCGTAAACAAACCGGAGATTCCGGTATCATGCCATGTCAACAAGTCAGCTCCGCAGGAAAACCCACGGACTTGCAATTGTCCATAATTGTATGTATCCACCGAGTCAGGCTCAGAATCAACGAGCCGTGCCTCGATACAACTCATAACAGAACCAAAGTTGATACAAGTGACATTATTATTTTTGAATTGATCAAATGAATCTTCTCGATAGTCCCAAATATTGGTTTGCGAAACCGAACTTGCTACGGTGGGGGTCGTCAGGGCGTGCACAAAGTGGGCTCCCGTCAGTGCACGAATCGCATTTGCTTGTCCATTGGTTAGTTGGTCGTCTGTTGCTTTAACATCAGGAGAACCCTTAATCATTTCTTGTTGGTCGGGGTACACCATTGTGGATGAAAAGATTTGGTTTACGGACTTAAAGTACTTAATAACAGGGGTCTTGTGCAAAGTGCCACGAGATAACGCGGCACGGTTGAAAGCATAGTGTATCTCTTGTGTCAAAGTCAAGTCTTGTCTAAGGTTGAGCAGCGACAAAGTTGAGTAATTATCATTAATGAGAACAGTTGGCTGAATTTGTTCCAATACTGCAGATGGAAGAGCCAACTCGACTTCAATATATGCCACAGTAGATTGGCTAATAAGTGCGCTCAGCTGTGCAACTAATGAAAAGACGGTAAACTGTGAGGTAAAAAGAAGAATAGTATCTTTATCAGTCCATTGCTGAGACTTTGGAAGAATCTTAATGTTGGTTGCAACTGCAGCAGCAATATTCTGGTGAGTGAACTTAGTAATGAGTGCTTTATTATCCTTGGTAGAGGTAGGCAAAGCAATTGATGGGTAAATCACGCGGATTGGAAATTCGGTATCTTGCATGGGTATTGAGTTTTCTTCAACATGAAGATTCTCAACAAATTTTTTCCATTGGTATATCTCAGCTTCAGTGGACACACCAACAGGCTCTAGGCCAGTATATAAAATGTAGCGCAAGTGCGGGGTATACTTTTCCAAAGGAATATCTTTAAGCAATCTCTCATCAGAAACAATAATACTAAAGGGATCCGCTGCTTCCAAAAGGATTTCAATATTTGAAAGACTTTCTTTGTCAGTGTGAATGATTGAGATAGGAACACCGTAGAGAACAGAAGCAAAGACTGTCAGCAAAGTCTCTACAGAATTAGATGACAAAATACACATGGTGCTAGCCCCTGATTGGGCCTTTTTAAGTACAGGGCCAAGCTTTGAAACAATCTTTTCGGCATCGTCTAATAGTAAAAGTTAGAACAAGTAGTAATAAAAGTAAACAAGAATAAACGGAATCACGTACTATGATTGACTTGTTCCACGCCATATGTGGTTCTTGCTGTTCGTAGTAACAGCTTCTTGATGGCGAGGGTCCAAATATCGAAAAACGTTCCCGGACGTGTTTGCATTGACCGTCCACTGGAAATTGCCAGTCCTTCAATCAATGGACGACCTATTGGAGCAGCAGAAGAACGGTAAATGGCGGATTCGCCCTCGTTACGGACTACACTGACACTGCTCTGGTGCTCAAGAGCATAGGGATCAACGTCAGGGTAGACAGCAAACTTGACATAAATGACAACCGCAGCCACGGTAATAAGAATAATCAAAAGAGGGTCAAAAGACATGAATGAAAAGCGAGAAAAAAAAGTAATTTCTTGAATTCTAGAAAAGTGGAATGAGGGGTGGAAGGTGTCAATTTCGTGGGTGAGCTGAAAAACCCAACCATTTAAACTTGCAATTCACGTGACATACGTGTCTAAAAAAGTTTCCAACAGGCCGCTTGTTTTCATTGTTTACATCACATATTCAAGAAAGAAAGAAAAACAACACACAACATGGATCCTCCAGATCAAGCACAGGCTTCTGAGCTCCGTGAACTGCGGATGGAGTTGCTGGGCGCTGTTCAACAGCTTTCTGCGCGATGCTTGTATCATGCATCTAAATGGTAAGTACATCAACCATTCTCTGTTATTTGACTTACTGAAATGTCTTTTTTTCACTAGGGTGGCTGAGGCCTTAAACTCTCTCAACTTACCGCCTGATTTAGACGACAATGGGAAACCTGTGTACGCTGCATCGCCTTTGCCGCCTGGTCCTGCCATGACTGATAAGGAGATTTTGGCCAAGACGTTTTTTGACAGCCATGAATATGATCGATGTGCATACGTGCTGCGAGATGCCCAATCACCCACAGGTCTCTTTTTGAAGCTATACTCGAGATATATTGTAAGTGTTGATAATCGGGAATATGATTTAGAATTCTAACAGTTAAGTTAGTCTGGAGAAAAGAAGAAGGAAGAAGAACATGAAGGAATTTTAAGCCCCAAGGACGGAAACAGTCCCAACCGCCAGATTGTGACCATCGTCAAGGAGCTCGACGAATACTTCCAGACACATGAGGAAGATGCTTACTTGTTATATTTACATGGAGTTGCATTGATTCACCAGAAAAATGAAAGGGAGGCGTTACAGCGGCTGGTACGCTCGGTAACGCTGATGCCATATAATTGGAGTGCATGGCAAGAAATTTACACTTGCTTGGAAAGCGTTGGCCGTCTCCACGAACTGATACCATCATTACCTCGTCATTTGATGACTCGAATTTTCACTGTATATGCTCACCAAGAGTTCTTCCAGCACGACGAGATTGACGTTGAGGAAATAAACGATATTTTGGGATTCATGCCTGGGTTCCATTTCCTTATGACACAAAAGGCAATGATTCATTACCATGGACTCGAGTACGAAGAATCAGAACAAGAGTTTGAACAAGTATTGCGTGCGGATCCGCACCGTTTGGACGATATGGACACATACTCCAACATTTTGTACGTGATGGAGCGGCGCCCTAAACTCGCGTTTTTGGCCCAACTGGCATCGCTCACTGACAAGTTTCGACCAGAAACGTGCTGCATTGTGGCCAACTATTACTCACTAAAATCTGAGCATGAGAAGGCAATTACTTATTACCAGCGTGCTTTGACTCTTAACCGCAACTGCTTGTCGGCCTGGACACTTATGGGCCACGAGTTTGTGGAACTTAAGAATACCCATGCGGCTATTGAGAGTTATCGACATGCTATTGATGTCAACAAGAAGGATTTCCGAGCCTGGTACGGGTTAGGCCAAGCGTACGAAGTTCTTGACATGAATTATTACTCACTGTATTATTATCAACGTGCTGCTGCAATCAAGTGAGTTAACAAATAAAACGAAAAGCATGTTAACTTTTTCATTGTACTAACTGAAATTTATAGACCTATGGATGCTCGTATGTGGCAAGCGTTAGGCAATTGCTTTGAACGGTTAGGAAAGAATGCTGAGGCGATCATGACTTACCGGCGCGCGTTGAGTTTGTCTGAATTGCACGACCCCACAATTCTTCTGCGGCTGGCACTAATTGAAGAGAAAAATGGCGACAAGGAGCGCGCGGCGGACTACATGCGGCAGTGCTTACTAGGTCCAGCAGCAGCAGCTGCGGCGGAGGCCTCTGTGACCCAAAACGAGGATGCAAATGGGGATACCAGGGGCGAAGAGCATGCCGAGGGTGGCGAAGGATCTGCTGAGCAACAATCTCAGGCGCAACAACAACATCAACAACAACAACAACAACAACAACAACAGCAGCAGCAGCAGCAGCAGCAGCAGCAGGAATTTGACTATGAAGGTCTTGCGGTGGACGAGAAGAACGTTGCACGGTTATGGCTGGCACGGTACGAGATGAGTCGCGAAAACTGGAGGCTGGCAAATGAATATGCTCGCGGGTTCCAGCATGGAACCCCATCAGAACTTGCAGAGGCGCGATCTATTGTCAAGGATACAGATAGTCGGTTGTTTGGAGCTTCAGCAGAATCATCTGCTGGACCTACTGGTAATGGCAGCGGTGGCACAAGGAGTAGTGGGGGAATTGGCAGTGCTAACCATAGGGGTGCTGGAGGATACAGTGGAGGCAGTAGCGGAAGTCGGTCGTCAAACCAGCGAGCATCTGGGGCTGGTTTGTGGGAATAGGCTTGGCATATGCGTATAGCAAATGGAATATAAAAATAATAGAAAGTATCAGTGTTTATTTACAAATCATCTTTTGAAGGAATTTTTTTTAAAAGAGAAATTATTGGATTTAAAAGGATTTTCTATTCATAAAATCATTAGAAAAAAGGAGACATTACATGGCCAGAGGATCAGCTTCATCTGGATTACTGCGCATATCGCACGCTGATGGTATAGCTGCAAGACTGACACCGTGTTGGGTCAGCACACTGCGGAGCCGGTTATTTGAGTCTATCATATGTAACAAGTACTCGTAGACAACGTTGAGCACTACGCTCTTTGACTTGGATGCTGCAGATGCAGATGAGCCTGCAAGTTTTGGGACCAGCGAACACATTTCCTGGAACTGGGATTTAATGAGGTCGCGCCGCCGTTTTTCAGAGTAAATGTGGTTGATGCGCTTTTGATCCTCGGACAAGTTCTCGCGTTTTGGTCGTGAGAAGGATGGATTGGAGGATACAGAGGATGAACGAGACGAGTTTTTGGCAGTGTTGCTGGATTTTGGTGCAACTGCTTTTTTTTTTTTCTTGATATTGTCCTGGGTTTGCGACGATGGCGGCAGTAAGGTTGACGGCATGGTTTCTAGTTGATGAGGATTTGTGTTTACATTAGAAATCATGCTGGTAGTGCCGTTAGACACAGAAAGGGGGATATGTCGAGATGCTGATGGTGATGATGATGATGATGTTAATGAAGAAGATAATGGACCTGCTGCATTTTCTGCCGACCGAATCAATGTAGCCACGGCTGGCCTCTTGCTAGGCGGGGTATTTATCGACCCATCAGTAGTAATATGCCCATCAAGTTCAGTTTCCTCGAGTTTCCGTTTACCAGAATTAGCATCAACAGCGAATTTTGCTGCCGCATGAGAAGAAAGTTTGACGAGGGTATCAAGAGCAAGCGAGAGCTCATCACTGGAGGTAAATGGGCTTGCTGCATGGCCACTTCCTGTTTGTGGAACTGAATTGGAGTCATTTTTAATTAATGGAAGCGGTTCTGGGCCTTGAATCGGGGGGAGGACAGCAGCAGCAGCAGCAGAAGATGGTGATGGATGAGATTCATCGGCGGCTGGGCCATCGAAAACAGCAGTACGTGAACGAATTGTAGAAGAAAGAGAAAGGTCCGGGTCGAACTTGCCTTGCTGGAAACTTGGATCTGTTCCAAACCTTAGAGAAGATTTTGTAGGTTGAGACTGTTGTGGTAATGTTTGTAACGGTTGTATTTGGTTTAGGGGCTGTAAAGTTTGTTGCTGTTGCTGTTGATGTTGTTGCTGCTGTTTTTGTTGATGTTGCAAGTGCAAAGTTTGTTGGTGATTATGCTGATTTAAAGGTTGGGTTGGAGAAAGCGAGGGTTGCTGAGGAGGTGAAGGATGAAAAAGAGGTTTAACAGGGCCAGTGCTGAAATTCATGAGAGAGGTATCGATTTTTGGGTCAAAGAGGAAGTCTGGATCACCGTTGAGTTTGTCAAAGAACTGAGCAATCATAAGCGACTCATGCTCATTGAGCAGGGGTGCTGCTGAATCAGGCTGGGGCTGAATTAGATTAAAAGGATCCGAACCCAGCGGCGGCGTAATTTCAGGTATTGTAGAAGAGCTGTGAGACATGATGGAAACATTGATGGGAGGGTCTGGTAAGGGAGCAGATGAAGTTTGTTCTGGATGTTTTTGAAGAGAATTTGTAGCCGAGAGAAATTGAGGAGAAACTAGAGCCGAGAGCATTGGGGTTGTACTTGGGCGGAGAGGTGCCGAGGATGATGATGATGATGATGATGATGACGATGAAGAGGAAGAAGAGGAGGATTCTGAGAGAGATGAAAGATGTGGTATTGGACCTGGCACTGATATATGTTCTTGGTCATTTCCATCTTCTAGGAAAACAGATGGAGGGTTTGGGAATAGAGCAGAGGGTGGAATATCGAGAGGGATATGAGAAAAAGCTGTATGAAAGTCTTCAGAGAAATCAAAATCCTGCAGAGCCTCTCGTCTGAGGCTTGCGTCCATGATGAAAATGAAGAAGAAAAAGAAAAAAAAAGAGGGGATTAATTTAATATATAATTTGGAGAGTGTTTAGTTGACTGTAAGTGTTGCTATTTTATTTTAAAGCTGAAAGGTAGGTCCTAGTTGGTGATGTCAAGATTTGGTGGAGAGCTAAGAAAAAAAAAATTAGAAAAAAAAAGTGAATGTGACAATTAAAAGTGGGGACGTGGGGAGTTAAGGCTAATAAAATGTAAACCCTTAAAAAATAATATTTAGTACTTAACTTTTAAAAATAATCACTTAACACTTAAGAAATAGTATATAAAACTTAAAATTTAAAGGACTTACGTAATGGTCTCCATTTTTTTTTTGTTGACTTCCCCCATAGACTTTGGTCCAACCCTCGCTTAAACAAAAACCCACAAAGGTCTTTTGTTAAATGAAATAGACAGTTGAAAAAAAAAAAAAAAAAAAAAAAAACCCTCAATTATTTTGAACGAGGTTTTTTTTTTTTTTTTTTAAAATTTATTTGTCAACTTTCCTTGGATAATATCATTACCATCAAAGTAATTTGTAAGCATAAAAAGTTAAAGGAATTATCATCATTAATGATCACCTCCTCGACCAAAGAATTTCATAGAAAAAAATTTTGGAACAAGGAATGCTAATTATAATAATTATATAATCCCAACATGTCATGGAACGACGGACATAATTACTATAGTAAAAATTTAGTATTTTGATGAAATGAAATGAAATGAAATGGTAGTGGTGATGATTAATCAAAAGTTTGGTTAAACTGTGCGGCGCTTTTTGGTGATAGTTTTGATACAGTAGGCAGCAGTAGCAGTAAAATAAAATGGACTTAACATCAGCCAACGAGTCCTTAGACTTTCAAAGAATTTATCCGTAAACCAGTTCTACCATATTTCATTAGGCAAATACTCAAAGCTACTTTTTGGTTCTTATGGGAAAAACTTTTCCCCACCATCTCGGCTCGTTCAAATACCGGGCGTCGCTGCCACATAACATGCTTTAAAAAACTATAAAAGGCAAGACAAAAGCCATCTTCCAAGCTAAAATTTTCCTCTATTCTTTCTTTTCTTCTTCTTCCAATTCAAACCTATATCTTAAAAGCTGTATTTCTTCTTCTTCTTTTTCTTTAACTAAATCCTTGTCAATTCTATTCACAATGTCTGTCAAGTCAAGCGCTGCTGTTTTTGTCCACACAGGAGACCCTCAACAAGTCATCCAAGTCGAGTCCGCCACTCTGCCAGCACCAGCTGCCGACGAGATCTTGCTCAAGAACCTGGCTGCCACCTTGAATCCCAGTGATGTCGGCACTGTCTGGGGCACTTACGCCACAATCCCTCCCCGCAGCACTCTCTACACCTCAGAACCCTCGGCCATCATTGGTAACGAGGCCATTTTCGAAGTTGTCTCAGTGGGCAAGGACGTGACCAGCTTTAAGCCCGGTGACTGGGCCTTCCCCAGCGCCAAGACCTCTGGTACTTGGTGCACCCACATTGTGGGGAAAGCCATCCATTTCATGCCTGTTCCCAAAATCTCCGACCCTGTCCTCACCTCCCAAGCCTTTATTAACCCAACCACCGCCTACCAGCTGCTCAAGACCTACCTCGATCTCGAAAAGGATGACTGGGTTGTTCAGAATGGCGCCAATTCAGCTGTTGGCCGTGCCACTATCCAGCTTGCTCGTGAGTGGGGCATTAAGACCCTGAATATTATCCGTGAGCGTCCAGACGTTGAAGACCTTAAGAAAGAGCTTTTGGCTCTTGGTGCAACTGCTGTCGTCACTGATAAGGAGATTGCCGACCCTGATTTCGTCAAGACTGCTTTGCCCAAGATCACTGGCGGCGGCAACGTTCGCTTGGGTCTCGAGTGTGTTGGTGGTAAGTCTGCCCAGTATGTTGGCTCTGCTCTGTCGCATGGTGGCACTCTCGTCATCTACGGCTGCATGTCGATGACCTCGCCAGTTCTGCCTGCTTCTCTTTTCATCTTCAAAGACATTACTACCAAGGGCTACTGGCTTGCAACACGTCTTACCAGTAACCCCAAGCTCAAGGCGGAAGCTCTTTCTACCATTTTCGACCTCATCAAGAGTGGCAAATTAGAGCTCAATCCTGTCCAGAAGCACATCTTCAAGGTTAATGGAACTAAGGAGGAGCAACTCAAGGCTGTTAGAGAAGCTTTTACTGTGCAGAGCCGTGGCTTTTCCAACAAGAAGCAAGTCATTGTTTTTGAGTAATTGTGTATTCTAGTAATGTTTTAATGATATCATCCTGTGCTTATACTAAACTACCAAAATATCTTAAGTATTCTTGAATTAAACTGATCAAACACCGGGACCAAATTAATTTAATTGTAATATCACTGATCAAAACAATAGTGTCATCTTGGCTATCATCCCATTTGATATCCAATGTCATCTTTACTGTGCAAGACTGGTATTGATAAATTGTTTAAAAATATGTTAATTACTGATTTATCAACGTATCTTGAACTGAAAAAAAGGTGCTTCAAAAGGAAAAGGAGGCTTTTAGATCTCTGATATATAACAAAATAGACTTCTTTGCTAAAGTTGAAACCAATTGGCTTATCTGATCATGTCTTCAAAGATGAAAAGAAAAATCTTTCAATTGATGTCAGCTTGTGTGATCCGTTAACCCTTTAAACTATGCTATTAAGTCTACTTAAAGATTCGTTTTTTGTCTATTCGTTTTCTGCAAAAAATTAGCTTTAAATGTAATTGCGATTACCTTGTTTATAAAATTTATATATACTATACATCACGAGCCATGGCCAGAGGTAAGAACCCACGCTGGCCAGTGATACTCGGTCGCCGGGGCTTGCCACGTACAGCTGTAGCTATATCTGCTGGCTGGCGTAAACTGCTGCGGGAGCTGCTCCTGCTCCGGCTGGGGCTTTCGCTTCTATGGCTGCTGCGGTCACTTCCACTGCTGCTACCACTGCTACCACTGTCGCTGCTTGCACTGCTAGGTGACGAGTCCCCGTCAATGCTTAGCAGCATAAACGAACTGCTGCTACTTCTGCTGCCATTGACAGTCTGTCCGCTATTGCGTGCATTATGACCCACGGTCCCGTTAACCAGACTCGAGCCACTGCTGTGAGTAGCACCACCTACCGCGCTGGTGCCACCAAGAAGCATATTGTTCCACAAGACTGGGTTCTTGAACTGACGTCCTCCACGTGCACCACCAACACCGCTAGATCCGTAAGGAACCCCTAGACCATATAACGACGAATGTGTGGACGATACAGAGTCGCGGGGACCATGCCGTGGGGCATTATCTGCACCACCATTAGCACCGGCGGATGCCAAGAACGCAGCAGATTTCATACCAGGATACAATGCACCTCCACTTGCCACGCTAGTGATGCTGTTGGTGCGTCCGTTGCGCGTTCGGCCTCCAGTTGAGTTATTTTCGTCCCGAGCAATACGGCTTTGGAACTGAGAAATTGCTTGGGCATTGATATTACCTGACATCGTAGAGGTTTCAACTTCATTCTCAAACTCCTTGAATTCCAAGAGTCGCTGTACAAGACGTTCAAGCGACAATTGGAGAGCTTTGTTGTGGTTGCGAAGCGATTGAGCCTCAAACTCAAGATCGTTCATGCGCTTTTTAACTTCTGGTGCTGTGTCGGAAGTTAATGTATCATCATACTCATCGTCGGCACTTGCAAGAGAAATGCGGTCGAGCTCATCGGCTAGACTGTTGCCCGAGGGGACGACAACATGCGGCACAGTTTTAATTTTGTCTGTTGTCGAGGAAGAAGAAGAAGAAGAAGAGGAAGAGGAGGTACTTACGGCACGGGACCCTTCGCGTTGCGATGCATCATTGGTCACCGCGAACCCGCCAAGAATGGCCTTTTCGGCCAAAAGGTACTGGAACCCCTCGTTTTCCTCCATGAGCCGGCCCACGACATTCTTTTGCTGCTGAAGCTCGTTCTCAATATGGTCATGCCGCAGCGCATATTCGCGCGACACAAGTTCAGTTTGTTGATGGAGCTGTTCGAGCTCGCTTTTTAGCCGTTCTATTATCCGATCTTTATTGGGATGTGAAGAAGACGCTGGTACAGGTGTCGGTACAGCGGATGTTGATGCTGTCGCCGACGCTCCAGCAGCTCCAGCAGCTGCAGCTGCTGTGGTTGCCCCCTGACCACTCATTAAGTTGGCGAAGCCATTAATGGAGAAGATCTTATGGTGATGGCTACCACTAGTCGATGCAGCCGCTCCCTTAGCCGAATGATCAGACGATTCTTTGAGCTTTGCATTTTCTTCCTTGAGTTTTGCTATAGTTTTTTCAAACTGCTGCTCCTTATCAAGCCATTGCTGTTTTTCATTAACATTGGTGACTTGTTCTTGGGAAAGCTCGTTTTCTAAATCGCGCTTATTTTTTTTTAAATCTTTAAGCTGAGATTGTAGATTGCCAACTTCTTTTGCCATGTCCACAACGTCGTTTTCGAGCTGAGACTGAAGCTGCAAAGCATTTTCTAGCTTCTTGCGGGTTTCACGCAGTTGTCGGTCTAAGTTTTGATTTTCCATTTGCTCCAGCTCTAGATCCTGCCTCAGTTTTTCCGTGGCTGCGACATATGATCCGGACATTCCTAAGGATGTAGGGTAAGCAGAAGAGGCTGTGGGAGATGAGGCTGATGTTGACTGGATGGAAGGAGGCTGGCTAGTCGTTGCTGCCGCTGTGGCCATGTGCTGGTGAAACTGTTGATGATGTTGGAATTGCTGATGCATTTGCTGCTGCATTTGCATTTGCTGTTGTTGATGAAGGTATTGTTGATGTTGGTATTGTTGATGCGATTGCTGATGCTGCTGCTGTTGTTGATGCTGCTGTTGCTGAGAATAAGTGTCATTGTAGGACATGCCAGCATAGTTATGAGGAGCCAGATCGTCAAAGCCAGTTAGAGCTGATGGTGACGCAGAGATAGAAGAAAGAGATGAGATGGAGCGCTGGGGCCTTCCTCCAGAGACTCTTCGGGTAGCAGCTGGTGGGACTTGAGTGATTGCCGGAGCGTATGTGGCTACAGCATGGGCTTCTGATTCATAGTAGAGAGGGGAGGCCGTCTGTGTTACATGTTTAGTGGGGTAGGTGGGGGATGATGATGATGAATTAGGAGAGGATGATGCAGCAGCCGAAGATGGGGTTGATGGAGCATTTTGTTCGTTGGACTGCATTGTCCTGAATGAAAAGACTGGATGACGATGGTAGCGCTATATACTTTTGATTATAAAAGTGCACAAACCGTGTATGAAATGACAGCTTGTCTATTTGAAAAGGGTCAAAAGAAAAAAAAGATATAAGAAAGAGAAATATGAAAAAATATCAGATTGGTACAGACCAAGGGCAAAAAAAATAAAAAATAAAAAATAAATAAATAAAAATAAATAAATAAATAAATAAACAAAAAGAATAAAATAAAAAAAAGCGATGGTTGAGCCAGAAGTGCTAGTTTTGTTATTGCAACGTAGAATCTCTGGTTGGTAGAATCTGCTAGGTGGTGAAGTGTATATACCAGTTTATGGTAAGTGCTAGTAGTAATTGAGAGTATCCCCCTACTTTAGGAAACTCACGCAAAAAAAAAAAAGGAATACCGAGGCAACTGGCAGGAATGCAGATAAAGGTTAGTGAGGTATACTACTACACAGAAAAAGAAAACACCTACTATATACACTGGGGCAAAGGGTTTTGTAGAGAAAACGGGGGAGTGAGGAATGGATCTAGTCTGACGATTGGAATTCGACTGGAATGTTATTTGATCATATGGATTATTATTAACTGGGTGAAGGATGGAAACCAAAATTGAGGATATTTTATGGGGGGAAGATGAGAGTGATTTTGATGTTGTAATTTTGGTTATTTTATTATTGTTATTGTTATTTTAATATTAAATATAATTATTATTATTATTATTATAACAATAAAACCCTTTCTGAGCCTGTTTGTAATTAAGGCTAATTATGCTGTTAATAGTGGCGGAACTTTGTTTTAAAAGTCACTCAAACACACAAAGGCAAAAACAAAGCGTGGCAAAGGAGACACCTCGTCAGAACCACTGCCAAGCTCAGGCGAAGGGAGAAAAGAAGAGACAAGAGTGGGAAATAAAGTTGTAATTTAATTTGTAATTGTAATTGCAACAAGTGTCTGACTTAAGCTTAAGCTTTGGAATGCCATCACCATAAAAATGGGTTTGCAACCATCCAAACAAGATTTTCCAAATATTCAAACTATACTTTAAAAGAATATCGGCACTTCAAGAAAGGAGTTGAGCAATGTAGGGAAAGTTTCCAGGTGGTTTTTATAGCTTCTATTGTGATGGGTTAAGTTTAAAAAGTCGGATTTGCTGGCATTTGAATCATAAAGCTTTAAATTGCAATGCACAACCCAAACGACCTAATAACAATCTTGTAACTATTTAAAGTCTTAGACACTAAGTGATTAAAAAAGATATGGAACAAAAAAATCATTGAATGCTGACTAGCTGAATTGATCTTTTTCAAGCGAGTTTCTCGCATGCACAATTCTGAAATTGAGTTTAGAATCAGTCTCGGGAAATGGTGGTTCACTTCTAAACAGGTTAAAACCCAATAACTGTTTCTTTTTTGGCATTGAGAATCGAGTGCATCTATTTAATAGGAATTTCGTCTAAGCATATGTTCACTATACACTTTTAATTCTCTCTGTATTGAAGGCATTGACGAAAGTCATAAATTCCATCGTTATATTTTCATAAGCATAGCAAAAAAAGACTTAGCAATAGACTTAGCAATAGACTTAGAAAAGACTATAAAGACTTTGGAAAAAAATATGGATATTATATCATTTGAAATATTGAAAAATGAAATGAAATGAAAAGTTTTTTTTTTTTTTTTTTTGAATCTAATAACCAGCACTTGCCATTGGGTTAAAATATCAAGAAAAGGGAATTTAAAAAAGGGTTCAATTGTAAATATTAAGCTCACTTCAATTTACAACAACCGTGGCTAACCTATCATATTTAATGGAGACTTTTGGACTTCTTGATAAAGTCTTTATCAATCTACTTATAAGTAAATTAAGATGGATCATCTATCTAAAGTAGTGTTCTGCCTGTCCAGGTTAAGTCCGGAGTCCTGAGCCGCCAGAGCCGATGCTGTACGGCACTTTTCAAGTCTTTTCTTTACTTCTCTCACTTCACTTTGGGGAAATTTCTCTGAAACCTACTATTTTAAACTTTTTTTTTCTTTTTTTTACATTGAAAGCCAAGTTATGTGCAAAGTTCACATCTTTTTTGTCCCCCCACACCGTTATTCATCCATACCGCACATGTGGTTTAGAAAAAGGTCAAGAAAGGAACTGTTTAATTTTTTTATTTTTATTTTTAAAAATTTCAAGCTAGTTATGTTTCAAAAAGCAGTATACAAAAGAGTGAGAGCAAAAAAAAAATACATAAAAAAGATCATTTAAAGATAATATCAGCCGTGGTGGGGGAGTTCATAGTTACATTGGTTTTAACATCAAACGGCGTCGATGAAACTTGCTCTTAACAAAATATTATTTTATATTTTTGACGTTCGCCGACGGTGTAAACCAAAAAAAAAAAAAAAAATATAAAAAAACCTACCAAAATTTCTAAATTTTTCATTCCCCAAGTTTTCTAAGAAAAACAGAAAAACTCTCAAGAAATATCAGGATTGTTCTCTCTAAATGATTAATTTATTTGTTAGATTAAACATTTGTAAGATGAAAAACTGAAAATGGTAAAATAGTTGAAAATTACCAGATCAATTTTCGTTTTTGTATTTCTTTTATACCACACGTCATCGACCTAAAAATTTCCCAAAAAGGGAATCTCAACTCTGTCATTTCTTCTTTTTCCCTTTTATTTTCCATCCTGTCACAACTTACTCGGATAACTGTGTAGCGTCACCGTCGGAATCAAAAGTTAACAATCACCTTTGAAAAGTAAACGGCACTTGCTTTAGTATCAACTTACATACACGTAATATTGCACTCTCACCCTAAATCTATTAAAGGGTCTTTGAGTCCAGGACCTGTGATAATATTGAAGCTCTCTCTTGTTGCTCAAACCGTTTTGTCAGACCCATGTGCTTTTTCTAATCGTCTTATCAATGGTCAAAATGCTCAACGCTCTAGATACCGAAAAAGGTAACAAAAGATCGTACTTACAAGTCTGGGATTCTATTTCTGAAAAACCCATCATAACAACCTCACTTTTTTTTTCTTCAACTTTCTTTCAAATTTTTCATAAACTTTCTTTTTTTTCACTCTCATCTATCTGATTTTTAAATACGTAAATCCTATATAATCACCAATAGATCCCGTAAAAATCAAAAACGTGGATTGAATGTTGCTTTTCCACTGGCAAAAGTAAAAAAAAAAAAATTAAAATCAACCAAAGTAATTTAGAGATTGAAACGCCCTTTTTCCGTCTTTATGTTTTTTTTGCTACTCACATGAACACTCTAGAAACTTAAATGGTAAAATTGGGTAGCACAATTCATACAGAAATAAAAAGAGCAGCCTTATCAGAAGAAGAAATTGCATTAACTAAAACCGTATCATGGTGGCCGCATTAATTGGCGGCCTCCTCATCTGTTTGTTGCTGATATTCTTTCTCTTTTCTTCACTTTCTTCTTTCTTTCCATTTTTATAAAAAAATATTATAAAGACCCATCGATATCTCCCAACATTTTTTAGTTATCCCTCTCTCTTTTTTTTTTTTTGTTTCTTTTGATTACTATTGTTCATTATCAACTCTACATTCAATCACTTATTATTTAAAAAAATCACCAACAATGAGCATCATTTCAAAGTGGGCCAATATGGTGGCCGAGGAGACCCATCTCCCATGGAAACACAAGCAGATCCTTGAAGAAAACAGAGAACGTGATGAGGCTCTTGTCAACTCAATGGAACAAAAGCGTGGCATGAAAAAATACTGGCCCATCATTACCTCCGGAGCTGGTTTGTTTTCTGACGGATACGTCAATAACGTGAGTAAACTGTTTAATATCAGGCACCACTGATAAAGATGCTTGGCTTTTTTTTTTTCCTCCTCCACTCCCCACAAAACTTCCTTACTAACTGTCGCCGTCCATTTTTGTTTAGTCTATCGGTTCCGTTAACACAATCCTTGGAATCCTATACCCCCACGAATATAAAAACTCTTCAGCCCAATCCAACGTCTCATCCATTGCGTTTGTTGGCACAGTTGTTGGCCAACTTTCATTTGGTTATGTCTCAGACCACTACTCCCGTAAAATTGGCATGATTGTGTCAACTATCATTCTCATTGTCTTTACCATTCTAGGCTCGGGTGCCTGGGGCGCCGGCGGTTCCATCTACGGTATGCTTGCTGCCCTTACAGCTTACCGATTTTTCATTGGTATCGGCATTGGCGGTGAATACCCTGCTGGCTCTGTTGCTGCTGCCGAGGCTTCTGTCCTTATTAGCCGGGGCTCTCGTAATCGCTGGTTTGTTATTTTTACAAACTTTATGATTGATTTTGGCTTTGTTGTCTCTGCATTTGTCCCCCTCGTGCTTTTGTGGATTTGTGGTATTGATCATTTAACCCCCGTTTGGCGAATTACCCTTGGTCTTGGTGCCATTCCTCCCATCTCATTATTTTTTCTGCGTCTTCTCTACAAGGAGAATGAACAGTTTATAAAAAATAACATGAAGCGTTCCGGTACACCTTACTGGCTCGCTACCAAGTACTACTTTCCCCGTCTTGTTGTTGTTGCTCTCATTTGGTTCATTTATGACTTTAGTGCCTACTCCTTTGGTATTTACTCGTCTACAATTATCAGTATTATCATTCCTGATAATGACTTGTACAAGACTTTTGGTTGGAACGTTGTTCTTAACTTGTTTTATATCCCTGGTGCCTTTTTGGGTGCCTTTGCTTCGGACTACTTGGGCCCCCGTCTTTCTCTTGTCATCGGTGTCGGTCTCCAAGGAATCATAGGTTTTATTATGGCTGGAATTTACGAACATTTGACCCACAATATTGCAGGATTTGTCGTTATGTTTGGTATCTTTTTGACTCTGGGTGAATTTGGTCCCGGTGATCAGATTGGTATCATTGCCTCCAAGACTTCTGCTACTAGTATCCGTGGCCAATATTATGGTATTGCTGCTGCTGTTGGAAAGATTGGTGCATTTGTTGGCACCAAATCTTTTCCTTATATTATCAAACATTTTGGTGGCTCCGAAACTATTCGTGGTAACCAGGGACCCTTTTGGATCTCGTCAGGTCTATGTTTGTTTTCGGCTCTTTTGGCGCTTTTTTTCCTCCCTTCCCTGACTCAGGATTCCATTACTGAGGAAGATGAACGCTTCAAAGCTTATCTTCAGGCCAATGGCTTTGACACTTCGCTTATGGGTGAGACTGATAATAATGATAGCAGTGATAGCATGTATGATGACGCTGAGAACATTATTGTCAGCCCCGACCAAAAATTGGAGCAGTCTGAAAAGGATCGTGCTTTTTGAAAAAATTCATAATTATGAATATAAAATATTTATAAATATTTTATACTTATTGATGTTATATATAAATTTGTCGTTTTTTAGATGTTTAAATGAAAAAGTTTTAATTTTATTTCAAAAAAGGACTTGTTAATATTTCAAAACATTATTGTAAAATATGATAGACCCATAACTTAAATTAAAGAGATTTAAATTCTTTTAAGCCTTAACTTTGGTGAAATGTCTAAACTGTTATATATATATAAATTAATTAATAAAATCTTGTTTTCCTCTAACCTTCATAACTATGAAATCTTGAATTCAATTGTAACTTTGACATTATCTTTTCCTTTTTTTCTGAATGAAACTCTAGCCCTTGTGAAATAACAGAGATAGTTACAATTGTTAGGATTTACGTGGGCTCTAAATGGAGTTCTATGTTAGCTAATAGTCGATTAGAAGAAACAGCAGTAGAGTGCACAGCCAATTTAATAACAATAATATGGATAAAGAAAGAAAACAAATAAATCTTCAAATGTTCAAATGACCTTTTCCAAACCCTAACCTGTCATTTTCTGTATTTCAAGAAAAATGGTGTGATAAAAAGTTACAATACACACCCCACACTATCGCAACCGCGTCATTTTTTTTCCCCACTTTCAACGCGACAGCCATTTCATCTTGAATTCCAATTTCCTTATAATTAATAATAACAATGACTTCAGTGACTCATAGGGCTAAACATAGTCCTATTAAGAGGACTAGAATCTATACGAAGTACCAAATGGGGATTTCCCAGAGGCGTATCGCAATTGAGGAAGGGGTATCACTAGGGACTATCTGGCATCATTCGACGCTACCCTGACCAAAAAGATGCATCCAGTCGTGCGCGGTCAGGACGGCCACCAAAACTTTCTGAAAGGGATAAAAGGGCCATTTTACGAATTATTAAGAAAGATCCTTTTATTAAATTAACAGATCTTATTGTTGCCGCTGGTTTAGATGTTTATAGTAGTACTCTTTCGCATTGGCTTAAGAAAGAAGGGATTCATCATTAATGCCCCCTCTGGTAGCTATTACTAACTTCAGAGGTAAAAGAAAAATGTCCAAGAAAGTGAAAAGATAAACAAGAAAGCTTTTGGGAGTACTCGATCCTTAATACTGAGTCTACAACTGTTTGTGGTAATGGCAAAAGACAGAGGCAAGTTCTTTGCCCAAAAGTATGTGATTTTTATTACAATTCCTTCATTCATTAACATATAATAGGGAAAATGATGTACGGCCAACAGGCAAGTCATAACATCATGATGGCCGAGGTCCTCGTTTTAAGGCTGTTTTCCGGTTTAGCTTGAATATTGTTTACCAGTTTAAGCAATGCGTCTGGAGAAGAGTACCGTTTATGGTAACTGTATTGGTTTTTGTTGAGTATGTTGTTTTCATTGATGAAAAAAGTAATGGAACTGCAAAATGTTCTTTTGAGCATTTTTCCTAATGGGCAGAAGAGAATAAGGTTACTTTATTAGACTGGCAACCTTATCCACCTGATTTTAGACTAATTGGGAATATATGAAAACTGTTTAAAGAAGAGATGTGTAAAATATTTTTAGAAATATCATCATCATTAAAGAATAACTAGTCATTATATAAGTTATGTGAAGCTGCTGTAGGTGTTGAGAAGAATTTTCATCATGACCTTATGAATAAGCTATTCTTATCAATACCTCAATAACTTCAAGCAATAGTAGATTCTCGCGGCTGGTATACAAAATATTAAGCAAGAATATGCATGTCTAAAGAATAAAAACCTATATCTCAAGTAACTAACAAATTGAATTAAACTTGGTAAAGAAATCTGTCTTGAAAGTAATGTGGTGAAGACAAAAGATTTTTGTGATGTGGGTGTGCATATTCATTTTATCTAAACAAAATACCAAGCAATTCTAAGTACCTCTAAAGAATAAGAAATCTACTTCTCGAGCCTCAAACTAATAAAGCTAGTTGAGAAATCTGGGCTGAAAATTGCCTGGTGAAGATAAGCGATTCTGGTTATGCGGGGGGTCATGGTCACTTTTGTTTCCCGCACTAGTTTTCTATCTTTGCACATATCTCCCTCCTAGTTTCCAAGTTACTTTAACCTTTGCAAAGTTCAAATTTGTTTTGTGTGGGACTACTCACAAAATTTAAAGTTACATAAGTAATTATTAATTATATGATACTTTTTAAAAATGGAAGCCAGCTTAATGTTGACTGTGAATGTATTTTAGGCGTTTTAATTTCCAGAGACCTAACCCTTGTGTAATGCCCAGAATAATTGTTGTTTTTTGAGGCATGTCTATCTGCCACATCGTAATAAAGAAAATGTACCAGGTATTTTCTGGTGTTTAGGATGCAACAGACTATCCCAAGCCCACAAATTTAAAGATTCCACAAGGGTAAGGGATTTTAAATGTTGTTTTTGACAAGTTATGGATTTACAAAAACAAATAGTTCCATGAAGAGATGCGTCAAAATAAAATAATAAATTCGGGCATTCCACAAGGGCTAGGGTTACATATTAAATCACCTAAAATGTATTTACAATCAACTTTAAGTTTGTTTCCATTTTAGACAAGGATTAAATACAATTTTGAAGACTTCTAAAAAAATAAATTTTGCCTCATATTCTTGTTAGTTCAAGAATAGAACAAAAATCTCACCTTAAACTACTTGATATATATTAGTAGTTACAACAGACCAGTTCTTCGAATAGTTCTCTCGTCAATTGGTTAAGCTTTGAGTGAACTCGTCAAATTAGAAACAGAACATTAAAAATGAGAGTTTGAGTACATGTCGTATTGATAATTAGTGGTTTAGTTTAAAATAGTGTTTGATTTTTAACTTTAATGTTAAATCAATGCACTCCTGAAAATATTTAGGATCTGTTTTTGCCGTTATCTGGGCACTGAAAGGTAACATTGAACATAAGCAAAGTCATAAAGTTCGATTTAAATACCAAAGTCTGGATACATGACTAACTTTCGGTATTTGTGGTCTTTCTTTATTCATTCAATAAAAATTTTATTAAGGTAAACCTCTTTTAGCTCAAGTCCCTGGAAATCTGATGTCTAATAACGCCTTGGTGTAACTTAGAACTCAGGCCTGTAATTGAACTGAAAGATTGCTGGAGGTGTTTATACAAAAATGGGAGGTTCTGAGTTCTTTGTTTTGACACTAATTTCGAAGACTTTGAAAAATGAAAAAAAAAAATACATTTTTATTAGCGCTAAAAACGATTGGTGTAGAACTTCTGCTAAAGCTCCAATAGGGCTCTGGATTTTAATCATTTCATTCAATCAATACTTCAACGACTTCAGCTACTTGTATTCTTGACTAATACTAATTATTTTTCGCTGTAATTAAAAAAGTTTCCCTGTTTTAGTAATAACCTTGCAGTATATTATCCAACACTTTATAGAAACCCAATTGGTTCGTACTAACCAAGACCTATTTTGGATCAAAAAAAAGGAAGATCATGATCCCCTGAGGTCTTGGATTGTTTTGTTTTTTTTACTCTTGTTGTATTTTTTGTAATTACATTATCAGATCCAGAGCCCTGTTCCGGGGGGAAGATGAGGGATTCCAAGCCTATTTGGAGAATAACATATTTGACACTTTGCTCATGGAAAAAAAGGAAATGGATTTAAAACTCCAGAGTTTGCAAAATATGTTATAATTATAATGATAACTAATTAGTTATAAGAAAACTTGAATGCAAACTTTTAATTAGAATAGAATATTATTGTATAAAGTTAAGGTAGAGGTTTAGAGTTAAAATAAAATTAAATTAAATAAAATTAAAAATTAAAAATTAATTAATTATATAAACATTACATAATTCTTATATCACACGTCAATGCTTTCTTTTGCCATCGTCTGTACTTTTGTCTACGCTGGCCTCGCCTAATCACACTAAAAAATCTCCAGATTACGAGTTTTCTTCAATCGACATTCAAACAGATTTCCAATAAATTATAACTCTTTGCCAGCTCTATATTGCCTGTTTTTTTGAGGTGCAACAATGGTTAACGGTGAATTTCATGAGTATGTTGCCATTGTAAAAATCATGATCATGGCTTTTGCTAACATATTCCTTCTTTTACAGTCTTTTTTTCAGCATCCCGGTTATCACCCGGTCGCTCGTCACCTCTGCAGTCGGCTTGTTGTCCGTCAGCATGCTTAAGATCATTCCCAACTATTACCTTATTAATGTGTGGCCGCTGACCATTAACCGATTCCAGATCTGGCGTCTTGGTAAGAAGAGAATTGAAATCATTACTTTTCCTCATTTCTAACGCGATCCGATTTATTTTTTTTTTTTTAATTAGCAACTTCCTTCCTTTTACCTCCTGCCCAAAATCCCATGGAGGCTCTTATGGATCTCTTTGCACGTAAGTACACTGACTATGTTTTTTCTTTTCTCTTTCTCTCTCTCGTTCCTTCGGATTCCATATTGGCCATGGTGTAGCCATAGTTACATGGTAAATTCCAGTCTGTACACACCTGCACCCACCAAAAAAAAAAGTCTTTGCTCCTCCCAAAACAACTATAAAAGGGAGAGAAATTTTTCATCTTTTTTATTTCTTTTCCTTCTTTTTCTTCTCAGTAAACACTTCAAGTGTTTTAAACCATTAAATATCGATCTTGTTTTTTTTTAAAAGTTGTCTTTTATTATTTGCAATCCCGTTTTATGCAGGTTCCGTTTTGGAAACAAGAGAGAGAAAGATGTTTATTGATTATAAACTGACCTGAAAACTTTAGTATACAAATATAGTCGTGTCATTGAAGAGGAAAAGTTTTTAAATGTTCGTGCAAGATATGCTTGGTACTTGACATTTGTCTCGACTATTATACTGGTAAGTTTTTGGTCTCTCTGTTTTCTTTTTGAACTTTCATCAAAGCGTGCGTGTGGGTTTTAAAACGGCTTTTTGAACAGCAAGGTTGAATTTATTTGGAATACCTCCTGTTTCTGCTTTGAGAATCTTAGATGCTTCCACGGTTCTTGAATCCTGGTGATGGAGAATATTAAATTCGGGAGGAACTTTTAGCTCATTAAGCCGGGCTTTTTTGATCTGCATTCTTTATGGCGTATTTTTGCTTACCACTGAGAGGCAGATCTTCCCACATTTTTTACAGTAGATATTTTATTTTCATTGGCTAACATTCCTTGCTTTACTTCAGGGGACCAACTATTTTCTTGGAGGTACTCATTACTTTAGAGCACTTGTTATTGCCCTTACGTACACTTGGGCTCAAGATAATGCTAATCAACAAGTGATGTTTTATGTGCTTAAGGTTAAAGCGGTTTTCTTGCCTGCTATTATGTTGCTGATACAGCTCATTGTTGGCGGCAAATACTCCTTCTTGCGCGCAGGTACTGGCTACCTGGCTGCTCATCTTTACCTTTTTTTCGATTCCATCTACCCATCTTACGGTGGTGCAAGCAGACCTTCGTTCCTTGTTGACCCACCTGCTTTTTATTACAAGCTATTCCCAACACCTGGCCACCCTGGTGCGCCTGGTGGTGATGGTGCTGGTCGTGCACGTGGTGTCTTTAGTGGGTTTAGTACTCAAGGTGGAATCAAGTCTCAGAATACTGGAAGTTCTGGTGCCTCTGATGCTTCAGCAACTGGGTCGTCGACTGGGTTTGGACGATTTTCAATGTCGGGACCCTTTAAGGGCAAGGGCAAGAGACTTGGAGAATAAATTGTAGGGTTTTTTAGACGTGTAATATATATACCAACAAGAAAAGGAATTAAGAAAGAAAACAAATTGTCATTAAGCGTAAGATTATATATTTAAAGGACGATAGGAACTAAAAAAAAAAAGAACAGAAGATGAATGCTTATGGGACGGTTTAAAAAGAATTAATCCCAACAATGAATTAAGAAGGTCTTTTAATGTTCTTAATTCAATTATCATAAAAAGGTATGGTTTTCTTTTGCAAGACTAATAATACAATGAAATTTCAATTTCTTTCATTTATTCATTCATTCATTAATAAAATTACTCTGCAAACTCCGGTCGGAGATCACTTCTTCTAGGAGCAACAAGCGGGTGCAGCTGGACCAAGAAGGTGATAGCCCACATGAGGTAGCACATGGAAAGGGTAAGAATGACACTGCTGCGAATTACAGTCTTATCCTGCTTGAAGGGGTATGCCCAAGTAGCGCAAGAAATGGCCACGACCCCGAGTAAAACATAAATGACAGTCCAGCTATAAAAAAAAAAAAAAAAAAAAAAAATTAGAATAGAGCCAAAGAAAAAATATTTAGTGTATGGAGATAGGTATGGGGGGAAGGTATGCTGAAAGGTATAGGCCGAATTGTTTTGGATATATATATATATAGGGATGCATCAGGGAGGACTTAAACAACGCGAAAAGGTACTAATTGTCACCAAGAGATATATTGTTGAACATGTAAACGCCTGAGTGTCGATAACAAATAAATTGTATACTCTTTCGTAATTTATTTTCTCAAAGTTGATATAGTTAAAAAATTTTCGTACTTGTTAAAAAAACCCCCGAATAATAGAAAGCAAGTTGAATTGAAGCACAAGCAGGCGTGTTTTTCTCTCTATATGTTGTGTATGCGCGCTTCACTAAAAGCTCCTCCTCCCAAGTAAATACACCACCACCCCTAAAAAAAATTCCCCTTTCTTCCATTTTCCGCAAATATGTTTGTAATTGGTGTCCAGTTCGTGTTGCTTACCCGCTCATTGTATTGAATGCTGTATTAATGATAGTAATATGCTGGTCAAATTTAAAAAGAAGTGATGTAAATAAAAAAAAAAAAAAAGGATGCTTGAAGGCTGCTGAAAAAAAAAAAAAAAGAAGTCTGAGAGTTGGTTCTTTTTTTTTTTTTGGTGGTTGTGAGAAGGCAGCCATCCAGCAGCTTTTAAGACAGAAAAAAAAAAATAAAATAAAAAAGGCAGCCAAAAAGTGTGCAGCCGTAAGCATGAATTTTTTTGTAACAACAGGATATTACAACTTGCATTGAACATTTCAATCTCAACTTCATGTGTATATTCAAGATGAATTTCCCAATGCATCAAATCTTTGGACAGATAAAAAAGCACAACTTTTATTAATAACTCTTATATATATATCAAAAAAAAAAAATTACTTTCCTCATCTAGTACAATATTACACTAATTTACAAGAAAACCTCCAGGTTGATTTCCAAGCTGGATCCGACGTAAGGAATCTCAAACTTGGACATAACCTCAGGGTGAAGAATACCCAGATCACCAATAATTTGGGCCTCATCACCATCCTTGGCACGGAAGTACACGTTAGCACCACGGCCAGGGAAGAAAGTAGCAGAATCAGTAGGAGAGATCCAATAGCCACGAGTCTTAGCCTCTTGTTGAGCCTTGGTCTCCAGCCAGGGGACTCGCAGCATGGCCATGATGCGGTCCAACAGACCGTGGACAATTTCGAAACCACTGGTCTGGCCAGCATAGATAGCAGAAAAGTGCTTACGATTGAAGGCCTTGCGTTCAAGCTTCTCATTCTTGAAAACAACATCGGCAGACTCAAACACCTTGATGGGCAGACTGTGCTTTCTGTTTTCTCTAATGGTCTTAAGGATACCGGGCAAGAGAGATGTGCGGACAACCTGGTACTCAAGAGTCTTGGGGTTGGCAAGCTTGACGGCAGTTTTACCATCATCCTTGCGGTTCAAGAAAGCAAAGTTCTCATCGTGGGAGCAAAGAATCAAAGGCATGACCTCGGACCAGCCGCTCTGGGCAACCTCTCTGCGCACAATGTCGCTAATCTTGTTAATGGGAAGAGCTTCAGCAATGGTGTATGAGTCCGCAGGGAAGGTCTTCTTCAGGTTGTTGTAGCCGTAACCAATAGCAGCATCCTCCATGATATCACACTGGTGCAAAATGTCAGATCTGGTGATGGGGACAGAAACGTCAAGCAGGTTCTTGTCGGTGGTGGAAGGCTTGGCCAAAAGAGACATCTTGGTGAGCAGGCTGCAAATCTCCTCAGGCTTAAGGTCAAGACCCAAACAGGAATTGATGTAGGAGATCTCAGCGGTGGTTTCGCGGTCAGCAACAACGGGTTCCACACGAGTCTGTCCATTGTGATCGGAGTTAATTTGAACAGGCTCGACAGTGTAAATTTCCTCGCAGTACTCAGAGAACATGGCGACAAGCTGGTTGACGACAATTGTGAGCTTGGTCTTGTCGGTGGCAGTCAGGTCAATAAAGACATTCTTGGTATCCAAAGTGATTTTGGTGCGGTCACTGTTGATAATGGGGGGTAAAGACAAGACATGACCATCAGCATCGAAAAAGGCTGGGTAGACGGGGGAATCTCTAATCAAGTGGAGGTATTTGCCCAAGTTCTTATCCTTTTCGTAAAACTCCATCAGCTCATGACCATTCATTTCCTTTGTTTGGTTCAAAGGAATGAACTTGATGTCCTCGGGCTTTCTGGCTTCGTAAGTGATGGGGCCCTTGATCTTGTCGAGATCGTGGGTACCAATGGCAACCAAACTGCGGTTACGGCACAAGTTTGTGTGGAGCTTGTCTTGAAGAGCAATGAAAGAATCGTATCTCTTCTGGTCAAAGGTGACATTACGCAGGATAGCGGAGGCAGCGTAGGGACGGACTTGTTCTGTGCTAGGGTCGATGGTGACTTGAATAAGCTCCTTAGGCTTTGTCAGCTTGTAGGTTGGCAGCTTAGCTCTGCCAAGGAAAATATTGAGAGCACGGGAAATTCCTTCGAAACACAACATGTCGTATCTTTTTTTTAGGGATGGAAATTAGTATTATATTTTGATGGATTGAAAGGGTTGGTTTACTCACCTGTTTGCAGGAATTTCAATTTTGAGCTGTGGACGCTCACCAGGCTGCAATTCACCTTCTGAAGTCTATTGAAAGTTAGAGTTGAAAGGTTAATAAAGGGAAAAAAAAATTCAAATCAAATCAAATCAAATCAAATCAACATACGTCTTCGTCCAACTCGATGCCGAATTCGAAACATAGTTCGTCGAATTCCTTGGTAGTGTATTCACGGCTTTATACGAATGTTAGTTTTTTTTTTTTTTTTTTTTTTTATAAAAGAGAAAAAATGAAAATTGTGGAGTGCAGAATAGTTATTAATATTAATTATTGTAAGAACCTACCCGAGAGACTTGTAGAGGTCTTCCTTATCGACTGAAATGGTAGGCATTGTATCGGATCAAATGCAAGAGAGGAAAGATTGAGAAGAAAAGCCCGGCGCAATTGCTGCTGCTGCTGCTGCTGGATGGGGAAGAGGGAGGAGGTGTTTTGTTTGTTGTTGTTTGGTTGGTGAGGATATGTTTTAGGAGATTTTTTTTAAAAAAAAAAAAAAACTTTTTTTTGAATTTTTTGGTGGTGAAGCAAATATTCAGTCATAATTAGAATAAACCCTAACCTGTCTAAGTTTGTTTTTGTAAGAATTTTCTTTTTTTTTTTATTTTTTATTTTGCGCGTCTTTTTTGTTCCCTTTCCCAATATAAATATAAATTAATATATAAATTAATATATAAATAATATATAAATTAATAATATATCATAATTTAGTATATAATACAATAGAATATAAATAAAAATATTTTATTATTATTTGTGTGACATTACAAAAACTTTCATTCTTTGGCACATATCCGTTGTCCCCATGTGCTTTATCGGCCCAGTTTTGGTTTTGTTTTTGGTTTTGTTTTTTGCCTGGTGATCACCATAAAGCCTGTTTCCCTGCAAAAAAAAAAAAAAAAAAACCTTCCGCCTTCCGCCTCCATTCAAAATAACCCTTTTCCACCACCACCATTACCACTACCATTACCACTACCACTACCACTACCACTACCACTACCACTACCATCATCATTTGAAAACCCTCTTTTGGACGCTGAATTTTTTTTTTTTTTTAAACTCTTGAAAAAAAAAAAAAAAAAAAACCTCCAATCTTCAGTTCACCTTTCTTCTCTTACCATAGCTGATCTCTTGTCATTATTAATTTTTTTTTTTGTAGGAGCCTCCTTTCAACTATTGCCATTTTTTCTTTATTTATTCTGCACACTATTCACACCATCCCTTCCGCCACCCAGCCCACCGTTTACCACTCTTAAAGTCCCGCCGCTCGCATTTTTAAACCCTCGTCATTTGTCATTTTTTATTGATAAAAATCCCCTTTTTTCATCTCTCTCTTTCTCTCTCTTTTTTCTTTCTTTGACATCCAACGCTAGCTAAGCCATAGATCTTGTGATCGGTACCAACTTTATTTCACAAGTCCAATTTTTTTTTTTTTTTTTTTTTGACTTTTACCTTTTTTTGTTTTTGTTTTTGGAATATTCTCCAGGAAACATTTATACCACCACTACCACCACCACAATCTTAAAAAGACATAACTCTTATAATCACGCAAACCCCCAAAACATATCAATATGTCTTCCACTAGAACTTACGATCTTTTGATCAAGCTTCTCATCATTGGCGACTCTGGTATGTGACTTTTTTTTTTCATTAGGTCTCTTTTTACTTTGGCCGTTTACTATCTTAAACTTAAAACGTCTTTTTTCCGCGGGATGAATATGCCGCTTTTGCTATCAATAGCCGCTGTTGTTTGCTTCTAATATCAGGAATAACACTTTTTTTTTTTTTTTAAACTAAAGGTTATGCACTGTATATAATCAACAATACAAAAGACATAATAAAGAGGAAAAAAATATAATACGTTGTTGTTTTTTTGTTAAAAAAAAATATTAACATTTAAAATTTAAAAATTTAGGTGTCGGCAAATCTTGTTTGCTTCTTCGCTTTTGCGATGATCAGTTCACTCCTAGTTTTATCACTACCATTGGCATTGACTTTAAAATACGCACTATTGATTTGGACGGAAAGAAGGTTAAGTTACAAGTATGGGATACCGCTGGTCAAGAAAGATTCAAGACTATCACAACCGCTTACTACAGAGGTGCCATGGGTATACTACTCGTCTACGATGTCACAGATCAAAAGTCTTTTGAAAGTGAGTTGATAAGAAAAAAATATTGGTTTAAAGAGTTTCTACTAACCCTCTCCCGTTAACTAGATATCCGATCTTGGTACGCTAATGTCCAGCAACACGCCAGCGAAAATGTTGTTTTAGTTCTTGTTGGTAACAAATCCGATATGACTGATAGACGCGTCATTTCCACTGAGCAAGGTCAGGCTCTTGCTGATGAATTGGGCATTCCTTTCATTGAATCTAGTGCCAAGAGTAGCGACAATGTTGATGAAACTTTCTTCAGCCTTGCCCGTCGTGTTAAGGAGAATGTTTTGACTTCTACAGGTAATGAAAATGAACATGCTGGCGCAGTCAATGTTAGTGCTCCCTCCAACGATGGCATATCCAAGAAGTGTTGCTAAAATAATAATAATAATAATAATAATAATAATAACGAAAAAAAATAATGATAATAACCATAAAAACATGAAAAAGTTTCTTAAAAATCAATAAAACTCTCGAAAATTAATAGTTGAAATGTGAAAATGAGATGGAATTGTGAAAATATGTCAATGTGTTAATTTTTTTTTTTAAATTTATTTGAATCGTCATTTTTTTTTTCCAGTTAAAACTTATAACGATGTAATTATGAAAACCAAAACAATCATTGAAAAGAATACTCAGTTGTTTTTTTATATTTTTTTTTTTAGTTGGTTCATGTAAACATCCATTCTTCAAGTATCAAAGTACAAAATACGCGCGATTAGCATTTTTTTCTAAAATGAAAAAAAAGGAATATTTATATTAATGTCGTGAATGCGTAAAGTGTGGTATATATTTATTTTCATCTCGGTTCCCATATTCTAAAGTTATAGCTTAGTCCTTGTTCATGGAGCTAAAGTACTCCCACTGGTCCTCCAAAGGCTTCTCAACCAATTCCTCCCAAGGCTTCCACTCAGCCATCTTCTTGACCAGCTCGTATTCCTCACCAGCCTGAATCAAAATCTCTTCTATCAGACCAGAACCAATTTTGTTCTCAATAACCTCTGTGACCTCATATTGCTCAACAACCTGCTTGCGAGCAGTTGTAATGTTCTCAACAGACTGTCTGTATACGCTCTCCTTAGGGAAACTCTTCTCAAGCTCTTTCAGTGTGGCGTTATAAACGGCAATCAAAGCTGGCCGGGGGTTAGGGTGTTGGTAAATACCGGTGATACCAGTTGGTCCTATCAAAAATCAAGAAAGTTGCATGTTAGTCAAAAAAAAAAAAAAAAAAGTGGGTTTGGTTTGGTTTGGTTTCGGAATTTTGTCTAAGTCACGTACTTCCGCTCTCGGTCTTGATCAAGACTTCCTGGACGTTTCTAAGGAATCTGGAGTATCTCATTGTGGGAAAAAGTGACTATGTAGATATGAATGTAGGGGAATGGCGTAGAGAAAGCTGGTAATATACTATTCTTTATAGTTGTTGAAGAAGAATATATATGTGGTGGATGTTGAGGTAGGAAAAGGAGAAAAGAGAGGGAAAAAGGGAAATCTCAGAGTTGTTACAGCAGCAGAAGTCAGTCAGCCAGCCAGCCAGCCATTCACTATGGGAAAATTTAATTGCCAAAAAAAAAAAAAAAAATAATCCAGCAAAATCAAAAATCCAACTGTTCTGGTTGGTTGCTTTTGTTTTTATATGGTTGACACGTGACTAAGTTGTATTACATATTTATGACAATATCTTTTGTAACAAAAAATAACAACCTTCCAAAAAATAAAAAAAAACTGAAATCCCCATCCACCATCAGTTTGACATCTATCTAAACCCATCAGCATACAAATGACAAACGATCCCATTAGAGTAGTGGTCTGTGGCGATGAAGGTTAGTGATACTCTTTTCTTTTAACAGTTGAATTGTCAATTGCTAATTAATTTTATTTTAAATATCCAGGTGTGGGAAAGTCCAGGTACGATAATGTGAAGACAGACTTGGTCTTCTTCTCTAGCTGACCTTTCCTTTCGTCTAGTCTCATCACTTCTCTCGTCAAAGATGTATATGTCCCAAATATTCAGCCAGTTCTTCCTCCAATCACAATTCCAAAAGAGTTTTCAGTTTCAGGAGCCTCGAACCCTACAATCATTGTTGACACTTCTGCAGACCCACTCGAAGTCCAGTCACTCCAGCATGAAATAAAACGTGCCAGCGTCATTTGGCTCGTATATTCGGGACATTACACTTGCGAGCGCATTTCTCTTTTTTGGATGCCTTGGTTTCGTTCAATGGGTGTCAATGTAAGTTTTTATCTAAAACTGACCATCTAACAATAACTAACTTAGAATTAGCTTCCTGTCGTTCTCTGTGCAAACCAATGCGATAGAGTCCCGGAAATTGAAGCAGAACACGCAATTGAAGACGAAATGGTCCCCATAATGAAGGAATTCAAAGAAATTCAATCTTGCATCAGATGCAGCGCAAAAGATCACTATAATGTTAATGAAGCCTTCTACCTTTGCCAGCGAGCCGTCACTCACCCTATTACCCCATTATTTGATTCAAAAGAAGGTTATTTAAAGCCGGCCTGTGTTCAAGCTCTCAAACGTATCTTTTTTCTTTCTGACAGTGATCAAGACGGGTACCTTTCCGACCGTGAATTTTATCTTCTTCAAGTAAAGTGTTTCAAAAAGCCTTTGGAACCTCGTGAGCTTGCTCAAGTAAAGGAAACTCTCAATTCAACATCTTCTAATGTTGTTTCCGAACGTGGAATTTCTGAAGATGGATTCATCGCTTTAAATCAATTATTTGCAGTTAAGGGTCGACATGAAACTATTTGGGGTATTTTACGTGCCTTCCACTATACGGACTCTCTCTCGCTTGCTGACAGCTTTTTATACCCTAAACTTGATGTCCCTGAAAATTCAAACGTAGAACTCAGCCCTGAAGGTTACCGCTTTTTTGTTGACATGTTTGTCCTTTTTGATAAGGACAGTGACGGTGGGTTAAATGAAGCAGAACTAAAAGCTCTTTTCAAACCTACACCAGGTATCCCCAATCTCTGGCAGGAGTTCAACTTCCCCCATTCCACAGTTAAAAACGAGCAAGGCAATATTACTTTGCAAGGTTGGTTAGCTCAATGGAGTATGACAACCAACCTTGATTATAAAACCACAATGGAATATCTCGCCTTACTTGGATTTGAAAATAGTCAGCTGCACAACATCAACACACCAACACTGACACAAGCTTACAGAAACCGCGAAATCACTGACGCTCTCAAGGTTACCAAACCTCGCAAACGACGTAACCCTCGGAGCCGTTCTTACAGAAATTCAATTGTAGATAGAACTGTTTTTAGCTGCTTTGTTGTCGGTAGCAGGGGTTCCGGTAAAACATCACTTTTGCAAGCTTTTCTTAACAGACCCTTTAGTGAAGACTACTCACCCACAATCCGACCAGTTACTGTCGTCAACAGCGTCGAAGTTCATGGCGGCAAACAATGCTATCTCATTTTGGAAGAATTGGGTGAACTTGAGCTTGCTGTTCTTGACAACCAGTCGCGGCTAGACAATTGCGATGTTCTTTGCTTGACATATGACTCATCTGATCCAGACAGTTTTGCTTACCTTGTTGACCTTCGCAAAAGATTCCCGCTGCTTGATAATATCCCTGCAGTGTACGTTGCTTTAAAAGCAGATCTTGATCGTCAGCAACAGCGCAGTGACCTCCAGCCTGACGTTTATACCCGTGAGCTCAGAATGCCTGTTCCCTTACATGTATCGGTTCAATGGCCAACAGCTCTCAACGAGCTATTTATCCAACTGGCAGAGTCTGCTCGTGTTCCTGGACCAGCAACACCACGTTTTGAAGATGATGAAGAAGAGCTATCACTTATGCCATCTTTACTGGCTGTCGCTGCACTTGGAACTGTGGCAATAACAGCTTCATGGATATGGAGAAGTTATCTGCAATCTTCAAGGTCATAATATAATTAAAATATTTTTTTTTTTTAATTTAGTTAATTTTAATTGCATCATTGTACTAATATTTTTGATATTTTACGATACCAGAAAAAAAAAAAAAAAGGAAATGATTTATTTTTTAAAAAAAATGATTTAATTATAAAAATACAAAATTATAAAACTATTTATCAAAACTATAACAACTTAAATATACCACAAATCATTAAATATATTTATCGTCATTTCATGGGGAAGAAGGAAAGGATTTTTTTTTTTTTTGGATAATAATACCTCTTGTTGTATAATGTATGGTGAGGATTTTTTTAAAGCATAAGGGTCATCAAGAAAGCTGCAACAATATAAGAGACACCCATACTGATGCCAGATGCCGTGTTAACTTGGGCTGGGATGGTAGACTCGCCACCATTGTTATGCGACGAAACTTGTGCTGGTGGGCAGTGTGCGCCAGTGCATGCACCAGAGCTAGCGCCAGAGCCTGGAGAGCCAGCACTTGATCCAGCACTAGAACCCGCACCACCAGGAGCAGTTCCAGAGCCGGCAGATGAGCCAGCACCTGAGCCAGAGCCTGGGAAGCCAGTACCAGAACCGGCAGAAGAGCCACCTGGGCCAGAACCGGCAGAAGATCCTGCACAGACATTGCCTGCACATGCAGTGGAGCCAGCACTAGAGCTAGCACCTGGAGAACCAGCACCAGGGTAGCCAGAGTTAGAGCCAGATCCAGAGCCGGAAGATCCAGAGCCGGAGCCAGGGGTGCCGGAGCCGGAGCCAGGGGTGCCAGCACCAGAGCCAGAGCCAGAGCCAGAGCCAGAGCCAGAGCCAGAGCCAGAGCCAGAGCCAGAGCCAGAGCCAGAGCCAGAGCCAGAGCCAGAGCCAGAGCCAGAGCCAGAGCCAGAGCCAGAGCCAGAGCCAGAGCCAGAGCCAGAGCCAGAGCCAGAGCCAGAGCCAGAGCCAGAGCCAGAGCCAGAGCCAGAGCCAGAGCCAGAGCCAGAGCCAGAGCCAGAGCCAAGAGTGCCAGAGCCAGAGCCAAGAGTGCCAGAGCCAGAGCCAGAGCCAGAGCCAGAGCCAAGAGTGCCAGAGCCAGAGCCAGAGCCAGAGCCGGAACCAGGGGTGCCAGCACTTGAACCAGCACTAGAGCCAGATCCAGAAGAACCCGAACCAGATGTAGGAACAGCTGTAGGAACAGCAACAGTAGTTGTGATCTGTGTGGTAGAAAGAGTTATAACATTGGAGAAAGTTGTAGTCTTTGACTCGCAGATTTCAGTTCTTGTGCAAGGAACAACAACAGTGGTATAAGATGTTGTGCAGATCTCAGAAGTGTAAACAGTTGAGACATATGTAGAACCAGATGGAGCTGATGGAGCTGGAGCTGATGGAGCTGGAGCTGAGGAAGCTGGAGCTGATGAGACTGGAGCTGAGGAAGCTGGAGCTGAGGAAGCTGGAGCTGAGGAAGCTGGAGCTGATGAGACTGGAGCTGAGGAAGCTGGAGCTGATGAGACTGGAGCTGAGGAAGCTGGAGCTGATGAGACTGGAGCTGAGGAAGCTGGAGCTGATGAGACTGGAGCTGAGGAAGCTGGAGCTGATGAGACTGGAGCTGAGGAAGCTGGAGCTGATGAGACTGGAGCTGAGGAAGCTGGAGCTGATGAGACTGGAGCTGAGGAAGCTGGAGCTGAGGAAGCTGGAGCTGAGGAAGCTGGAGCTGATGAGACTGGAGCTGAGGAAGCTGGAGCTGATGAGACTGGAGCTGAGGAAGCTGGAGCTGATGAGACTGGAGCTGAGGAAGCTGGAGCTGATGAGACTGGAGCTGAGGAAGCTGGAGCTGATGAGACTGGAGCTGAGGAAGCTGGAGCTGATGAGACTGGAGCTGAGGAAGCTGGAGCTGATGAGACTGGAGCTGAGGAAGCTGGAGCTGATGAGACTGGAGCTGAGGAAGCTGGAGCTGATGAGACTGGAGCTGAGGAAGCTGGAGCTGATGAGACTGGAGCTGAGGAAGCTGGAGCTGAGGAAGCTGGAGCTGATGAGACTGGAGCTGAGGAGGCTGGAGCTGAAGAAGCTGGAGCTGATGAAGCGGGTGATGAAGAGACAGGTGCGACAGACGTAGATGTAAGCGTGATAGGAGCAGGTGCAGACGACGATGAAACAGGTGCAAAGAACGTAGATGTAGACATTGCAGGTGCTGATGACGATGTTGCAGGTGCTGAAGATGGAGAGGCAGGAGGAGCTGGAACAGTTGCAATTGTTGTTACAACAGGAACACTGGTGGTGATATGAGTAGTAATGACAGTGCTGGTGACAGTCTTAAGATGACGGGTGGCAGTGACCTTTGTCTCACAGACTTCATGGCTGGAGCATGGCACAGTGACAGTAGTGTATTTGGTAGAGATGATAGGGATTTCGGAAGTGGTGGTAATAATAGAAGTGGTGTAAGATGTAGTAGGGACAACAATGGAGTAGGATGGAACAATAGGAGAAGTGCTGAAAGTCTGGTTATGGAATGGCACTGTGGGGAGGGTAGAGGTAGAAGTGTAAGTGATGGGGATGATGGTAGTAGAAAGAACGTCAATGGAAGTCTGCACAGTAGTGGTCTCTTCGCAGGCTTCAGAGCTGGCGCAAGGAACAGTGGTGGTGAGATAAGATGTAGTGCAAATCTCAGATGTTGAAGTTGTGGTGAGAGTAGTGGTGATGACACTAGGAGCAGTAGGTTTAGGAACACAACCGCTGAGAGTAAGGGTCTCTGCAGGGATAACAGTGCCCTGGTAGACAGTAGCAGGAACAGGAGAACCATTTTCAATCTTAGCAGAGATGGTAGTAGCGCCAATTGTAGTGCCTGGGATGACAGTAGTACCACTGACGTTGGATCCTTCAATGCAAGTAACAACTGGCTTAACAACGCTCACTGGAGAAGTAACAGTGCTGGCAGTGTAGCATGCAGAAAGAGTGATGGTCTCAGCAGGGATAGTAGTGCCTTCATAAACAGTACCAGGGATAGGTGTACCATTGGAAATAGTGTATGGAACAGTCTTAGCAGGAATCTCAACAGCTGGGATGACGGTAGTTCCAGGCATGAAACCAGAAACGCAGCCAGGAGAAGTTGTGAGAGTCTTGTTGTATGATGGTGGCACAGTGGAAGTGGTAGGATTCTGAGTAGTGCATCCAGGGAGAGTAACAATCTTGTCGGCAACAGTGGTACCGCTTACAACAGTGCAAGGAACTGGAGTACCATTGGAAACAGTTCCAGGGATAGTAGTGGGGTAAATTGTGGTTCCAGGAATGACAGTGGTGCCAGGCATGTAACCAGAAACGCAGGTAGGTGTAGCCTGGGTGAATACAGGTGGCACCTCAGTGGTTGGCAAGTTGGAGCATGCAGACAATGTGAGAGTGGTAGGAGGAACAGAAGTAGCCTGAACAATGGTAGCAGGGATAGGAGTTCCATTGCTGACAGTTCCAGAAACAGTGTAAGAAGAAAGACTAATACCAGGAATAACTGTGGTTCCAGGCATGTAGCCAGAAATGCAAGTAGGTTCAGTTCTGTTAATAGCAGGAGGAGGAACTGTGACAGTTTGGATCGTAGCACAGGCAGGGAGGCTCACAGTCTCAGGTCCAATAGTGGTACCTTCGTAAACAGTAGCAGGGATGGGCATACCATTCTGAACAGTTCCAGGAACAGTTGAGGGTGAGGCAGTGATTCCAGAAAGAACAGTGACACCAGGGGTGTAGCCAGCAACGCAAGGAGGTGTGGTCTTGGAAAGAGTAGGTGTAATAGTAACAGTGCTAAAAGAATCGCAAGGAGGAAGTGTGACTGTGACAGGAGCGACAGTGGTACCATGAACAACAGTAGCACCAGTAGCAGTTCCATTCGAAGCAGAACCAGAAATGGTAGAAGCCTCAATAGTAGTACCAGGAACAACAACAGCACTGGTGGCATAACCAGGAGCACATGTAGGTGTAGTGATGGTAAACACAGGTGGAACGGTAACTGTGGTGAATTGAGTGCAAGCAGTAAGAGTCAAGGTCTGAGCTGGAACAGTGGTGCCTTCAACAACAGTGCAAGGAATTGGTGTGCCATTAGAAACAGTTCCAGGAATGGTGGAAGGAGCAACTGTGGTTCCAGGAACAACGGTAGTGCCAGGCATGTAACCAGAAATGCATGTGGGGACAGATGTGGTCAAGGCTGGTGGAACTGTGGTTGTGGTGAATTCAGTGCAAGCAGAAAGAGTCAAAGTCTGAGCAGGAACAGTTGAGCCCTCAACAACTGTGGCAGGAACTGGAGTACCATTGGTGACAGTGCCAGGAATGGTAGATGGACTGATCGTAGTGCCAGGAACAACGGTGGTGCCGGGCATGTAACCAGAGATACATGTGGGAACAGAAGTTGTGAAGGCAGGAGGAACAGTAACAGTACCAATAGTAGCACAGGCAGGGAGGCTGACGGTCTCAGGAGTAACAGTGGTTCCAGGATAAACAGTAGCTGGGATAGGAGTGCCGTTCTGAACAGTACCAGGAACAGTTGAAGCTGAAATAGTGGTGCCGGGAATGACAGTTGGGCCAGGAGTGTATCCATCAACACATGGAGGTGTAGTCTTAGAAATAGAGTGAGGAACTGTGACAGTGCTGAAAGCATCGCAAGGAGGAAGCGTGACTGTGACAGGAGTAACAGTGGTGCCTTGAACAACAGTGGCACCAACAGCAGTACCGCTTGAAACAGAGCCAGAAACTGTAGAAGGTTCAATGGTTGTTCCAGGAACAACAACAACACTGGTGGCATAACCAGGAGCACATGTAGGTGTAGTGATGGTAAACACAGGTGGAACGGTAACTGTGGTGAATTGAGTGCAAGCAGTAAGAGTCAAGGTCTGAGCTGGAACAGTGGTGCCTTCAACAACAGTGCAAGGAATTGGTGTGCCATTAGAAACAGTTCCAGGAATGGTGGAAGGAGCAACTGTGGTTCCAGGAACAACGGTAGTGCCAGGCATGTAACCAGAAATGCATGTGGGGACAGATGTGGTCAAGGCTGGTGGAACTGTGGTTGTGGTGAATTCAGTGCAAGCAGAAAGAGTCAAAGTCTGAGCAGGAACAGTTGAGCCCTCAACAACTGTGGCAGGAACTGGAGTACCATTGGTGACAGTGCCAGGAATGGTAGATGGACTGATAGTGGTGCCAGGAACAACGGTGGTGCCGGGCATGTAACCAGAGATACATGTGGGAACAGAAGTTGTGAAGGCAGGAGGAACAGTAACAGTACCAAGAGTAGCACAGGCTGGAAGGCTGACAGTTTCAGGAGCAACAGTGGTCTCAGGATAAACAGTAGCTGGGATAGGAGTGCCGTTCTGAACAGTACCAGGAACAGTTGAAGCTGAAATAGTGGTGCCGGGAATGACAGTTGGGCCAGGAGTGTATCCATCAACACATGGAGGTGTACTCTTGGAAACTGAGTGAGGAACTGTGACAGTGCTGAAAGCATCGCAAGGAGGAAGTGTGAGAGTTTCAGCAGGAACAGTTGTAGCTGGAACAATAGTGCCTGGGATAGGAGTGCCGTTGGAAACAGTGCCTGGAACAGTGGAGCCAGCGAGGGTAGTTTCGGGAAGAACAGTGGTGCCGGTAGCATAACCAGGGACGCAAGTGGGCTTGGATCTGGTGAACACAGGAGGAGCAGTGAGGGTGCTAAAGTTCTCGCAAGCAGTCAAAGTCAGAGTCTGAGCAGGGACAGTTGATCCCTCAACAACTGTGGCAGGAACTGGAGTACCATTGGTTACAGTGCCAGGAATGGTAGATGGACTGATAGTGGTGCCAGGAACAACGGTGGTGCCGGGCATGTAACCAGAGATACATGTGGGAACAGAAGTTGTGAAGGCAGGAGGAACAGTAACAGTACCAAGAGTAGCACAGGCTGGAAGGCTGACAGTTTCAGGAGCAACAGTGGTCTCAGGATAAACAGTAGCAGGAACAGGAGTGCCGCTCAGGACTGAACCAGGAATAGTTGAAGCTGAAATGGTAATGCCAGGAATGACAGTTGGGCCAGGAGTGTATCCATCAACACATGGAGGTGTACTCTTGGAAACTGAGTGAGGAACTGTGACAGTGCTGAAAGCATCGCAAGGAGGAAGTGTGAGAGTTTCAGCAGGAACAGTTGTAGCTGGAACAATAGTGCCTGGGATAGGAGTGCCGTTGGAAACAGTGCCTGGAACAGTGGAGCCAGCGAGGGTAGTCTCGGGAATAACAGTAGTGCCGGTAGCATAACCAGGAACGCAAGTGGGCTTCGATCTGGTAAACACGGGGGGAACAGTAACAGTGCTGAAAGAATCGCAGGCAGAAAGAGTGAGAGTAACTGGTTCGACGGTAGTTCCTTGGTAGATCGTACCAGGAATTGGTGTACCACTGGAAACAGAAGCCTCAACAGTAGAAGGTGTAAATGTGGTGCCAGGAAGGACAGTAGTACCACCAGAGAAGCCAGGGATACATGTGGGGGTATTTCTGGTTAATGATGGAGTGATAATCTGAGTGCTAATCTTACTGCAAGCAGAAAGAGTAATAGTCTCAGGCTCAACAGTAGTTCCTGGGTAATAAGTAGCTGGAACAGGTGTGCCATTGGAAACAGAGCCAGGAACATTAGAGGGTTGGATAGTAACACCAGGGATGACAGTAGGGCCGCCAACAAAACCGTTAATGCAAGTAGGAGTGCTCTTGGAGACAGTGGGTGGAACAGTAACAGTGCTGAAAGCATCGCAAGGGGGAAGGGTGACAGTTGCAGGGGGCAATGTAGTTCCTTGGTGAACAGTAGCGGGGATGGGAGTACCATTAGAGACAGTGCCAAAATCGGTAGAAGGCTCGATGGTGGTACCTGGGATGACGGTGCTGTCAGTAGAGTAACCGGGGATACAGGTGGGTGTAGTTCGGACAAAAGCAGGTGGAACAGTAACAGTGCTGAAGGAGTCGCAAGGAGGAAGAGTAACAGTGAGAGGCTCGAGTGAAGTACCTTGGTAAATAGTGCCAGGAACAGGAGTACCATTGTTGACACTTCCAGGGACAGTTGAGGGTTCAACTTGCGAGCCAGGAATGATAGTAGTGTCTGTGGAGTAACCTGGAACACAAGTTGGGACCGATCTAGAGAAAGCAGGAGGAACAGTGATAGTACTGACAGAAGAGCAAGGAGGCAAGGTAACAGTGACAGGTTCAACGGTGGTACCAGGGAAGACGGTGCAAGGAACAGTAGTGTCGCCATTAATTGTGCCTGGAATAGTTGAGGGCTCAATGGTAGTACCTGGAAGAACAGTTATATCAGAAGTGTAACCATTAACGCAAGTTGGGGTAACTCGAGAAAATGGAGGTTGAGAAGTAACGGTAGGGATCTCGGGAACAGGTTCAACTGGGGCAGTGTAATCAGGAGCTGGAGGAAGCGAAGTAGAGCAAACACCTGGAGGAAGAGCAGTTGGGTACTTGCACTTCAGCAACCAAGGAGAAAGAGTAAATTCGTAGAACTGAGAAAAGGATTGAGCATCGCTAAACAACTTAGCACCGGTGAAATCGAGAGAAGTACCAAATAAACCGCCGGCCTTGGCACCAGTGCCGCAAGCCATACAGTCACCCATTATACTGCCGGAAGAACCCAATTTAGAGCAAATACATTCGTGGATGTCGCCGCAGTCTTTGATGAAAGTCATAGCATGTTGACAAGACTTCCAGCAGTCGGAAGGAGCATCACAAGCAGGGGGGGCATTGGGGGTATCACCCAAACCTGGATGAGGGAACTTGAATAAAGTGGCACTGACGGACACCAAATAAAAGCTCAGTACCAAATAGAAATGAGAAAATTGTCTCATTGTTTTAGTAGGTATTAAAAGAGCGAATGGATAAGAATGACTTTTTGTTTAATTGATCTAATGAGAAAGGTTTTTCTAAAAAAAAATAAAAATTAAAAAAAAAATGAATGAAAGAATGAATAACGAAAAAAAGGCTAAAAGAGAGAATAAGAAAAAAGAAAATCAATAATCAATCTTGTTTAAAGAAGTATTCTAATTTGAAAAAAAAAAAAAAAAAAAAAAGAAGAAAAGAATTTTGAATAAATACCGAGAAAAAGTGGAATCTTTATAGAGAAAAAGATTAACAGCTTTTAAAAGATAAATCCAATTTTATTTCAAATTTATTTTAGTAATTAACAAATTCAAAAGCCATTTTTTTTGCATAAACGTCGCTTCACTAAAATGAAGCAATAGTAATAAACCGATAATTAATTTTATGCCTAACAGTAGATAATAGCTATGAATTTTTTTTTATTAATGATGATTTTAGGTATAACTCTCTTTTTTTTGGGTATAGTTAGCTGTGTCTAATTGTTTTTAAAACTGGTTGAAATAGCTCTCCTGGAAATTGGGATTAATAAAAAAAAATAACAATTAATTCGGCTAGCATGAAGTTAAGCGAATAACTTGGGTAATTTTCTAATTAAACTTAGTATAAGCCGCTCTCTCCAAAATTCAAGAGAAAAGAAAAAGAAAACCGGTTAGAAGTAATAATTTCTTCTACTAAAAATATATTTAAGCGTATTAAAAATATTAATATGCCTGATGAAATTAAGGGATATAATAGGTTAGGGTGTTCAAAAAAAAAGTTTACTTTTTTTATTTTTAGTTTTTTGTTAAAAGAGTTCCTGTGAAATTTTCCAGTGTCTCATATTTATTAATGTTATCTTGTTCAACCGCTTAATTATATAAAAATCGTCTATAATTTCCAGTCTATTATTAATTTACAAATTAATGAAAAGATATTAAAATTCATATCGTTTTATCAGAAACATGGCCTATTTTTATTAATTAGAGTACGCCAAAGGGCATTGAGAATTCAGCGCCTTGATGAAAAAAAATAGTTTAATTTGGTGCTAGATTTATTCAATAAATAAAAATTAATATATGAAAAAAAAGAAAATACTCCATATATGCCCATATATGCCCATATATTTGAACCCAAGTGTTATTTGAATACGGTTATAGGTATCTAGTAAATGCGCCACAATAACATCATTGGTAATTTAGAACTTAGATTCTTGCAACCCTTGCATGGATAAGTTCATCTAAGCTTAAAGCAATTTAAATTGGTATTTTCTTCTAGAATCTTTTCATAGAAAAAAAAAGACAATAGCTTTGAAATTTTATTTTTATTATGATAATTCTCTGTGGATTTACATATTCTTCAATCGTCAAAAGAAGTTGTAGCTTTGGCGAAATAATCTTTAATTGTCAAAAAAAAAAAAAATTCCTTCTTTGGCTTGCTTCTTTTTTTTTTTTTTTTGGGTTGCTGAATATCAGGTAGGGTAACTGGTTTGTCCTATCAGATTTTCGTTGGTGTTAGAGCCCAACGGAACCTTTAAGCGTTCAAAGAGGGTTTTTTTTTTACGTATCCCCGCCAGTATCACTTGCGATCTTCTTGAAAAAAATTTTTGAGATTTGGGCAAACCAACAACTAAAAGATATATATATAAAAGCCTTTGTTTTGATCTAGATAAGATGATTGAATCATCGATTCTATAGGACTTTACTAAAATACCTGTCCTGATTAAATAAAAAACAACCTCCCAAAGAACAAAAATAATAAAACGCGTCAAAGAAATCACAATCACGCGACACAATTTCGCATCGTTGTATCGAACCTTTTAAAGCAAACTATTTGTATATTTATTTTTTTGGCTATAGTAGGCTCATATAAAGTATTCCAACATCAGCATTCATTTGAAAAAAAAACATAAATAAAATAAAAAAAGAGTATCAGTAATGTACGAAGGTGTGTTTAAATCAGCCCTTTTTGTTTGGCCTTTACCAAGAGAATTGCACTCTAACCGTTTGGATAACGATTACTAACTAAATGAATGCCATTATTTAGAATCAAGAGTATCGACACCATATGGAAGGCGGCAGGAGAGCCATGTGTGCAAGCTGTGTCAACGAGGGAACAGTCCTCGAACTAATCAGATTGTATTTTGTGATGAATGCAACACGCCCTATCACCAGTTATGTCATATACCCCCAATAGACCGTTTGGTTGTGGATGTTCCAGATGCTCAGTGGTTTTGTAAAGACTGTCAGCTTAAGCGGCGTGAACGCCCTCTGGAAACTGGACTTTCAGGGGAAGGGCTTTCATTAGATGTGGTATGTGGGATCTACTTTTTTTTGTGATACATGGATTCATGCAATATGAAACAGGAATCTTTGGTTCAAGTATTAACTATTGTTTTTTTTTCATTTTTATTTTTAGAAAATGACCTATTTATCATCTTTATCAAAAGCACAACTGGTAGAACTTATTCAATTTGCCGAAACAATAGACCCCAAACTACCAATATATTCTCCAAGCACACACTCCATTGCGTTAAAACTCCAGCTTGAGAATGATAAAAAGGAACATCATACCAGTCAATCCCAGGTGGACTACGAAGACTTACTGGTAGATGCCATTAACGCGAAATCCAATGGACATGGTGTCACTATTGCTGAGATTTGGAAGTGGATTGCAAAGTAAGTGAAAAAAAAAAAAAAAAAAAAAAAAGAGGGGGGAAGAGAGAGAAGAAATGGAGAAACAAGAAACCAGACCATATATTAATTGTCGGGACCTTGATATTATGCCAGTATCTTTATGCTAACAATAGGGAATTTTATAGAGAATGTGGGTCCCCTAATATTCTAGACTCTACATTTTTACAAGCGGCTACCCGGGCGTTTCAAAGGGTCCTAAGAAGAGGCAGGATCCTCAAGAGCGGATCGTTATACTTTATTAATACGTCATATCAACCTCCATCCGAGCTTTCTCTGGCTCAATATTTATCATCAAGTGTATGTTCTAGAGTCCATGTGGTTTGTGGAAATTTAGACAATCATATTAACTTATTTGAATTTTTTTTTTTTAGGATGAAGCAATGTTTGGCGAAGCTACCATGATAATACCTCCGCCAACAGACGACGATGAATATTACACGTATGATGAAAACGAGGAAGTATTTAGTCATAAAGTCTATGTAAGAACACATTAATTGAAATTATTGTTCATTTAAAGTCCTTTTTTTTTTGGAGCTATTATTGAATAATGTACAGTGTTATATTTCCGGTGACTTTATTCCAGGTTTTAACCTAATGTAAGCCATCTGGAAATGCATTTCCCTTTTATTGTCCTTAACTACAAGCCTTATTCAAGGTGGCTCGTGTACCTTTTAACCTTGTTTTTTCGATTTTTTGTTTTTTTTTTTCTGTTTTGTTTTCCCAGCATTCTCCCCCTATATATTTAATTTGAGGGTCAGCGGTACTTTTTAAAATGTTTAAACGAGAATCCAAAGTTATTCTTGTTTGTTAGCCAAAGAGTGGTTGTGAAGTTTCCGTGATGCTAGTTGCATATCTTGCAGCCAAAGAGTTTTGGCCATTGTCCAGTCTTTTAAACATTTCAGCCAACGCTGAGATCCGTCTTAATACAATTGTGACAAGTTCATTACTGGAAGAAAACTCAGGCTTGGTGCTCTGGGCTGTAATTACTAACCGAGCAAGCATCACGGCACAGTGGGCGCCAAAGAAATGAACTTGATCACTAAGTGCCATAAAATAGGTATGGTCCTTGACCACTAAAACTCCATCGAGAACCTTTAATCCATGGCGAATCATTCGTCGGAGCGTAGAGTTATCCATTGATTCAAAAACACGAGCAACATCATCTGAAATCGGTGAGAGTTGGGTAATTGTAGGCGCAAACAATTGTCTGTGGCCCCAGTGGTATAAGACGAGAAAGTAACAGAAATGGTAACCAGTTTCAACAAATTGTGTTGTTGGTTGTTCTAAAATTAATGTTAGTAAAAATAAAAAAAAAATTAAAAAATTAAATAACAGGCTTAATTGCATAATAAACTTTTTTTCAAAATGCGTTTTTTCTCTTCTTAATTGTTTTAAAAAAGAAAAAGGGGTAATAAAAAGTAATTAAAGAAAAGGAGATGAGAAAATAAAAGATTCGGTTAACATACCAAAAAGATATCCCCAGTCATTGTGCCAGAGCTTAAGTTCTTCTTCTACCTCTTCTAGCGATTGTTGGTATTCAATAAATTTGTAAATGAGTACCTGGAGGTTGATTTCTGCAACCATTCGCCCATCAAAGTTAGAACATGCTCTGAGTTCCAATGTTCGTCGACTTTGGTTTAATCTGATTTCATCTAATACCAGCATTCGGCCTGAAAGATTGCAGTTGCTATTCCAGCGTTAGTAAAAAAAAAATAAATAAAATAAAATAAAATAAAAATACTCACACAATGTGTACCAAACATAAATGATTCCATACGCGGTATGCTGTAATTTCGTCCATGGCCGTTACCGGGCTTTCGCCACCATCAAATGAAATGACCAAGCCTAGTGTATCTTTTGTCATAAAGTGCTGAAGACCAATACTGCTGATAAACCATGCATCAATTACATCTTCATCATCACTAAGTGACGAGGCATAGATCGACATGATTGCCAGTGCCTGGATAAATTCAATAGTGTGGGGAACAATCAGCATTGTGGATTTCAAATCGCTCTGCAGCTTAGAAATCAAGGGTTTCCAAATGGTCTGTTTGAGTTCAGGTTCATGGTATCTAATCACAATGGCACAACAAACAGTCAACAATAGTGATGATCTGGTTAGCATAAGATCTAGCAGGGTTTCAGTATTGATATCTGCTGGAAACGAAACCCATTGGTTATAATAGTTGCGAAACCTATAGCTTTGTTAGTATAGCAATATCAAAAAAAAAAAAAAAAAAAAAAGTATTAGAGTTACCTACAAATCAAGGATTCTAATAGTTTCTGCTCGGGTCAAAAGCTGCAGAGTAATGACATTTTCAATGATCTTCACCATTTGAGGGTTTAGCAGCCGCCGCACGGGAGGCGGGGCCAGCTCATTTCTAACACTGTACCCAAAAGTATGAAATGGCGAAGTTTTGTATGAATGAGAACAGTAGCCGAATGACGGAGTGACTGGGTTTGCGGTAGAGATTTTTGCTAAAGTTCCGTTTCCGTTGCTGAATGCATTTGCTCCTGAGAGATAATTAAGAGTTGATTCACTGGAAATTCCAGCCGCGGCTTTCTCTTCTCTTAACCGATATCCATCTCGTAAGAGCTCCAAAACTTGAGACACGTCAATTTTTATTCCATCCAATCTGAAGAAAAAAATTAGTACATTTAAAAAAAAAAAAAATCAAAATCAAAATCAAAATCACTCGGTTTAACATACTTCTTTTCAATGGCCTCGTTTCCTGCAGCGATTAAGCCTTCAGGAAGAGCTGGTCGAGGGAATATGTCTTCGGGTTCTTCGGTTGAAAGACTACAGCTTAGACCTAAACTAAGGCACCGAAAACATGATCGAGAGGTTTGTGCTGGGAAGCAACGCGTTTTTTGTTTGCGACATGTGAAGCAGGCTCTTGCAGCTCTTGGGTTTCGTGTTGCCTTTTGCTTAGCGCCTGTTGGAGTAGATGAAGATGACTTGTTGTTATTGTTGTTATTATTATTATTACTGTTACTATTACTATTATTTTGAGAGGAAGAGCTGGATGGAATTGATTGTTGGGAGCCATTTTCTTCATCAATATTTGTTGTTTCTGGTTTAGATGGATCTAATACCTGTGAAAATAGAGTATTTCCGGAAGGGTTCTGCATGACAGATGAGACCAATGCGATTGACGACGCGAGGACCGGACCCTGAGGTGGAGGGGAGATAGAAGAAGGTGGAGATTTTGATGGAGGGGTTGTAAAGCTGGCTGTTGGTGGGTATGTAGTGTCACTTAGGATGTTTCTGATGGCGAGGGTTGACATGTGAGTATTAGAGTAAGCCATAGTGGGACCCATTACTGGAGACTTTGTTAGTCTTGTACGTTTACGATGTGGTTCAGGTATTTCTGAATCGGACATATTCTATGACTTTGGTCGAATAAACGCGTAGCAATTAAAAGTAGGAAATTTGAAAATAGACCTTATATTATTCGGGACAAAGCGGAGGGGAGAAGGCGATTAAAAAATAAAATAAAATAAAATAAATAAATAAAAAGGGGGGGGGATGTAGCGATCCAACCGTTTGATAAGCTTAAGACCAAAGTTTAAGTAGAATTGCAGTTTCTAGTATAAGTTGATTATTTAAGTCCTAGACAGAAGAAAATTTTTATAAAAAAAAAAAAAAAAAAAAAAAAAAATATGGGGGAAAAAGAATGAAAGATAGAAATTTAAGTGGAAAAATAAAATAAAAAATTATTTTTTTTTTAAAAATAAAATAAAAATAAAAAAAGATTTCTTAATTAAGATGGAGGATAAGCTGGGTTTGCTGCCTGCCTGCTGCTTTTTGCTGCTTTTTGCTGCATAGATAAAGAAAAAAAAAAAAATCCCCCTTTTAGTTACACTTTAATTCAAAGCCACGTGACTCAAATTCCATCCACTCCCCTCCCTTTTTGGCTTATGTGCATATATATATATATATATATATATATATATATACAGTTATATAAAACTGTTTTTTCAATCCAAAACTTTCAATCCATCCCATCAACAATGTTTACCTTCCCCTACCCTCTCAACCCTCAAGACCTGCTTGAGTGAGATACCTAATCATTATTCTACCTTCATCGATCGCTAAACCTGAACCATCAATGATACTACACCGTTATCAAGACCTTTGAACTCTTGTCAAACCATGTTTCAAACTCCCTTGAATTGGCTCTTGTATCCTTCTAATCTAATTCTAAAGCACCAGATCCGGAATCCCTTCAAACCAATCAACAATTGGTCGAGTTTCGACTTTTTGCAATTGCTGTTTTATTTTTCTTCGGAAGGCTTTTGGCTCCTTCTTCATCCCCAGAGTCACTGTAAGAAATACTGATTTGGTTTTTATTGTCTTTCCTCAATGAGCGTTTAGTGTCTTTTGAAGATGGCGTCTTAGTTTTTTCTTTATGGGTAGACCGTTGGTTTAATTTATTAATGATACCATTCACCTTTTCATTTTGGTTCAATGTATCTTCATGTCGTTGTATTATTGAACTTGACACTTCATCATTTACTTCCCTTGAATCAAAAAAAAATAAATCTTTTTTAGATTCCCGTTGCAAATCCAATTTCCGTCTTCGAATTAGTTCTCGCTCCCGTTCACGCTGTCGCTCCAAGCTTAGTCTTCTTTTTTTTTCTAGTGAGCCTTCTATAGATGAATGATGACCGTTGCTCTCAGAATCATTTTTAAGTGCCTTATAATGATCTCTTTCATTTTCTCTTCTGTATTTCTCGTCACGGCGATAATGGTGTGGTGGCGACCTACTGCGGCTTCTTTCTCGTTTCGGTTGGTTTCGATATAACTGTTTCCTTGACTTTTCTTGTTGAATCATTCTCTCTGTAGCTTGTTGACGCTCTCTATTTAGCAATGCTCTATTATGAGAATCAGACTCCTTTATAATTTTGCGTAAAAAGTTGGTGTTTGGCCGTAAAACTGTGCTGTTGTCGCGAGTCTCATTGTCATCGACATGCCCTCCAACAGTATGATTCTTGCTAAACTTACGCGTCAAGCTGCGAGCATCCCGCTCAAGAAGTTTGACCACGTAGTCAGTAGACAATAAGTCATCGTCATCTAAACCAGATCTTTCTTTTTTCTTGAGATTCATGATTTGTAGTGGTTTTTAATGGTTTTTGTTTAAGAAGAGAAAAGGGAATATGGAGATTTTGGGATAAAAAAAAAAGGTCGATCTCATTATTAATTAAGCAGAAGGGGTATTAAAAAAAAAAAGATCCTCAAAATCTTAAAAAACTTTTTTATGAAAGGTAAATAGCAATTGTATATATTAATTACGTAACAATTTACTAAACATCAGATCATTTTTTTTTTTTCGCCAGTTTTTTTTTTTTTTTCGTCCCTTCAAAACCTTCATTAAAGTCCCATCACCACCCAAACATACCAAAAAAAAAAAAACAAAAAATTTACAAAAGCATTAATAATGGCTTTGAACAGGCATTCATCCATATAGCATATCTTTTTGTTCAATAGAATCTCATAATCACATTCATTATAGAACCATTTTTGTATATAGAGATAAGCATAAACGTCAACTTTTTTTTTGTTATTTTGCTATTACCACCAAGCAAACCCCGTTTAATTCCTCTTGCAAAAAAAAAAAAAAACACAACTCCATAATATATTTAAAATTTTTTTTTCCCCATTAATTCAACTACTTCCCACTAGCTATGGAGAAAATTAATCGTTCATCATTAAAAGCATCCTACTTAAATCACAAGCTGTTGCAAAGAATATGTCTTGGAAAAAATTCACCGTTAAAATGTTCACGCTTAAATAGTACACAACTGCTATTGGTCAACCCAGCATCTCATGTAGACCTCAGTAACAACAACTACCCCAAGCATTTCCATACCATATCGTTTCGGCTTAGAGACATTGCCATCAATGAGGCCGATATAGAAACTCCATTTCTGAACAATAGCCATATTTGTGAAGAAACTGCAGCCTCAGCAGCAGCAACACCGGCAACTAAGGCCTACATCAAGCGCAAACAACCTCCCAAAAAACAACCCAAAAAACGAAACGAGTACCTCGACATTTTACAACAAGAATCCGAAACCAGTTTCCGAAACGAAGTCTTTAAAGATCTCAAGGTACCAATCTACACTTTAGAAATGGCACTAGCTAAAAACTTACCAGAACGCTTTATTTCAGAGAAAATATTAAAACAAGCAGAAGGCACCAAAACAGCAGCACCAGAAAAAATCGAAGCATGGATCACAGAAGCTAAAACATTGCTTGCACAGGGGAACTTCTCACAACTCCAAGATGCCCTTGAACAAGGGGTCGTTGGAAATTATCTAATGACTAACACCGAGCTTGTTCACTTTGTTCATGAGCTCTCACAACTTAAGAAATACGACCTGTGCGTTTATGTCTTCATGTCATATGCACCATCAGTACAGGCCTCGGAAACTGCGCCAGAGGAACCATACATTCCGTCTGCGACGGTCCTGGAGGCCGCCACAGCTGCCTACATTTCGAAACACTTTTTGGACTGCGTAATTATTCATCAAACTTTTGGTGACAAGGTCTTGTTCCCTGGTAAACTCATCAACTCAGTTCTGCGCAGTTTCTATCACATCTACGAGCCCTTTTCTGCACGCAAGTTTCTCAATAAAATCTGGAAATCGGCAACCGACGAAACAATAATCGCAGCAGTCCGAGGTATCACCCGCGTGTGCTACCGACCAGCACCAGAGATCATGGACCTGATATATACGTGGAAACAAGACCGACAAACAGTAGACGTGGAGTTATACGCTTGTGTTTTGGAGTCCTTGCTAGATCTGCAGGACTCGGCGCGGTTCAATGAGATTTCCAAGCTTGTGCAAGCGGACGGGTACATTGAACATCCACGAATTAAAGAGGTCCACTTCCAGAAACTGCTACATGAAAAAAACCTGCCACGGATTGAGGCATACATCTCAATGCTTCAAGAAGAAACAGCAGTACCATCATCGGCGGCCCTATCTATCCGACCTTTGAACCGTGCCGTCAGTTACTTTTCGCAGCTGGATGATAATGATGGCGTGTCGATGGTGGTTGGACTTTACGCAAGACTTGGGTTTGAACACTCAGCCGAAGTGCTAAATGCCCTTGTGACGCTCATCTACCGCAAGGGCGACCCTGCATATCTGGTAGACTATGTCGAAGACTGGGACCAGACTGGGGTTGTGGGGACCAATGTGACTGTTGTTTTGATTTGGAAATGTTTAATCCGTGCATACCAGTCACATTCCAAATACATCACAAGCCGGTTCTTGGAAATGAAACGTAAGTTCCCGAACCTGTTTCTGGGGGTCACTGAAAATGAAGCCTTACTGCTTAACAGACTGGTCAAAAAGGAATCAAGACACGAAAATACAGACTACGTGACCATGTCCATGTACGCAGGAAGCCCGACACATGTTCTGCGCCGGGTGCAAGTGCTTGGACGACAAGGCAAAGCCGAGGTTGCATTGGAAGCTGTTCGTGAGATGGTTTCTCACAATGTCCGTCCCACGCGGGCCATTTTTTACAACCTATTGCATAGCATTTGTCGGCAGCGACTAACTGCAGAATTTGACGAGGCACTCAAGATGATGCATGAGGCTGGGTACGCTGCCTGCACACAAATGGAAGTTGTGTTTCTGCGAACTCACCTCGAAAGTATGCGCAAATCACTCGAGGAAACTGCTGCAACAAGAGGTGCCACAGGACTATTAAAACGCTTGGCCAATAACCAGTTCTCTGTCCGTGCCGCTGCTCTCAACAAGCTCAAGAACTTTGTGGGACTACATGCAAACACACTTAACCTACGCTCTGCAACCTCACTTGGGTACGAGTACTTGTTATGGCAAGACTACGATGCGGCCGTTGGTATGTTTGGTTTTATGCGCAGCCAGTCTGGCGAAGATAGCGAGGCATGGACTTCGTCGAATACAAACTCGTTTGCATTGGCCGGGTTAGTCCGTGCGTACGCCGCCCAGGGCCGGTACACAGACGTTTACGAGCTGGTTCGGTCCGTGTGCTGTACTGAAACAGATTCACGCATTGATGTACTTTCTTTCTTGCGTATTGAGGTGGCGCGTGCCGTGCAACTTGCGCGTAAGCGTAATCATCTCAATGCATTTGCATCGCAGCTGCTTGAGTGCCGTAAGATGCTGACGCGCGCCATGTTGCTCAACAACCGGAACCGCGTGCAGGCTGATTTGCAGGTTGTCGAGTCACTTTTCGCAGTATGGGAAAAGCGGTTGGTGGAAAAAACAAAGTAAATGTAAACCGGTTAACTAATCTAAAATACTCTTTGACTTCTATTTAAAAAAAAAAATGCCTAAAAAAAAAAAGAAAAAAATATAATAAAAAAAGAAAGAAAAGAAAAGAGAAAAAAAAAAAAAGGTATGCAAAGATTTATATCATAAGTTAAGCTTGGATCCAAGGGTGGTTCCAAATATCTTCGACCGAGGGCCGTTTGCGGACAGGTCTTGTCAGAATCATACGGATGAGATCGATACAAGGTTCCGACATGACAAAGGGCACACGCAAGTCATGGTCCATAATCTCATCGACATTGTAAAACGGGTTTTCCTTGTAGATAATAGTGTAGAGTAAAATGCCAAGCGCCCAGACATCTTGAGGCTTGCCCTCATAAGGTTTACCGGCAAGTACCTCTGGCGCGGCATAGTCAAGAGTACCCACAAAGACGTCAAAGGGGCCTTGGCGCACAAACGCGCTACTTCCGAAATCAATCAACTTGACGAGCCCTGAGCCGTCCACAATCACGTTTTCGTCCTTAATGTCGCGGTGCACAATATCGTGCGAGTGCAAGTGCCGCACTGCAGAAACAACCTGCTTAAACAAATTGCGGCACTGCGATTCGGGCATATCGGGTTGGTTCTCAATCAAGTCAAACAGATCTGTGCCAGGATTTCCGTGCGGCTCCATTTCGATATGGAAATACTCTTCGTCCTCAAAGAAATCCAGTAATTGCACAATGTTATCGTGCGGCCATTTGGTGAGTACAGCCATGACCTTGATTTCCGATGGAATTGTTCCTAGCTTGCGGTCGCGGGTCCAGGTGTCAACCAAAATACGCTCCTTAATGACACTTTTGAGAATGACTCGAAGAGGAGGTTCACAGGCGTACTCGGCTAAAATAACCTTTCCGTAGGCACCTTCTCCCATCCGCTTGAGAATCTTAAAGTCTGCCAGCGTTTTTTCACGTCTCCGTGCACCCAACTCGGGGATATGGATCGAGTATGCGGATGATGCTGAGTTGGGAGTATCACTGCTTGACTGAGAAATGATTTGAGCACGCGGCGTACTAGTAGTGACAGTGGTAGCTGCGGTGGTAGTTGTTTCTGTAGTTGCAGTGGTAGTCACTGTAGAGTCGTTTGAAGATTGAGAAACTGGCTTAGACTCTGGTGTTACAGGCTTTTCGTCCTGGTGTGACTGAGATGGTGTCAAAGGTTGGCCATTGGCAAGTTTAGCAAGAGATTCATTAGAAGCTGCTGGTTCTGAGAGAGAACTAAAGCTAGAGCTACCACTACTTTGGTCGCTTTGTGTGGAGCTATTGCTATGGCGGCCATTGATAGATCGTGAAGAAGAAGACTTTTTAATAGAAGCCGCAGCCTTATTCTTCATTGAGAAAAGCGTAAACTGGGATGGAATCTGGTTTGATTCTTGCTGACCAGTAATGTTGCGTGAGTACGTCACCCAAAGAGCGGCATTGCCGTCACCAATGATGCGCATCTGCACGTCAACCGTAAGAGAGATACCATCGCGATGAAGCGCTTCAATACCTTTCGAGTCCATAAAGGCCGAAATGGTGTCCAGCTGTTTTTTAGGCATGAAACCTCCTCCATCGCTCAAGGCAAACCTCTGGTGCAAATTGGAGCTAGAGGCCAGAGCGGGAGCAATATGGCCATTGGGTAAATGCGAGGGGAGCTCAGCCAGCTCATCTCCAGATTCCTGGTCAGAGGACTCTTCAGTAGAAACAGGAGAGGCTCTAGCTGTAACAGTTTCACTTCCAAGAGGCGAGTCAACTTCAGAACCAGACTGGGATTTGGGCTGCTGCTCCATTTGAATCTCGACAGCAGCCTTTCTAAACAAATGCTCAGGTACTACCAAGCCCTGGTGCATACGACCACGCAGGTTGAGGTCACAGGTGCGCTCAATACGCTCTACATAGGCGGTAAAGTTAGGGATAAGCTCATCAATGGACCATCCGACGCAGTGTTTTGTGTCGGTTTCCGGGTAGCCAAAGAGCTGTTCGACAACGGAAGCATTGTATCCGGCAATGGTCATGTGCTCTGGGTCAAGCAAGATGATACCGGCCATATGAGGGATGGAGACAAGTTGGAGCGAGAGAATGTTACCATCATCTTGGTCGGGCTTATCATCATCAGCAATTTGCAACATTGTAGGGACAATGGTGTTACCCGAGACGGTAACGTGATTTTCCACGTGTCTCTTATTGTTACGCAGGTTGTTTGCCATGACGCGAAGATCCTCGGGGATACCAGAAAAGGTGTCACGGATGTTTAAGTTTTCATCATTGTCAGAGGGGAAAAGAACATGTTTCTGAGGCCCCGAGACAGATAAGGATCCATTTGTTAGGTTGACTGTAAGATTAGCACGGTCGTGAGCGATTTCCTCAATGACCCAGGCAATGATTCCAGAATTGTGTTTTTTGGCAAAAAAGCTTGCGAGGCCAGACTGGCCAGTGCATTTTACAATAGGGACAAGTTCACCGCAGAAAAAGGTTGTGTTGGGAGGGCAGTTGCGGGCACGTTCAATGACACCTTCGCGAAAGTTTGTACCTACGATATCTGAAATGGTTTGTCTTCGGATTTCGAGCTTGGACATGCCAAAGACCAGACAACTAATGTCATTTGATGCAAGGATGCGGTAGGGTTCTTCGGAGGAGGTGGTGAAGACGGCTTGGTTTGAAGAGAAGCGGGAGGAGATGGGGTGAAGGATAGAGGACGCAGAAGAGAACATTGAAGGGTTTCTCAAACCTGCCGACTTGAGATCTACTGTGGATGCCGAGGTTGATATTGTTGGCATGGAAGAGACTGTGCCGGTACGCTGGATGAGGTTAGTCCAGTATGGGTCATAGTAAGGGGTAGCGAGGGCATCGAGGAGCTGTGCTTGGAGGTGAAAGGTGGCAATGTTTGTTTTAGTTCTTTTACGAAACTTGAGGGGCTCCAAGAGGCTACTTTGCTTCTTTTTGCTAGGTGATGGTGATAAATGTTTAGGGGTATGATTTGGTAGCTGGGGTAGAGCTGGGGCGGTGGTATCAGCCACGATAGATTCATCATTTGTGATTGGCTTGAATGGAGTTGGTTGTTGTTGTTGTTGTTGTTGTTGTTGTTGTTGGCTGTTATTGTTATTGTTATTGTTGTTGCTATTGTTTTTAGTAGCCGCGAGAACTGAATAAAGTTTAGAGTTTGAAGATGAGTTCTCGATAGAGGGTGAGGGACCAGAAGCAGGGAATACGTGGGCGTTTTCCAAGAGGGTCAGGATGGACTTGAGGTTGTTGTCAAAGAGAGTGTTTGAGGGTTCTCCTAAAAAGGCATGAGCTGAGGATGTTGCGTTAGCTGTGGTGGCGCCTCGAGCCATGGGAGCTGCTGTAGAAGGGGTATTTAAAGAACCCGCGGAAGAAGCAGAAGAAGCAGAGGCTAGGAGATTAGCACTTGATGCAAGACCAGCGGCACCCATGGCTGGATAGTTTGCCAGCATGGAGAGAGCGGCAGAAGAGGCAGAGGAGCGTAACTGGGTACGGGAGGGGATTGGAGACTTGAAAAAGTCCTCGAGGGCTGTAGTTGAGGATGTTGAGGGGAAGTTGCTCATACTTGTGAGGGCCGGGTTATCACGGAGAAACTCGAGGGAACGTTTTAAAATGTCTAATCGAGAAGAGATTGCATTTTGGGAAATAAAGGCAAAGGAGAAGGAATGGAGGGACTGAGAGGTAAACCGTTGGACCAGCTCTGAACTCATGGGTGTTGGTTGATGTTGTTGTAACAAGGCCGAGAGCTGTGTATAAGAGCCAAACCCTGCGAGATGAGGGTGTTGTTGTAGTTGTTGTTGTTGTTGTTGTTGGAGGTGTGGATTATGAGCAGAAGGAACACGTTGCTGTTGCATATAAGTTGCAGTTGGAGAAGTTGACACAGTTTTTAACTCCGATGATCTTCTGCGGGAGACAAGTGAGATCGGTGGAGGTTTATGTGAATATGGAGGAGAAGATGAAGAAGAAGATGCAGATATGATAGGAGATGGATTTGAATTTAATGCATGGTTTATTGTTGAAGGTTTGTTATTTGTAGGTGATGATAGATTATTATGATGATTATTATCATTATGATTATTAAGAATCAAAGAGTCTGACCCAGGAGAACCAACTTCTGGTTCTTCTTCTTCGTCTGAGGAAGTGTCGATATGAAATGAAGGACGTCGACGTTCAGACATGAGATGAGGGGATGGACTTGGTGGTGAAGTTTTCGAGTCTGTCGTCGTCGTCATTGAGTAGGGTGGATGATTTGCATTTTGCATTCTTGGATGAGGGAGGAGGGTTCTTTTTTTTTTTTTTTTTTTTTTAAAAAAAAATTGATATTAACGAGAGGGGAGAAATTTAGATAAAATGAATGATTAGAGAGAGAGAGTGTGTGGATTTAAAAGAAAGGATTATATGAAAATATATAAAAAAATATTTGAAAATAAATAAATAAATAAATAAATAAATAGATGATGATGATGATGGCTTTAATGGAAAAAAAAAATTTAAAAAGATCGGATGGAAGGGAGAAATTAAAAAAATTAAAAAAAAAATTAAAAAAAAAAAAAAAAATTTTATGTGTGTGTGTTGAATGAATGAATTTGTTGGGAGTCAGTAAAGTAACAAGTAATAAATAAATAAATAAATAAATAATTAATTTTTATTTTATTTTAATTTAATTTATTTTAATTTATTTTAAAGTAATAAAAAAAAAAAAACTTTAAAGTTGCTTGAGTGGCTAATAAAATTAATGTTATTTTTTAAATGTAATTTTCTTGTTAAAATAAACTAATTTAATTTAATTTAATTTTATAAAATTTAAAATTTAAAATTTAAAATTAAAAAAAAAAAAAAAATTAAACTGCACATTACGTAATTAACACGTGTAAATATTTAATTTTTTTCTGCCGTACACATGCAATGCAAGCCGCAAAAGCTTTAGCCGTTCAACTTACCCAAAATAGTAACTTTCTACACAATCCTTCGAGACCTTCCATGCAGCACTCAAAGGTGATTCAAAATCATTCAAAATCATTCAAAATCATTCAAAATCATTCAAAATCATTCAAAATCATTCAAAATCACCAATATTGTTTTTTCTCATATAGATTTAAATATTTTTTTAATTAATTAAAAAAAATTTAAAAAAAAAGCAAACTATCTCTCTCTCTCTCTCTCTCTCTCTCTCTCTCTCTCTCTCTCTCTCTCTCTCTCTCTCTCTCTCTCTCTCTCTCTCTCTCTCTCTCTCTATTTCTTTCTTTTAAACCGTAGAAGTCACTCCTACCAAATACTCTCCAAGTCCTTCAGCACGCTTCTTACGACGCTGCTCAAGTACCCACTCATGAAACTTCATCAACCGGATCCGAGATTCATCAAACCAAATGTTTTGCTGCTTTTGATGCAAATTCAAGTCACTACTTGTCATACTTATTCCAGCACTTAACCTTGCATCTGGAGTCTTTGGAATTACATCATTTTCATCATCTTTATCATCTTCATTTTCATCTTCAGTCTTGGTCTTGGTCTTGGTTACTTCTTGCTCTTGAACAACTCGAGTATTGCCCCAACTAAAATCATCAAACCTCCAAACTAAAAAAAAAAAAAAAAAAAAAAAACTTAAAGTCAGTCTTTTTTTTTGTAAAAAAAATCATCATCATCATCATCATCATCATCATCATCAATCTAAACTTACACGCATTTAAAGGCAAAATAAAATTCCATATCGGTAATGAAATCAAATAAATCAACATCCACAACACATATGTCCACTGATGTGCAGTCACCACAATCAACAATCCAGGAATCCCTACAATTAATGCAAGTAAAATTAACGGAATTACAGGCACAGGTCGCTCTACAACTGCTCGACACATTACAAACACAGAAAAAAGTAATGAAGCAGGCAAAGTCAAAGTCCCAATAAACTCAATCAATACCACAAATTGCATTGAAATGCAAAACACTCCACATAAATCCCGTACAATAATTAACTCCATCAAATTGTGCACCGTCGAATTGATCCACCGTCGCCGCTGATCAAGCAACACTTTAAACTCACTTGGTGCAACCGTCTCACACTTTGCCTGTGGCACAAACATTTGCTTGCGATTCGGGAATGTCTTAAGCATCAATGTTGACAAATATCGATCCTCACCTAGTAACAATAAATTCTTCTCATGTAGCGTTTCCACACTATTAATTGCATACCTCTCAACCACATCTGGATTTGCCAAAATCGGGACCCAGTACCCCCGTGGACCTTTGGGAGCCTTGATCCTGTACATGGAAAAACACCCAGGTAAACATGTCACACCGCCAAACACAGATTCAAACGACTTGGTCAAATGGTGCGAAATAAAATACTCAAACACCTGAATCATTGTTACCCATGACTCAGTCTTATTGGCAATTTGCGTTTCTCCACAAAGCCCCATAATCATTGGGTCTTGTACAAAACATCCCACCATGTATTCCACTGAGTCACGACAAATCCTCGTGTCTGCATCCACCATCAAAACTGTTTCGTAGTCCATTACATCTCGCCGTGTTAGTTGCCAAATGTTATAATACAGCGCATGCTCCAAGTCCGTCATCCTCTCGTTAAACATCACTTTTTGTAAAAAAGACATGAGCATCACCTGTGAGTCCCGCTTCCCACGGTTCCCAGGTTTTACTCCATGCGTCTCCCTCTCCCACGCATCTCCACATTTAACAATGCAAACAATTGGGATTGGAACCTGATGCTCCACCGGTACTGTTGTGTCATCATAATCGTAATGTCCAGCATAAACTTTAGCCATATTAAACCGCTTGGCTCCTTGGGCCACCGCAATATACGGCATTACGCCCACGTGTCGTGGAGGAATTAAAAAATCTTTAATCATGGAAACTGCAATCTCTGGAGTTGATCGCCCATTGCCTGACCCAATAATCAGTCCGTCACAAATCACAATCACAAGCTTATGAGTGTACGGGTAACTGCACGTAGCAATCGAGTCCAAAGTAGCTCTCAATCCTTCTTCATCTTCAGAATAGGCAGTTACCAGGCAAATCGTATTAATCATTTGGCTGGGCGACAGCAGACCCAAAGAAGAATAAGAATCTTCCGTATTAATTTCTTCTTCTTTTTCTTCTTCTTCTTCTCCATCTTCATCTTCATCCATTTGCTCTTCTTCAAAAGTGTCCAAAACAATGCGAGAATTGTTGCGAGAATCGGTAAACTTGTGTACTACTCGATCCAAAGATTCTGCAGCACTCAATACTCCGCTTTTAATGCTGCGCAGTCCTGATGCTGCATTAGTTAGTGGCACGCTTGCAAAATTGGCGCCCAGTCGTGCCGACATAAACCACTCAAAGTACAATGCGAAAACAAACTTGACAACCACAATCGACACAATAAACGTCAACGAGATAATCAAAACCAAGTTCGATGCAATGCACCCAAGAGTATCAGTGTCAACAACCCCAATCTTAGCAAGCTCAACTAAGCATCGACCAGCTGCACGCGATGAAGCACTCCTAGAAAGCATCACTGAAATGTCCTTCCCGCGTAGCTTCACACTGTCTTCAAGCAATCGCAAAATGTTAGCATCCATTGTGAATGCACGCAGCATCTGAAGTCGCGTCAAATCAATCACGTCTCCAAGGTACACCACTAGGTCATTGTTAATATTCCTCAAATCACTCCACTCATAGTACACGTCCAGCTTATACTCCAGCGTGTACAGGTAATCGCGAGCACCAGGTGCTAGATGGCAAAATGCAGCATTGGCAGATACGCCATCAGGCCCATGCCCCCAACTTGTTCCACGCCCTCCTCCACGCTGGTGGGTAAGCCGGTGCTGCAGTGGATTACCGCGTGGTGAACCATTGAGGTTGAGCAGCACACATGGGTAGTAGTACGAAAACATCATATCTTGGGTCATGGGTACTGGGTGGTTTTTGAGTTCGGACCAAATCACACCTCGGCAGTGGCCATTCACGTTTTGAAATAATAGTGAAGCGTCGGCGCCGGCCGCGTACTCCCAAATATCCAGAGCCTTTGGCCGGTCATTAGGGTCCGGGTACTGTTGAACAATTTTTTCTTCAATCTTTGTAATGTTAAACAGAGCCCCATGGACCACCACCGAATCATTTGGCACCTGTTTGTAGTGGACTCTAGGGACAGGTTGTCCACAAACTGCCGAGTTGAAAGCAAATGTGAAGAACCCTACAAAAGTGGTGAGCAGTATGATGACTGATACAAGCCCGATTTTCTCACGCCAAGCTTGCTGCCGCGGCTTGGACCGCATCCCGCACCACCGCAGCGAAATCGCAGGCACAAAAAGGGTAATGATGTTGCAATAAATTTGCCAAACTGATGGGCCTCGAAGGTCCTTTGAGTGACGCGGCGAGGGGGCTCCTGGGGTCGGCGGCCGAGAGCGGTTGTAAAGATGGCGCTGGGGGAACATTTGGTGTAGTGCAGGAGCATATTTTGAAGCAGATAGTGTAGTTGAACTTTTGAGTGAGAGTTTTGAATTGTTGAAAAGTTTGAAAAAGGGTCCATCAGTTATGCCTTTAGGTGATTTTACAAGTTTTAAAGGTTTTGAATCTTCTTTTAATTCTTCTTTATTCGTTTTTTTTTCTTTTTCTTCTTTTCCTTTTTTTCCCTCATCTTCAGTATCTTTCATTTGCTCTTCATCCTCTAGTCTAGGACTAGTTCTTGGTGTTTTGTAAATGGAATTTGGATAAACAGATTCCGGTGATGATTCCTTTTCATTCCCTTTCTTTTTTTCCTTTTCTACTTCTAATTTTTCTTCCTCTTCTTCTTCATCTTCTTCTGTTCCCTCTGAAATCACTGGACCCTGTTCCATTATTCTAAAATCAGCAGACGTTACATACTCTGCCAACGGATCAATCCCTGTCAATGAAGGTTGCACTGCCAGTGAATCAGACTCTAATGTGTGCTGTGTATAATAATAATGAGCATCACCAGGACCCAACTGTGCTCGCTCTCTCCGCACAAGTTTCCGGGGCGATCTTCTTCCAGAAACAACAGATGCAGGCCGCGATGATGACCGAGACCGTGGCCGTGAATGCAAGTGAGATACGGAGTTTTGCTGTTGCTGTTGCTGCTGCAGCTGTTGATTATGGTTATGGTTATAGTTATGGAGATACTGCCGCTGCAAATGTGAATTTTCCTCAGATTCGTCAGAGCCATCTGGATTCTCAGGAAGTGTACTGACTCGTGACCGACGAAGTGGAGACGGATGCCTACGATAATGGTTAAAAAATACATGAGGATACTTGTCATCGTAGGCTATGGGTGAAGGTATATCGATTGTTTGTGGTGGAGGAAGTGGGCTAAGAGAAGATCCTGAGGGAGTCTGAGAGAGAGTTGGGCTTAGTTTTTGAGGGATATTTTTCTTCCTTTTTTTAGATAATTGAGCATTGTTGTTGTTATTGTTGGTAGTTTCTTCTTTTGAAATAAATGAAGCTTCAAAGTGATGGGGGGAAGTTAGATCAGATAAAAAAGCCTTGGGAGGATATTTGATTGTCCCATAATTATCAGTTTCTACTGGATGTTTATGTATTGCATAAGGGTTAACTTGTGCAAGATCAAGGTAAGATGAAGATTTGTTTTTTTCAATAGAGGATAAGGAAGATGATGGAGATTGTTGGCTGTGAGATTGGTAAGTTCTTTTAGGAAGGGTTTTCCGAAGTTGCGGTTGGGTTGAAAGGGATTTTGAACGAGGTCTAGTAAATTTATGATTTTGTTGTGACATTTGGGTTTAGTGGGTTGGTTGGAAGAGAAGATTGAAACGAATATCATTGTTAAATGTATTTATTTTTAAGATTGAATAGGGGTGTGTGTATGTGAAGGTTTGTGAATAGAGATATCACAAAGGAAACGTTGTTATTGTTTAATTTGATTATTTTTAAGATCCAAGAGAAAAAAAATTCAAAAAATTTTGATTTTTTTTTTTTTTAGGACCAGATTATGTGATTATCAATAATTTGAATTGAAATGGGGTACGTTGTCTGATGTATTCAAAAAAAAAAAAAAAAAAAATAGAAGAAGAAGAAGAAGGAAAAGGACAATAAGGAAAAGAAGGTTTCTGCCAGGGAATGCATCTTATCAGCACGTGATTAAAACCGTTGGATAAGATGTCAGCATTTACTATTATCTGACTAAGCATTAAAGTAAAAATAAAAATAAAAATAAAAATAAAAAATAAAGAAATAATCCGTGGCTTTTTTTTTTTTTTTTTTTTTTTGGCTAATTTTGTGGAATTTCAAAACTCATTTTTTTATTTATTTTTTATTTTTTTTTTTTTATCATTTCAATATACCAAAGAATCAAGAATTATGTCCGGTAATATTACCATCATTCAATGTTTTAAAAAAGAAAAAAATATATATTTCATTTTTTTTTTCTTTTAGTAAAAAACTATTATTATCAATATTAAAAAAAAAAAAAAAAAAAAAAAAAAAAAGGGGACAAAATATATTCCTTTTTTTATTATCATTATTATTTATTCTATTCAATAAAGTCACAGTTCCGTCTCGGATCCGGTATCGCACTGAAAACATTTTTTTTTCTTTCAATTTACTTCATATAATAATAATAATAATAATAATAATAATAATAGTAATAGTAATAAATAATAATTCATCAAATCACAAACTATTCTTCTTCTATTCTTCTTCTATTTTTTTTTATTTTTTTTAATATGTTTCCATCTTGTTAAACCAATTCTTGTCCCCTCTTTATTTATTGGTCCTCTCTCTCTTTCAATAACAGAAACCCGAGTGGATCCGACCCCTCTTGTTGCAAGAGCTGGGGATTGGTGACGCCGTACGGTCGCTTAAAATTTGTCATCATGCCAAGCTTTGTCATCATCATCATCTTTGCTACATACACATTAAAAAAAAAAAAAAAAGGGATTTTCTTTCTTTCTTTCTTTCTTTCTTTCTTTCTTGCATTTATTTATTCCCCCTCCCTCCTTCTTTACTTTTTATTACTAGTTAGATAGTGTGTGTGTTGTGTAACGGAGGCAGAAAGGCAGAAAGGCTGGCAGGCAGCAACAGCAGCAGCAAACAACTTTATTAGGTAAAAAGTGGTTGATTACACATTTCTACAAAATTAATAATCTTTGGTGGTGGTGGGGGTTGCACAACTAATAAGATTGTTGGGCTTTTTTTTTTTTTTTTTTTTTTTTTTTAAATAAAGAGGGGCCAAGTGTGAATGTTTGTATATATATGATTGATACACCAAAAAAAAAAAAAATGAAATACAATTTCTCTCTCTCTCTCTCCCCCCCCCCCCCACCTCGTTCTTTTTACGGGTGAACGGGAAGTTTCCTAAAGATTTATATAGATAGATGATTAAAAAAAATGAAAAATAGAAAAATAGAAATAAATAAAAGCAATTGACAAAGTATTTTTGTTTATATATGGGGAAACTTGGATTATCATGATTATAGAAAATAATTATGTCCATAGACTAAAATTGTTTATAACTTTGTTTGCGAGTACAACGAGAAATCTTGTTTTGTTTGTTTGTTTGGCTTAAAGTTTCATATTTACTATTCTATTAATCATGTCGCATTATTCTTATATATATAAATATATATACGTTGTTAATTTACAGATTGATTGCTTGAAACGTATTTGGTCGTAAAGTAAAGTATTTTTTTTTTTAAAGAAATGTACACATCACATTTTTGAGATTTTCCATTACTTTGATTCGACTGAAAAAAAAAAAAATTAAAAAATAAAATCAAATCATTTTGAAATTTTTATATTTATTTTTTTTTAAAAAAAGAAAAGTTTTTCCGGAAAAAATATGAAAAGTGCGGAGAAATAGAAAAAAAAAAAAAAAAAAAAAAAAAAAAAACGAATTTGGAATTTGAAATAGTTGATTATGAAAAAAAGATAAAGACGTTTATGGAAAAAAAATAAAAATTTTGCAAAGTGTGTCGTCACAAGAGCAAACATTACTTAAACATTTCATGTCAAATACATTTTATGTAAACGATTCGTTTTTTTTTTTTTTTAAAAAAAAAAGTAAAGTAAAGTAAAGTAAAGTAAAGTAAAACTTCCCAATTCCCTGGAAAAGTCTCATTTTTAAACATTTTTTATTTTGTTCCCTTCTTTCTCTCTTTCTCTATTTTTTTTTTTAGTCTATTTATTAACGTAGATATTTTATTTTTTTTTTTTTTTGATGGGTTAAACCTATTTATCATTGCCAACAACCATCAATAACCGAAATAAAGAAAGAAACTTGTTAAAAGAGAGGGGTAGGGAAGTAAAAGTTATAATCAGGTAGGTAAGTTACTTAAATTACATGATGATGGTGAACAAAAATCCATAAAAAGTTTTTTTTTCACAACAATTGAAGATAAAAAAAAAAATATTGAAACTTGAGGGTTCTGGAAAAACTTTGAAAGAAAGTTGGATTTTAGATTTTAGATTTTAGATAAAGTGCGATTGCCAAGGAAATGACGGATGTCAAGGATTATTTTGGTAGAAATAAATTTTCTTGTAATGACGGAGGGGGAAAAAAAAAAATTAAATTATATCAAAATAATCCGTATAAATTGATTTATTTTTTTTCTTAATCAATGTTTTATATAATATATATATATATCTAGTAGTAAAATGATATATTGAAGTCAATTTTTAAGTAACCATCGGCCAACAATAAAAGAAGGCCGTGGCTGGAGGACGACGATGATGTTGGAGATAAAAAAAAAAAAATTGCCGGAGAAGGTGGAGAAATTCCAGGAATTGCTTATGTAACAGACAAGACATAAAAGTTAAGTAAAATAAAATAATTAAATTAATTAAATTAATTAAATTAATTAAATTAAAATAAAATAAAAATAAAATAAAAATAAAATAAAATATGTATCATACAGTAGTAGCAATTAATTATTGGATTGGAGGATTTCAAGTGAAGAAGAAAATAAATAAATAAAAATTTGGCAATGCAGGTGATCTCAAAAGTCCAAATAGAAAGAAAAAAAATAAAATAAAATAAAGAGAGAAAGTAAATTAATAAAGCTTATCAGCAAATCAAAACCCAGAATTGGGACATTTAAAAGTATTAAAAAAAAATAATGTGTGTGAGTGTGTGTATATATTCTGTATAGCGTGCATAAAAAAGAACAAAAAGTAAAAGTCAATTGATTGATTTACTGATTTACTGATTGATTTACTGATTGATTTAAAAGGTTCTATTGCCCACAGAAATTCCTTGGGGGTTTTGATAGACGCAAAGAAGAAGAATTGTAATAAATACGAATTAAATATAAAATAAAATAAATAAATAAAAAAAGGGTATTATAATAAATATGAGAATTTTGTGGTCTTATATTATTATTATTATTATAATTATAATTATAATTATAAAACAGATTAAGTCTAAAGCATAAGAACACAAGTAAGTCTGTGTATGTGTGTGCAAGATTCCAATCAATTCAATGGCTAGAATATAAACAGTAGTAGTAGTAGTAGTAGTAGTAGTAGTATTAGTAACGACAAGACAATCAATGATTTCCATAAAAAAAATCATTCAATTATTTAAATCATTATAATTAAAGAAACAATTGAAAATCTATAATATAAGCATGTGTGATTTAATGGGCGTAACCAAAATAAAATAATGGAAATTAATTGAAATCAATTGAAAAGAATCTTGATATTAATTATAGCTATAGTCTTAACTATCATGGTATTTGGAAATAAAAAAAAATTTCTATCTATTAGATAAAAAAAAATTAAAAAAAAAAAAAGGGATATCAAAAAATATATACAGTGGTCATTATAATAATAATAATAATTAATAAATTAAAATATCGTCTGTGCCTTTTTCTTTTTCTTCTTCTTCGTCTTGTCGTTCAAACTTTTCGGTCCACTCAATCGTAATTTTGTCTACCATCACCTTTATTTTTTTATTTTTATTTTTATTTTTATTTTTATTTTTTTCTTTTTTTTTTAATTTCTCTGCCATTACTGCTACTGCTGCTATCTCCCACCCACCAAGCCTCTCCGGGACCTTCTATCAGCCCGCTCTTCCCCTCTCTTTCGTTGTCTCGTTTTTTCACAAAAAAAAAAAAAAAAAAAGTATAAATAACTGGTCAATTCCCTCTATCCATTTCTCTTTTTTTTTTTTTTTTTTCTTTTCTTTTCTCCATCCTTTTCTTTATCTTTATCTTTTTTTATATATTCCCCCCCCCCTTCCCTTATCAAAAAAAAAAACACATACAATGGTTGAAATTCCCAAGACCCAAAAGGCTGTTGTCTTTGAGACTAACGGTGGCCCCCTCATCTACAAAGACATTCCTGTTCCTACCCCTGCTTCTGATGAAATTCTCGTCAATGTCAAATACTCTGGTGTCTGCCACACCGATCTTCACGCATGGAAGGGTGACTGGCCCCTTCCCACTAAGCTTCCTCTGGTCGGTGGCCACGAGGGTGCCGGTGTCGTTGTAGGCAAGGGTGAGAACGTCACCAACTTTGAGATTGGCGATTACGCTGGTATCAAGTGGCTCAATGGTTCATGCTTGGGCTGTGAGTTCTGCTTGAAGTCTGCTGAATCTAACTGCCCTGATGCTATTCTTTCCGGTTACACTCACGATGGTTCTTTCCAACAATATGCCACCGCTAAGGCTGTCCACGCCGCTAAGATCCCTCAGGGTACTGATCTCGCCCAGATTGCACCCATTCTCTGCGCCGGTATTACTGTTTACAAGGCTCTGAAGACCTCTGAGGCACAGCCAGGCAACTGGGTTGCCATCACTGGTGCCGGTGGCGGTCTCGGTACTCTTGCTATTCAATACGCCAAGGCCATGGGTTTCCGGGTCATTGGTATTGATACTGGTGATGCCAAGGCCGAGGCTTGCAAGGAGCTCGGCGCCGAAGCCTTTATCGACTTTGCCACCTCCAAGGACCTGGTCAAGGATGTGGTTGCTGCCACTCACGGCGGCCCCCACGCCGTGATCCACGTCGCTGTTTCCGAGAAGGCCATTGGTGTTTCCACCGAATACGTCCGTGCCACTGGTGTCATTGTCCTTGTTGGTCTGCCCGCTGGTGCTTACGCCAAGTCTGAGGTCTTTTCTCACGTTGTCAAGTCTATTTCCATTAAGGGTTCTTATGTGGGTAACAGAGCTGATACTGCTGAGGCTCTTGACTTCTTTGACCGTGGCCTCATTACCTGCCCCATTAAGATTGTAGGACTTTCCGAGCTTCCTGAGGTCTACGAGCTTATGGAGAAGGGCCAGATTGTTGGTCGCTATGTCCTTGACAACTCTAAATAGATTTAAGGGGTGTTTTTTGTTTTTTTATATATATGTTACGAATTTAAATGATTATTTTTTTTTTTTTTTGGGAATTTCTTGTTTTTAAAAGTGTACTGTTTCTATTAAATCATGCCTTATTTTTTTTTTTTGTTCTTTGTTTCCCCAAAGAGAGCGGGTATTTTATTTTTATAGCATCAATGTCGACACTAAAAAAAATAATAATAATAATAATAAAATAAAATAAAAATAATTATATTTATTTTTATAATTAATTAAAAAAAAAAAGCTCATATATATATAAGAAAAAAAAAACACTATGATTATTAGAGATTGCCGAAGAAAGCCGGAATCTCCGAAACGGAAGGTTATTCCCACTGCATGGTGTCAATACAGTCAAACAGACAGACAGATAATTATAGGTATATAATAATAATGCCCGAGGAGATAATCAATTGATAAACAGGTGGTTCGATTTTTGTTGTTGTTGTTAGAAAGATGGTTATATAACAAGTTATAATTATCATGGGTGTGTGTGTATATATATATATATATATATATATATATATATGTGGGGAGGGATGGAAAGAGAATCCCACGATAGTTTGAACCATTCAATATTTTTATTTTATTTTATTTTATTTTATTTTTAATTTGATTTATTTTTTTTTATGTGCCATTGAGGTATTTACAAGTGTTTCACAAGAGAAAATTCTCCTAATATTTGCCTTCTGCTAATGCGACATCAACGACTGTATTCAGATTGCAAAGACCATCCCAAAAATTAAATTAAAAATTAAAAATTAAAAATTAAAAATTAAATAAAAATAAAAATAAAAATAAATGCTATGGGCTTATCCGGAGACACCTGCCCGGGCCTTGGATATTTTTTTTTTTCTTTCTTGCACTGCCAAAGTGGCCGGATAACAATGGGCAGATTATTTTTATTATTATTTATTTATTATTATTTATTTATTGTTTTTTTTTTGTAGTATATATCTTCAATTAATAAAAGAAATAAAAAAAAAAATAAAATTCTGGTGAGAGAGTGAGTGTCTTGAATACACTTGATATACTTGATATACTTTGTCATTGGTATTAGAAAAGTATTTTATTTTATTTTATTCAATCAATTGAGTAATTGTATCAAAAAAAAAATAAAAAAAGCCACGGACAAAAATAAAAAAATAAAAAAAATTCCATCACACAATCGCCAAACAGACAAATCTCAAGCGGATGATTTCTTCGGGTATTGTGCGGCTCATAATATAGCCTATTACAATTATATGCGGCTCTCACTAAAGGGGTATTTTATATAAAGTCTCTTCATATAAACCTTTCTCTTGCCCATTAAAATCCCATCCTGCCTCCCTCCCCCCACCACCACCCATATATTCAAAAAAAAAAAATTCAAAAAATATATTTCATTTCTTTTACATCATAAATTCATTATATATATATATAAACTTTTTTTTAAAGTTTACTTGGATGTGTCAAGGACATAACGGCCAACAATCTGGCCCTTCTCCATGAGCTCATAAACCTTCTCAAGTTCAGACAAACCAACAACCTTAATAGGGCAGTGGACAAGACCACGAGTGAAAAAGTCAATGGCCTCAGCAGTATCAGCTCTGTTACCAACATAAGAACCCTTGATAGAAATGGTCTTAATGACGTGGGAGAAGACTTCAGACTTAACATAAGCATTGGCGGGGAGACCGACAAGGACAATGACACCGGTAGGTCTAACGTACTCAGTAGAAACACCGAGAGCCTTCTCGGAAACAGCGACGTGGATAACAGCGTGAGGACCACCATTGGTAATCTCAACAATGTCCTTGACAAGGTCCTTGGAAGTAGCAAAGTCAACGAAAGCTTCACCACCAAGTTCCTTAACAGCCTTGGCCTTAGCATCACCAGAGTCAATACCAATCACACGGAAACCCATGGCCTTGGCATACTGGACAGCAAGAGTACCGAGACCGCCACCGGCACCAGTGATGGCAACCCAGTTACCAGGCTTAGCCTCAGAGGTCTTCAGAGCCTTATAGACAGTGATACCGGCGCAGAGAATAGGAGAAATCTCAGCAAGATCGGTACCCTGAGGAATCTTAGCGGCGTGGACAGCCTTAGCGGTGGCATATTGTTGGAAAGAACCATCGTGAGTGTAACCGGAAAGAATAGCATCAGGGCAGTTAGATTCAGCAGACTTCAAGCAGAACTCACAGCCCAAGCATGAACCATTGAGCCACTTGACACCAGCGTAATCGCCAATCTCAAAGTTGGTGACGTTCTCACCCTTGGCGACAACAACACCAGCACCCTCGTGGCCACCGACCAGAGGAAGCTTAGTAGGGAGAGGCCAGTCACCCTTCCATGCGTGAAGATCAGTGTGGCAGACACCAGAATACTTGATGTTGACGAGAATTTCATCAGAAGCAGGGGTAGGAACAGGAATGTCCTTGTAGAGGAGGGGGCCACCGTTAGTCTCAAAGACGACGGCTTTTTGGGTCTTGGGAATTGGGGACATGATTGATATTCGTTAAAGTTGTTGTTTTTTTTAATTGGGAGTTTTTAAAAAAAAGGTCGTTAGCAAGTTTAAAAAAAAAAAAAGAAGTAGTCGTAAAAAGATATATAGAAGAAAAGGATGAGGAAAGAAAAGAGAAAAAAAAAATTCAATTGACTTGAGAAATTCTTGTCTTTTTATACTTTTTTTTTTTTAAAAATTTCTCAATTGTACTTTATTTATTTAGAGGGGAAGCTGGAAATTTGAATATATTGACATGATTTTTTATTTATTATTATTATTATTGAGTGGGGAAAGTAAAAAAAAAAAAAAAAATAATAATAAAATAATATTAATTAATTGAAATAGTCCCCGCCCCTCCAGCCACACACTCACACACACATACAGGTTAGGTGGAAAATCTGGGGTAACCAAGCATTTTTAGCATTTTTAGCCCTACCCTGTTGTTTGATTTTTTTTTCGTTTGTTAGTTTGTCACCACCACCACCATCTTTTTTTTTTTTCATGTCTGATGTTTCCCCACACCATTCACAAGTGGAGAGAAAGAGAGGGAGAGAGAGAAAGAATGAAAAAAATGAAAAAAAGCAAGTTCGAAAGAAGAAGAAGAAGAAGTAGATTGACTTGCTGGAGATGGTGATGGATTGAGAGGAGAACAAGTTAGATAATAATAATAATAATAATAATTAGAAGAAAAAAAGGAAAAAAGGAAAAAAGGAAATCTCCAGGACATAAAGATTTTAATTCATGATATTTCCATATCTTTTTTATCAATTGTTTTAAAACATCTTAAGATGAAAAAATGTATTTTACTTTTTCTTCTTTTTTTTTTTTAATATTCTTATTTCCATTCTTCCCAGTTCTTCCCTTTTTTTTTTCCACCATTGAATCTCATACAATTCTTTTTATTTGTATATCAATCTGTTTTTGATTAAAGTCTATCTTAGATAGAAATATGTATATATATTCTGGGATTTTTTTTTTTTTTTTTTTGTTTCCTATCTTGGATTCCCGTTATTAGAGAGAAAGAAAAAAAAAAAAAAAAAAACGAAACTTTGATTATTATCCAGAGTTTACCCGTCATTTCTCCAAAACTGGAAAGAGCGACTCTCAAAATACTGAATATAATATTATAATAAAATTAAAATAATAAAAAATAAAAATAAAAATAAAAATAATACTAACAAATACGACCAAGTCTTTGCTTTAGTCGTTAACTTCTCTTTCTACACTTTGTGTTACAAGGTCTCCACCGTGTTAAAGAAAAGACTCTAGTCAGAAGACATAATCATTGTCTAATAGACATTATGATTAAAAAGATAATCATCGGAGATGAGGAAGTGATTAACTTCTTTACTTCTTTGTGTGTATGTGTGTGTTTTTTTTTTCTTTATAAAAGAATTAACCCTCTTTATTTATTTATTTATTTTTTTTTTTGCTTTTATACAAGTCTTTACATCTTGTTACATTTTGTGGATTTTTGTATTTTCCACAATAAAATGAAGTTGTATAACGTTATATTGTTGAAAAATAAATAAAAAAAATAAAAAAAATAAAAAAAAATAAAACCAATTCTTAATATAAAATCCCAAATATTTGAACTCATATATATATATATTTAGGTCCAGTTAAGTAAATCATAGTATTAAACTAAATGGGAGGGGAAAAGAAATTTAAAAAATAAAAAAGAAAAAGAAACGACTGATTTAAAAAAAAAAAAATAAAAAACAATAATAAACCAATACACTTAACACGGGAATTACAAAAAAAAAAAAAAAAAAAAAAACATATAATAAACTTTATCCTCCTCCCCCCCCCTAATTGACTTTGAAACTCTTTATCATTTTCTTCTTCTTGTTCAATTGGAAAAGTGCGGAGATTTAAGCGGAGGAATAGACGGGGTGAATTGATAGTACTATTGGTAGTAGTAGTAGTACTATTAGAGGAGAAAGAGAAAAAAAAAATAAAAAAATAAAAATAAAAATGTAGTCAACAAGCTTTTTAATACTAAAAGTTTAAGTATCAAAGTAGATTTATTTATATTTATTAGAGCATTTATTTTTTTTTTTTTGAGGGTTTGTTTTTGTTGGTTTGTTTTTTTTGTGTTTTTTTTTTGTATATTGAATGGAAACAACTAGTTTACACAAATTTTAAATTTAAAAAAAGATAAAAAAAAAAAAAAATAACCCAATTTAGAAATTCCGGAGTCTTTCTAAAGACGGTCCGAATGGCACTCTTAAACTTTTAATGAGAATCTGGAATATTAATAAAAGAACAGAGAAAGAGAAAGAAAGAGAAGAGAGAGAGAGTGTGTGTGTGTGTGGGGGGTGAGGATTAGAGAAAGGCATGAAAAAGAGCAAGATTTGGCGGGAATCGTATTTTAGACGGAGCCCATTGAGAAGTAGTCCGTATATTTATATATATAAGCCACGTATTAATAAAAAAAAAATCATCATATAAATTAATTATAAGAATATAAAAAAAAAATTGGAGAAATAAATAAATAAAAAGATTTGGTTCATGAACCTATTTATTTTTGAAAAGAAAAAAAAAAAATTAAAATTAGTCAATTATTTTCAATATTTCAATATTTCAATATTTCAATATTTCAATATTTCACTAAAACAAAAATCTGTAATACACACAATTTTTATTTTTTTCTTTTTTATATTGTTGCACTGCTTAAGTCAAATAAAATCTTTTGCCGAGAAAAATAAAATAAAAATAAAAATGGTATTTTATATTTTATTTTATATTTTATTTTATATTTTATTTTATATTTTGTTTATTTTGTTTCCTTTTCTAAGTACTTTTTATTCTTTCGGGGAAAATTGTGAGCCACTGGAAAAACCCCTTGACTTAATCAGAACCCTTTCAGTGGCTGATTGAATTTTTTTTTTTTATTTTTATTTATTTTATTTTATTTTATTTTATTTTCCATCCCCCGGAAAAACTAAATTTGATTATACTTACGACTGAAAGATTTTTTTTTTTTCAATCTTAATGGTTATATATATATATATATATACACTGATTATGGTAAAGTGTACCTGAAAGATTTTCTTTAATTTTAAAAACTAGGCTTTTTTTTTTTTTCTTTTTGTTATCAATGGACCCCTTTTTGATTAATATATATAATAATAAATATTTCTTGAAACAATAGCTCATATACCTTGCTGGGTTATTCTTATACTTCTTCTTATTCTTATTCTTTTTCTTCTTCTTCTTGTTCTGTGTTAAAGAACAATGGAACGGTTTCATAATAATTCTCAACGTTCTTAAAAAAATACAAGTTCCAATCAATTGGCTTTTTTTATTTTTTAATTTTTTTTTTTTGTCCTTTCCCTCCTTTCTTTTCTTATTTCTCTTTCCTTTTTTTTTTATCTTTTATATTGTTGTTATTCCGTTATTTGCATGAATGTAGAACCGTATAGGTTGTGATGAGATGGATATATATGTCTCTTCAAGGTACTTTTTTTTTTTTGATTTTTTTTATTAATGAGGTTAATTATAAGTTTTATAATAATAATGATAATATTATTATTATTATTTATTCCAAAGAACCTTGAAGTTTATCAAAACCCTGTAAGGTCTTTTTAAACAAAAAAAAAAATATATATATATATAAGACGATGAATTTTCCCTTTTAAAAAAAAAAAAAATTTCAAATTTGTCTTGGTGAAACGTTTTTTTCTTGTATTTGTGCCCATGGTTTATTGATTGCAGCATCATCATCATCATCATCATCATCATCATCATGTATGTGTGTGTACATACAAAAAATACAAAAATACTTTTTTATTTTTTTTTTATTTTTATTTCACTAAACGCCAACACTACATGGAGAGAATAGTGGGCGGTACTCGGTACCCGGTGCACGGCACACGGCTTTTATTTTCCTAGACATACACACACACACTTATATATATTATGAAGATATTATATCAGCACTCCACATAACCATATGCATTAAATACGACGCCGGCTGGTGAAAGCGATGAGGGAACAAATATGACTAAGAAATGACTAACAATACAAGGCATTTTGTTTTTTTTTTGTCTAGAAATGCCTTGGTGATTTTAAAGGGGGGGGAGTTCTGTGAGAGAAAAAGAAATGAAAAAAAAAGGGAGGGGGAGTGGGTGGATTTGAAAATTGCACTGACAAGTTTATGGACCAAAGAAGAAGTTCCTTTTTTTTTTTTTTTTTTTCAATGCAAAAAGAAAAAAATCAAAGAATCATTAAGTCTTTCTAAAATGGAGGGTTTTTTTTTTTTTTATTTTTAATTTTTAATTTTTATTTTTAAAAGAAGAGGAGTTTTTCCCAATGTTCAATTTTTAATAAAAAAAAAAAAAAAATTTTAAAATTTAAAATATATAAAGTGCATTTTGAGTGTCTCCGCATTATTATTATTATTATTATTATTATTATTATTATTATTATTATTATTATTATTATCAATAATTATTGATGATAGTTGAAATAGTTGATGTAGTTGATAACGGAGAAGTGGAAAATTACATAATAGTCATAAATTAGGTAATAATGAAGATATTATGTAATTTAGAAGTAAGAAGAGGGGGATTTGGGGGGGGAGGAGGGAGGGGGAGAGAGAAAGAGAGAAAGAGAGAAAGAGAGAAAACCATTACTTACACACACAAACACAAAGGGAACGGCTGAATAAACAAAAAATAAATTACCAAAGTGAGAGAGAGAAAGAGAGAGGGGCTTAAAAAAAAAAATAAATAAAAAAATAAAGATTTAACATATCATATATATATATATGGACATGACAAATAGCTTTCATAAAAATAAATATATACAATTGTATTAATTTAAATTGATATAATTGTTGATAAATGACAAATTTTTTTTTAAAAATAAAAAAAAAAAAACTTGAAATAAAAGAAAAAAACGTAAATCTTTTAAAGAAACAATTGCAATTGAAAAAAAAATATATATCAATTAAAACTAAAAATTAAATTGAAATTGAAATTGAAATTGAAATTGAAATTGAAATTGAAATTGAAATTGAAATATAAAAGTCTTTATTTTTTTTTTTTTTAATTTAAAAAGAATATATATTTGATTCAAATATTAAAAAGATCAAACTTCAACTATATTTAAAATCCCCAAAAAAAAAAAAAAAAAAAAAAAAAAAAAAAAAAAATTAAAAATATAATGAGAAAAAAAATACCGGATAATGATATCCCTTTGAACATTTTATTTTTTTAAATATAAATATAAAAAAAAAAAAAAAAAAATTAATGGAACAATTCAAAAAAAAAAAAAAGTTTAATTTGTGCAAGCGAGGGGTTTGATGGTCTCTGTTCTAATTATTAATAAATAAATTAAATAAATTAAATAAATTAAATAATAAATTAAAAAAAAAATAATCCTTTTTTTTTTTTTTTTTATTATTGTCAAAGGAACAACCCGTGGGGAGTGAAAAAAAAGAAAAAAAGAAAGAAAAAAATAAGACTGACAAACAAAGTATGGGGTAATTATTATTATTATAATAATAATAATAATAATAATAATAATAATAATAATAATAATAATAATAATAATAATAATAATAATAATAATAATAATAATAATAACAAATTACAACAACAAATTACAACAGCTAAAGATAAAAAAAAACAAAAAAAAATTAAAAAATGGAAAAATATGGGGTAATAATAATAATAATAATAATAATAATAATAAAAACACGGGCAAAAAAAAAAAAAAAAAAAAAAAATAAAAATTCAAATTTTGGTCTTTAAAAAAATTTATGAATAATAATAATAATAATAATATTTTTCAAAAAAAAAAAAAAAAGGACTAATGGATCAATTCTAATGAATTTTTAAATAATTATTTAATTATAATTGTTCAAAAATCAAAATAAAAATAAAAATAAAATCTTTCTAAATCTCTTCTACTGTTTCTTCTGCTGCTGCTGCTTGTACGGACAAAATTTCAAGTTCACCACACCCCCTCACGGAAGACAAAAAAAAAGAAAGAAAGAAAGAAAAAAAGAAAGAAAAAAAAGATTACCAGCCAAAATTTTTCTGTTTTTGGTCCCACAAAAAAAAAAAAAAAAAAAAAAAAAAAAAAATTAATCCATAGTATTGACAACTAACTATACAACAACACCTACAAAACTTTGGACAAAAATATAATTCAACATCCAGATTAAAAAAGATTTCTTTTTATAAAAAAAAAAAAAAAAAAAGTATAAATAGAAGATGATTTCTCAAGTCAATTGATTCTTTTTTTTTTTTCTTTCTCTTTTTCTTTCTTTATCCTTTTCTTCTATATATCTTCTTACGACTACTTCTTCTTTTTTTTTTTTTTCTTTTTTCTCTTTTAACGACTTTTTATTTTTTTTCTCCCTTTAAATCAACCCTCAATTACTCCAATTCTAAATCATGTCTCCCATTCCCAAGACCCAAAAGGCTGTCGTCTTTGAGACTAACGGTGGTCCCCTCCTCTACAAGGACATTCCTGTTCCTACCCCTGCTTCTGATGAAATTCTCGTCAACATCAAGTACTCTGGTGTCTGCCACACTGATCTTCACGCATGGAAGGGTGACTGGCCTCTCCCTACTAAGCTTCCTCTGGTCGGTGGCCACGAGGGTGCCGGTGTTGTTGTCGCCAAGGGTGAAAATGTCACCAACTTTGAGCTCGGTGATTACGCTGGTGTCAAGTGGCTCAATGGTTCATGCTTGGGCTGTGAGTTCTGCTTGAAGTCTGCTGAATCTAACTGCCCTGATGCTATTCTTTCCGGTTACACTCACGATGGTTCTTTCCAACAATATGCCACCGCTAAGGCTGTCCACGCCGCTAAGATTCCTCAGGGTACCGATCTTGCTGAGATTTCTCCTATTCTCTGCGCCGGTATCACTGTCTACAAGGCTCTGAAGACCTCTGAGGCTAAGCCTGGTAACTGGGTTGCCATCACTGGTGCCGGTGGCGGTCTCGGTACTCTTGCTGTCCAGTATGCCAAGGCCATGGGTTTCCGTGTGATTGGTATTGACTCTGGTGATGCTAAGGCCAAGGCTGTTAAGGATCTTGGTGGTGAAGCTTTCGTTGACTTTGCTACCACCAAGGACATTGTCAAGGATGTTGTCGCTGCTACCAACGGTGGTCCTCACGCTGTTATCCACGTCGCTGTTTCTGAGAAGGCAATTGGTGTTTCTACTGAGTACGTTAGACCTACCGGTGTCATTGTCCTTGTCGGTCTCCCCGCCAATGCTTATGTTAAGTCTGAAGTCTTCTCCCACGTCATTAAGACCATTTCTATCAAGGGTTCTTATGTTGGTAACAGAGCTGATACTGCTGAGGCCATTGACTTTTTCACTCGTGGTCTTGTCCACTGCCCTATTAAGGTTGTTGGTTTGTCTGAACTTGAGAAGGTTTATGAGCTCATGGAGAAGGGCCAGATTGTTGGCCGTTATGTCCTTGACACATCCAAGTAAACGGAAAATTATAGACTAAAAAAAAAAAAGAAAATAAAATATATAATGCCTTCATGTATGATTACGAAATGACGATTATTAAAAAAAAAAAAAAATCCATATAATTTTTCCATTTTGCTCGTATTTTTTCTTTATTAGATTTAGGATTCTTTCCAAAGTTGGTAAGTTTTCATAGTAAAAAAAAAAGAAAAGAAGTTTGATTAAAGTCCACCTTTTTTACTCAGTTACTCTAAAAAGGAGAGTTTTTTTTTTTTTTTTCTTATTACCAATAATTGAAATAAGGATTTCAATTAACTTTTCTCGAGTCTTAAAAGTATTTAATCTGCTTTGAAATCTGCAGACATAATATAATAATAATAATAATAATAATAATAATAATCTTTTAGCAACCGTGGATATTTCTTTCTTCTTCTCACACCCTTCCCCCCTCCTCCCCCCATTTCCAAATACTTCTTAACTCCGGGGAACCACAATTGTTCCATGTGCGTCTAAAAAAAAAAAAAAAAAAAAAAAAAAAATCGCGGGGTTGAGTTTTTCCTCGCTTCGGGGGGTGGAAAATTTCATTTGACTGACAGGTGTTGTCACCAAAGGTTAGGGCTTTTTTTTTTTTTTTTTTTTTTTCAAAGGGTAGTAGTAGTTAGTAGTAGTCACGAGATTATAGTAAATCTTAACTAAGAAATATATATATTTGCACTACCTTATATTCTTGTAATGACTTCTTTTTCTTATTCATTTTTTTATAAAAAAAATCTTAATCAACCCAAGTTTATTGAACTTTTTAAATCTATAAGAAACTAATCAATATAAAAACCAACTTATCAATTTCTTAACAATACAACGTATACTATTCAATTATTCATCTTCCAGTTCACAATACAACCAATATGCTATATATATACACATGAAAAAAAAAAAAAAAAATTGAACTCGGGCTTCGGTCTTAAAATGGGGGTTCTAATTATTCCATTTTGAATATCCTCCTATAATTACCCTTAAATACTTTATGTTAACCTTTTACGAATAAGTTTTTTTTTTTTTTTTTTTTTTTTTTTTAAGAAAAAACTCCTTACAAAAATCATATTCAAAGACTTTCTTCTCAACCAAACCTTAGAGAATTCAATTGCTAGAAATTCTTATACAGAGTCAATAAATTGTAAAACCTGTCTACATAAATTGTTATTCATATTTTTTTTTATCAATCAGCTGTATATATCTATCGCTTAAAAAATCAGATAGTTCCTGACTTCTTACAATTTATGGGTATTGTTGCAGATTCAGAGTCTATTTTTATTGTAGCATGTCATTGTTTCAATATACATCAAGAAGTCTAATCTATCCATCACTTGTTGTGTCAGTAATTTAACAAACATTGAAAATAGATTTTCTGGCACTTCTCATTGAAACCCTCTTGAACCCTCTTTCTAACAGGTTTGAAAAAAAAAAAAAAAACTACCTACAACTAAATATGTTAGGTAAAATGTGCATCCGAATCAGTAATATAATTATCCCTTTAGAAATACTCCATGTAGAATAGGATTCAAAATAATTATGCCAACAATCATAAGGATCTTGGTTTATCAAAAAAAAAAAAATTAAAAATTAAAAATTTACAACTTGTATATAATCGTCACAAAAACACCGTAACGACAACCTTACTCATTTTTTTTTAAAAAAATAAAAATAAAAATAAGTAAGAATCACCTTCACTCCTACTTTGGATATTTATTCATTCTTTCTTCTTTATAAGTTATTTCAAATAACACATATTCCAAGACCATACACAATCTCTTCACCAAGCTTTTAATGAATACTGACTACTCACCCGTTCCTTTGGGGAGGTCTGACTCCCGTCGGTCTTTCGAAGACTTGAACTCCATGACCGATTCTTTAACATTGCATTCCTTTTCTCTACACTCGGATTTATCTGTGTCAGATCCCGTCGGCGATACCGATTCAAATGACCTACAAGACTTGTTGCCAAGAAATGACCAAGCTTTTGGAAATAATATAGACCAACTAACTCAACCAGAATCACCATTTTTTAAAAATGCATCACTTATGTTTGGCCTTAACTCAAACTTTTTCCCAATCCTTGAAAGAAATACACTTGTGAATTATATCATTGACTTGGATAATTACATGATAGACTATGACAGAATTGGCTTTTGTTTTGAACCAGGTGAGCTTTTTATATTCTTTTATACTTTTCAGCTCTAATTTTTTTTTTTTTTTTTTTTTTTTTCCCCCAGAAATTGTCCCAATGACAACATGGAGTGGTGAAGATCTTATCAATGAAATACCCCGACTATCTATCTTTTTATCTGACTTTCGAAACTACTTTTTAGACAAAAACAGCCACCCTAATGGACAAGCTTTACTCTCTTCTGTCGCCAGCAAAGCGTTTCTTGAAAATGACCCAGATACCCGGCCTTTACAATGGCTAGTTACTCCAGAAGAATATCTGAAATTTTGCAATAGAATACGAGAGTTTATTTGTTTGATGGAATCTAAACAACCACTGGAAAATCTTATTGGACCTGTCCCGGATTTGACCAAAATCAATTGCTGCCCTAATGGCCATGTAGCTTACTGGGGGCCATATGCCAATGCATTAAGCTGCCCTGCTTGTGGCAAGGCAAAAGATAATGGTGCAATGTTTTTTAATGGCGTAATTTTAAAATTAACAAAGATGCTCATGGATAAGGATTCAGCTATCTTGCTACGTACGGGCCCTGGAGCAAGTCCTGATCCTGAAATCATTGATGACTTTGTTAAAGGTTCAAGTTTTGAAAGAAATTTCCCCAAAGATATTAATGGTGACGACGATTCAATCAACATTTTTTTAACTCTGAGTGTCCAGAATGATGATAACTTTCAAAATAATCCATACAGGTATACTATTGTCACTGCTCGGATTCTCAATCTTGCCCCGACAGAACGTAGTCTTTGTGAAAACGAGATTCAGGTATTGAATTTCCCAACACCTGACCCTGTAGACTACAAAGAACCTCAAGACAAGTACAACAAATTTGAAGAGGGAGAAAAAATACCTCCAGAATCTACTGATTCTTCAATCTTTTATTCAATAATTAACGAGTACTTTGAAAACCTAAGACGATACGGCTTTTTGGCTTGGGACGCTAGTAAGGGGGAAAAAGTGAGAGTTAAAGTTTTCCTTTTTGCAGTTTTCGGGAATGAACCTATGGTCAGAAGAATCTTTGGATGCAGCCAGGATACTTCCAAGCATTGTGTTTGCTGTGATAGAGATAAAGTTTATAGCTTGGTTAACAATGATTCTTTGGTCATTGCTGGAAGCCCAAGTTTTTACATTCCCTTGACATTTGAAGGACAATTCCCTCCGATAAACTTTTATAATAATGACTGGTATTCCCGGGACGTACTACCCAGAATTATAATACGTAAATCTGCAATAGCTTGCCATCCCTACATTGCTGGCCCAGAAAATATTCGATTGGGGTTCCGCACATACTTTGGATTTTGCACTAATTCTAGTTTGGATTTCCCCCTTTCTTTCCCATTTGATAGTATGGACACTTTTTACAAAAAACTTGTTTGTGATTTGATTTCAATATCATTATCTCCACATAGAGACCTTGATTATGAAAACCGTGACGAGTTTATTTTTAATCAAAAACAAAGAAAAAGATTGAAGGATATTCTAACGTCTCAAGAAGTTAGACTTATTGTAAATAGGTTATCTTCTTTTTCTACCAATGACAAGGAAACTTTTAATAGTCCTTCAAGTTGGGAAGAGTTGGTGAATGGCAAATACGATAACCTTACATTATGTCAATATCAGGCTCTTGCTTATTTATTCCCAATGCTTTCCCATCAGTTTTTTATTCACCGTATTGAAGATGGAACCTCTCCTGAGTTATTACAACTCTGGGATATATTTGCTGATTTTGGGTGTATTATTCGACTAATCACTGCTCATTCTTTCAAGAAATATTATCTCTCTCAGCTTGATATTTCGATTTCAAAGCTTGTTTTTGAATTTGAAACAATCTTGACTCATTCCGGGAGGGACAATATTCACCTTTGTACTCCAGTGGTTCATTCGCTTCTCCATACAGTTGATTATATCCGTAACTTGGGCCCACTTTACGGATTTGATTCTTCTAAACCAAAAAAACAGTATCAACCAAACAATAAAACTTATTTGACTATGGATAATAATGATGTCTTCACCTTGGTTCAAGCTGATAAGGATTTGAAGATTGCAGTATTGGAAAGTGTGTTGCCTCCTATTGCAGATCGGTTTATTACTGGAGGAAATGAGTTTCACATTTGGAACTATAACCATGTGACTGGTAATTTACCAGAAGCAAATACAAGTTCATTCCATGAATATAATAATAAATATGAGGAACAAATTTTGACAACTTTAAAAGAAGTTGCTCAAAAAAGAAATTTAACAATTTCCTGGAATGAATTTTCTTTTGAAGATCATACTGCCTACAATTACGTTAGATTTTCAATAGGCCAATACGTAACTGTACCTGAAGATATCGTTCGTGTTTGCTTCCCCCCAGAAAGCGATAATGGTAATGATTTTTACTTTTATGCTCAGTTCATGAAGGGCATTTCCTTTACTGTTTGGTGCATTGATACCCATGGTCAATCATATAAAGAGACAATCGACTTGGCGTTGATCAGACAATTAAGACATGATTCAGAAACAAGCACCCGAATCGAGTTCAAATCTGACTTGCCATACCATCGCCAGCTCTTTTCTTTTTTTGTCAAAAAGGGCGACGAATCAGACATATTTTGCGAGTCCATGGTTGTTCCCCTCACCAATCTTGCCAACCCTGTGACCACCATCAAACTCCCCTCTGCATCACCTTTGGAGTCCCGAAAATTTCTCAGCATACCACTTCCCCTTGGTGAATTATTTTCATCATCTGCGAATCGGGTACGCACAGCTTATGGCTTACCACAAAAGGCCTGGATTCGGCCCGACAAGCCGTGCTTATACTCAAAGAAGGGCGAATTCTGGTACCTGATAGATTTATATGTGTGTGGCCGATGCTACTTTTTAGACGGAATTCAAGAAGATGTGATGACAAGACCTCTGGATAAGGACGTTAACGCGGAACTTAAAAAGTCAGTTCCTGCTTTCATGCAGTGCGATGGTACTAAAGAAAAAAGATACAGAGCTGTTCATCCTCATGAGTTTTAATGACTTTTTTTTTATTCTCAAACAAGAGTTTTTATTTGTACAGTATTTCATGATGAAGATGTAATTATAATTTTAAAAATTATTCCAATTAAATCTACATTTTTTTTTTGAAAATGAAATGTCCCTATTATATCAACCAAAATGGACTGAAAAAAAATCTAGGTTATGACATTTAAATCACGTGACAAAATAAAACGCGTGAATAACGCGTTTATTTTTTCGCGTTGCTTTTGTTTACTTTTCATTTATTTTTAATTTTTTTTTTTTTCTTACTTCTTATTTTTTTTTTATCTTGTCTTTTAACAAACTTGCCATTTCTATTCAAAAGAAAGAAAGAAAAAAAAAAGGATCTAATAACATCAACTTATCATGAGCTCTTGGGACGACGAAGACGATATCTTCGACGGTGCTGATTTCTACAACACCCTCACTTCAACAAACTCTACGGCAAAGACCCGTAATCCTTTACCACCTCCACATGCTTCAAACAACCGGCAACAGCTACAACAACAATCGCGTGCAGCACCTTCACAGTTTAACAAAAATCCATCGTCTCTAGACCTGGATATATCTGGGCTGCCAATTCAAAACAATTCTTGGAACAATAATTCGACTTCCAGACCTGGATTCCGTTCAAATGCAAAACCATATTCCCGACCAAACACTACATCAGGAGAAACTGATACTACAGATGCAGATGCAGCAGCTATTGAACTTGGTATTGCAGACGAAATGCCTGTTGCTACAGGCCGCAAAGCTATAAATCGTGCAAAGCTTGATGAAGACCGACTGCTCGATCCAGTTTTGGGTATCCCATTTCTCCAGAAAAACGGAATTATTCCTTCGTTTCTTTCTCAAAAGCACACACCACCTTCTTCTCCACCTTTGAGTCCAGTTCCTTCATTTCTGGAGTCTGCACGTCCTCGGCCGCAATCTCAACAACAATCTCGCGTTCTTCGTGGCAAAGGCCATGAGCGTGGGGATCTTCACCGGCTTCTTCAGTTTTACCAACTTTGGGCTCACAAACTTTATCCTGTACGGTTTGACGACTTCATTGTGGGCGCTCTTCGTGTGGGAGACCGGCCGCGTATGAAGCGCATGCGTCGTGAGTGGCTTGATGAAGAGTACTCTGCGGTTGGTGCTGCTGCCAAACGTGTGCGAACAGATGAGTTAGATTCTTTGGACAAGTCGAAAACTACGTCTACAGAAAAGAATAGTGAAAGGGAGAAGGCCCAGGAACCTCAGGAGACTACTACGGCCAATGCTTCAAAAGAACCTAGAAGAAGAGTGGATATTGATTCCATGTTTGTTTCTGGGCCTGGTGCGGAAATTATAGATGAAGACGAAATAGACCCTGATGATTCTTTTGACGCCTATTTCCATGGGAGCAGGTCGATTGGCTCTACAACTTCCACTACTGCCACTAGTTTACCGGCAAGTGATAGTATACTAACCAAAGATCTTGAGAGTCGTCCGACATCATCTTCATCTTTACAAAAAGATTCTTCTCCACCGTTTGTTTTTGATATTGACGATGACGAGGATGAGGATCGTGTGGTTGTTACTAAAAAGCATAAGCCACGGCGAATTGACGACGATGACGATGACGAAGACGATGACGAAGACGAAAAGAAAGATGTTGGTGATAAGCCAGATGAACACTCTAATGATAACGACAAAGAAATTGAAGAAAATGATAAGCCCACTTCACCTGCTTCTAAAAATGACTCTGTGCCATTTGAAATCAGCGACACAGAGCCTGCAGATGATTTTGAGGAAAGTGCATTGGCAATGGCCGAAGATATGGGATTTTAAAAGTTGGTCTTTATATTTATAAAAATTTGTAATAATGCATAAATCTATCCCAGATACTCTACGAGCTCATCCATAATGTCCACCGTCTCTTTAGGGCTTGCGATCCATACGGTGCACGCGGCCATACGTGCCTTAAAGTCGTTTGCACCAACAGATGCAAACTGGTCGCCCACATGTAGCGCCTGATCACCTTCAATGGCGCCAAGATATCGGCGCAAACTCAAAACACCCAAGCGCTTGTCTCCAATATCAACCCAAACATCATGGCCTCCGTTGAAGGCGCTGAAGCTGACCCGACCTGCAACTGCTGTTGCTTCGAGTCTACGCTGTGCTGTCAGGACCACTTCTTCAAGCACTTCGCGGCAAATCACGTGCCCCTCACGAGGCACGAGCCCCACGCCGCGTTCCTTACGCACAATCAGAGTTGAGCTTTGGAGATTCATATGTGCACGAGAATGGCTCAACACACTCTGCGCAGTATCAAGAAGCTCACACATGTCGGATTCTTGCCATTTGGTAACTTCTGAAATAGTCCAATCGCGTGGAGAAATCCACTCGAGCTCGGCTTCTGAGCCTTTTAGGCGAAAAAGATAGTTGGACTCACCACCCATCACATATACATTGTTCTTTTGATCGGATGTCAAGTCTGTAGACTCCTGAATAGCATCCACAAGTCCCTTGAGACGAACAATGTAGTTTGCTCCTGACTTGTCTGGATATCCAGCCTATGATAATGGTTAGTGTTGCAAATATCGGAACTGAAATAAACATACAGCCGTTACAATTCCTACATAGAGGTTTCTAGAGAGTAGTTTAATGAGCCGTGCCACCACCGGGTCATCCTTTAATAAGGACATTCCGTCATCATACTTATGCCAGTTAGTTTAAATCATTTCGTTTTTTTTTCTTCTTAAAACTCACTAAAGTCACGTCTCCGTCAAAAGTTACTAGCTTAAGTGGATGTTCACCATCGGCAAGTGCCATTGCTTGGGCTGTGTTAAGAATCAATCGAATATCATTGAAACTGGGACTCACAAGGCGACGGGCGGAAATGGCCCGCTTCGGGTCTTGCTCTAGAAAAGCACGTTCAAGCGGCAGCTCTGTAAAAAAGGTGCCGATAGATGGAACTAGGCTTCGCAGTCTTGACAAATGAGGAAGACCTTGCCCGTCCATGTAAACTGACAAGTTAGATTAAGTTACTCAGTGTAGTCTCATTGGCATACTCTTATCTCGAATCAACTGCTCAACATCGCGAAAGATTTCAGCATAACGAGCCCTTGAAATTTCTACAGTTTTCATTTCATTGACTGTTGGTCCGGCATGAAGAACAAACGGGACCTGAACAAATTAGCCAAAAAAAAAAAGAAGAATTTTAGTTTGCAGCGCATCCAAACTTACAACCAACAGACCCTTGATCCATTCGATAAACTCATCACGACGATGAGTTTTCAAGGCATCTAAAAATGTTAGAAAAGCATCGGCTGGACATAAGTTTCAGTCTTACATTCGACGCGATATCTACATGAATTAGCAATGGAACCAGTCTATTGTTGATTGCCATACCTTGAAGTCATTGTAATAAATTTAAGCAACTGATAATAATGAGAAAAAAAAAGTAATTGGGAAATGTTGTGACAAGAAGAAGAAGAAAAAGATTTTGGCAATAACTTTTCAAGGTATTTATACATTTTGGAAAATGCGGAGAAGGCAAGACTCCACCTAACGTACATGAGGCATCGTCGTCATGGCATGGCTCTGCTTGAGTATGACTTACAACGACTTCTCCCCCCTCCTCCTCAGCTGATTCAAATTAAAAATCACCCATGCTCTTTATATTATTATTATTGTTATTCTTTTTTACTTCAAAAAAAAAAAAAGTGTGTGTGCAGTACTTATTTGCTCTCAAATGGTCGCACAAGGTCACCAAGCTCCTCGAGAGTCTGGGAAAGAGGCCGTCGGTGAACAACCTCCCAGAAACCCTGCTTGGGCTTTTCGGAAATGTCTGTGATACCACCTGCAATCTTCAAGGCATCCTCACGGCCATAACCAAGAATACCGCCGGACCATCCGTAGATACCGAGAGCACTACCCGTCAGCAGCGCAAAGCCAATAACCTTAGGAACAGACTTGACTAAAATAGAGTTAGAGTATTGTAAAGACAACTTTTAAATAAAAGGTAAATATAACATGTAAACTTACAAGTAGCACCAATAACAGCACCAGCCAGAGCACCACCGTTGGCAGTGTTCCAACCATCTTCCTTTTCTCTCAAGTTGGCAGAGATGGCCTCGCCAAATGTGAAAGCCGAACCACCGGCAGCTAGATAATCAAAAGGTTAATACATGGTTTCATTATCAATCGCGAATCAAGCGCGTTTTTATTTTGTCCTCTCAATTGTCAAACTTTTCTCTTTTAATTCTGATTTTCGAGAGAAAAAAAAAAGAAAAAAAAAAAACGTCAACGGGTATGTGTTTTCAACTTGTGCACGTACCGTAAAGGAAAACATGGTATCCAATCTTAGGATAAAGAAAACCGGAAGTCTTGGGGTTGCTAAGCGAGTTCTTGATGGCGGAAGCAACGAGACCAAAGCCGGCAGATACCGCAGCCGACTGAAGGGTCAGCTTCAGCGTATTTCTAGGGGTGTACTCGGGATATTCTCTGAGGGTGATAGTGGGGAATGTGTCGTTCAGTGTCATCTTGGGCGGTGTTGTCTCTCTATGGTTTGTGAGCTGGGAAGAGATTCTAATTTTTTATTTTTTATTTTTTATTTTTTTTTTGGGTTGGTTTTGGGTGGTTGGAAGGGGAAAAAAAAGAGTGCAAGAAGATAGGCAGCAGAGGGTGACCGAGCCAGCCAATCACCGCACCGCCGTTAGCAAAAGATCATCATTGCAATACGGGCTTTAACCCTAACCCACTGTAACAAATTTGTAACTAAGAAAACATCAATTTGGGCATTTCCATTGATTTCAAATGGAGATTTCTGTCATTCTTCTTAGAGTATTTTTAATTCAAATGGTTCAAATCAACTTTTAAAATTAAATTAAATTAAATTGATTTAAATAAATAACTATACAAAGAGATATATATCCCGAAAATAACTAATTACCCTATTTATTTCTAATGTGAATTTGTTGTTGGAATAACCGTATTTTGGTCAGAGCCTACAACATTTGTGCCTGAACCGTCATTAGACTCAATAACGCTTTCGGGTGCACCTGATAATGGTTCACCAACTACCCTGGATGCAAAGTGTGACTCTATCAACTCAGTACCCTCTCTAGGGGCTTCTATACCCATTTGACCGTAACTATTCGATGCTTCCGGATGCACTACTGGATGGACTGACGCCATTGAAATAAACTGCAGACCAGGCTGCAATTGATTCGGTGGTTGCTTTTGTGTGTGCTCCTGCGGCTCCACTGGAGCTTGTTGATTGCTTTCGCTCGCTGGAAGAAAATGATGATGATGACTCCACTGCTGTTCAAAAACCATTGGTTGGCTAACTGGAGGATTCATGGCGTACTGTTGGACCGCTCCAAAATGTGGCAGCCTTATTACAGTATGCTCAGTTGCTCCTGGTACCGGCAGTGCTTCAAGTTTAACTGCTTGTGACAAGTCAATAGATGCTCTACCAGACTCATTGCCTGTATTTGCTTGCGAAACCGAATAAACAGCCTGCCCGGCTGATACTGTTGTAACTGCGGCAATCCCCCCCGTGTTAGACCGGAAAATCGATGGATCTGATACCGGTGTTGCACTAGACGATGAAGCAGCCCCAGATGATGATGCCCCTGCATTTGTATCAATAGATAGAATCCCCATTCCCCCTGGAGAAATGTTTTGTGGGCTGGGCGCATGTTGCGGCACAAATGAAATACCAGGCGTTATAACTTGGTTTGGATACAATGGTTGCGGAACTATTGCCTGTGAATGAGCCGATGTAGACTGGGGATTAAACGCAGCTGGAGGTTGTAGTACTACCGGTTGAAGATTAACCCCTGTGGTGATTTGAGCTGGGGCAAAAAAGTATGGTTGTTGATAATGATGCTGCAGATGCTGTTGTTGCTGTTGCAAATGTTGTTGCTGTTGCAAATGTTGTTGCTGTTGCAAATGTTGTTGCTGTTGCAAATGTTGTTGCTGTTGCAAATGTTGTTGCTGTTGCAAATGTTGTTGCTGTTGCAAATGCTGTTGGTGCATAATGTTCTGCTGTTGTTGGTGCTGAAATTGTTGGTGCTGCTGCTGCTGCTGCTGCTGCATTTGAAAGTTTTGATCCTGAGTAGATGCTACATAAGAATAAACAGTCGCTGGCATTTGCTGAAGCAAGGGGTGAGCTTGATCATGCTCATTTTGAAAACGATATAACGCTGGTTGAGAGCTAGGATTCTCTTGAGGATAGGAAATCACTTGCGTAGGAAACTGAGCCTGATGATTTTGCTCAAAAAATGGTGCTGATACAGATGAAGCTAGATTTTGATGCTCCACCTCGTATAATGACTCCTGGTGTAGTTGTTGTTGTTGCTGCTGTTGCTGCTGCTGGCTAGAAGGACTCTGAACATTTTGTGATGGTACAGAAATATGAAGGTCTGGTGTAAACATTTCATTGATACGGCTCAAAATCTCGGCAGATCTTGGCACTTGAAACGCTGGTCTTTGTAGCAGTTTCATGAGAATGTTCAAAAATGTAAGCGCTTGATCCCGCTGGTCTGATTCAAAATTGTCTTGCTGTGTGAGTAGCTCAAAAAGATATCTTGCAGCAATAAACGGGGCATGCTCGTGCCAATGGTTTATCCGGAGCTCGCCAAAATTGTTAATGTAAACAATCAATACCCGAATGATTTCAAACACAGCAGAAAGTCCATTACCGATGTCTTCTGAATGATTGGAAGAAAGACATTTGGTGTCATCTACTGGCAAATTACGAAGAACGGAGTAAATCAATACAACACTTCCATAATATTGCAAGCAATTGGCAACGTTAGTGGGATTAACAATAGCTTCAGCTGATGGTGGAAACATGCCAGAAACTTTGAGTTCATCCGGGACACTAGTCCAAAAATTGACTAAAGCAGTTAATTGCTTTCTCACTTCCGCAGTAACCTCAACCGTTATACTCAATGGAGGAGGATCGTAAAACCCTGAGCCATGAGATACAAGCGGTTCCATTCCGGGACCAAAAATTAAAAAACGAATTTCGTGCATAATTTCTGTGATTTTGAGTCTAAGTTTTAGCGAAGCTGTTGCATTGCATAAAGAATCATTAGAAGAATGCTCATCACGTTTCGATATCGATTTTCCCTTGATGTCTGATTTAAAAGTTCCACTAGTAGTCCTCTTCAAAGAAGGACCAGCATTAGCGGTACCCTCATAATCATCAATACTGCTTATTTCATCTAATGAAATAGAGCTCCCACTTACTCCAGAAATACTCTTGCCTTTTCCTGTTTCCAAACAAGAAAAAATAAAATAACTTTTTGGAATGTCCTTGACAAGCTCGGAAAATAAAACCCTGTTACCTTTGGGTTCAATTAAAGGTCGCCAAAGATTATCGTCTCCACTGGTGTCAATGATATAACTGTCATAGGAATTAAGTGGCTTGGGAATGGAAGGAAGACGGTCCATGTAACAACTGATTGTCTGATCCCAAAGAAACAAAGCCCAACAGAGTCTACTACGAGCTTCAACAGATTCAATAGAAATTGAAGGATTTTGAACTTCAGGAGTAGCAAAAAGATCAAGATCATCAGCCATACGATATGCTATACCAGTGAATACCCAAACCTGAGTGAAATCGTTACGTCTTAAGGAACTAATAGCCATATTCAAAGCAGCTGTAACAGTCGCCAGAGTTGCTGGAAATAAAATTTCCTGCATAAGTAGTGAATGGGCATGTTGAATTATTATTTTTAAGAGACCGGACTCCTTACCATATAAAAGAGAAAAAGACTCAGAAATAATGCCCGCTAGTAATGCCAAAGAAAAGCAGTTGTTTGAATCATGAGGAAATGAAGAAGAGTAAGAGGCTGCGCTTTTGACAAATGATGAATGATGGATAGTGAGGTTTATAGGGTCTATCCAAGACCAATATACTTGTAAACACCTTTTTGCTGTGGATAAAGGAATATATCCAAAGTTGGTTTGTAAAATGGACTTTAATGCGTATTCTTCTAAGTCTATGGCCTTTTTTGCAACACTTTTTAAATAATCAATTCGATACTGTTCATTTGTTTTCAAAAAACTTGGAGCACTATTGAAAAGCTCTAAAAAGTCATCTGAATCTTTTTTACTTAATCCCTTTTGTATTCTTGAGTCTTGAGACTGCCCTGAACCTTGCTGACTCGTTGATGGAGATGGAACCATATCACTACTACTGGTGAAAGGATACTGGCGGTTTTCCCGTTTCATGTGTGTTTCTATGTTGTCAAAATCAATTGTAGATATGTTGCCAAAGTGTTCTTTAGCAAAGCTAAAATGACTTTGAATTGATGTTCCCCCAGAACCAAAAACTCCAATACCAGGTAAACTGAATAAACCCACATACTCCGTGAGATCTCTTACTAGCTTCTCAAGATGCCGAACGTAAGAAATTGAAGCAGGTTTATCATAAATACAATTGTAATCACCAAAACTTTTGCAGGTAGTGCATACTGGAAGAATACCGTCACATTTTGCCTACTTAATGTTAGTTTTTTATTTTTATGAAAATAAATCAATGTTTCAACAAACCTTTCTTTTCCTGCAATTTGAACAAGTTAAATGATGATATTTACGAGTTCGACGAAATTTTTCTACTTTGGACGGTTGTGCCGTTATCTCGGTAGACTTGAGCTGCTGTTTTTGGGGGTGTTGTTGTTGTTGTTGTTGTTGTTGCTGCTGCTGCTGTTGTTGTTGTTGTTGTGGATAGACTGGCTGTTGCTGGATTTGAAGTTGAAATTGTTGTTGTTGATATTGTGATTCTTCTGGGCCATTACTGGCACATATGTTTAATAATGGTGACTGAACTAATGGAATATTTGATACTTCTTGAGAGGGTTTGTTTTGTCCATCCGGAGAATGTCCGGGAGATTTGGAAGGTTGGGTATTAGACATTAAAGTGTAAGAGTAAAAATAGATGCAACAAAAACTTTTGACGCAGGGAAAAAACTAAGAGCTGGAGTTAAGAGAAAAAAACGTAAGCAACAGAATCTAATATCGAAAATATTTACCAAAAAAAATAATAGCCAGTAATGTCTTTTTAACAAAAAATTTTGAACTCACATTCTATATCAGGAATAGTCTTAGGAGCTTGCCTTTGACTAAATCAAAATCAAACTTATGCCCACTATAAATGTTCTATTAATGATGACTAAATATAATAAAAATTCCCGTTAATTTTTTTGAAAAGAAGATAAAAAGTAATGAACAATAAACAGATTTTATAATAATGAATAAAAAGAAATTGAAACTTACACGCCAGAGGCAATCTTTGTTGTTGCGCGCCGAGATGATTGTGTGATGAAACACACTGCTTTTTGATAACTTTCCGTCTTCTCTACTTTAAATGTCAGACCACAAAGTAATGTTTAAAAATAACTTTGATAATGTTAAATGTTATAGATCTAAAAGAGGTATCGTCGGTGTAGTAGATTTTTTAAAAAAATCAATTGGCATAGTGTGTGGTATCAGTATTTTGTAGATTGTAAAGTAATTGAGCAGGCAATTGAAAAAACAAAAAAAAAACAAAAAAAAAATTTTTTTAGATAAAAAAAAAGTGAAATATTTAAGAAACAAATGTTCTTAATAAAATAGTGAAAACCGAGAGATGCCAGAACTACTATTCACTAAAGAAAACTGTATTCTTAGTAAAATATTGTAAATGAAAAATCAAATTTTGACTAGCAAAAACCACCCAATGGTATTGCGTAAATTGCAGGTTTGTTTTTTGAAAGCAGTATGGATAACGTGAGATATCGGACTTTAAAAAAAAGCTGTTTAATGAACCAATTTATCAGAATGCAGTATTTAAATGATTTCTGCAGACAAACGACTTAAGAAAGAGATTGAGAAAAGAAGTTTTAAAATAAAAAGACACGGAATGAAATAATATAATTAGTAGAAAATTAGTGGGCAGTGGGACCAGACTTTAAATAAAAAAAAAAACTTTGACTGTTTTTAAAAAAAAATTATTAAAAACAAAAAATAAATTAACAACAACAATAATAATAATAATAAAAGGGTAAATCGTAACAAACGCAAAATGACAATAGACTTCTCAATCGTGTAAACTTATGAGTGTCAAACATAAGAAAAAGATAAATAAAAAGTTTTTATGTTGTTGATATAGAAAAGTGTAAGTCTGTATTATTAATTAGAAAGATTGAAAAAGATATGTAAGAATAAGCTCCCGGAATATACCACCATTGAAATGGGATATGTTTCACCCAGCTTAATGAAAAAAAAAGTAAAAAAAAAAAAAACTAAGTGATCAAATAATAAAAAAAGGTAGATAAAGTTGAGTTTCTGTCAAAGTTTTTTGTTTATCAAAAATTTTGGATAATTGAGAATAAAGTAAGAAGAAAAGAATGCCCAGGAGTAAGATTTGATTATAACTTTTAAAGAACCATTGTGCAGAAAATATATATTTTCTTTAATCTCACCCAGTCAGGGTACATGCTTGTGTTTATCTTTGATGAAAAATTAGGTATAACAGTAATGTTATAGAATGTAAAAGGGCTTAGAACAAGGCCAATTATCAACATGAGTATCATTTGGAGAAATAATTGATGGAGATGAGGAATTAAGTCCGCTTGTCACGCATTGAAATTTGTTAAATCCGTCGATTCCTTCTAACTAATTAGGAACATAAATGTTGCTAATGTATGGTGGATTTGAATTATTATATTGTAGTTTAATAGAATTATTTGCGAAAAGAAGCATTGTCACCAACCATACTGCTAACAAAGAAAATATCATAGAATAGAACTTACCATATGGAACACCCGTCACATAGATTTGTGGGTCGACTTATTTCCAAGTGTTAAAAAGTAAAGATTTCTTCTTGTTCTTTTTTTTTTTTTTTTTTTTTTCAAATCAAGATATATGTATATCTTTAAAGATCAATTTAGCTGCCAAATAAAAAAAGTAAAAAATCAAGCCTGTTAGCATTTAGGTACAAGAATTTAAAATTCAGGAATGATGCAACAATAAAAAAAAGGAAAGAGTCCAAGCACAAATGTACAAATACAAAAAAGAAAATATCATATCTGGGATTTTGAAAAATGTTTTCATCTTGTTTTCCTTCATAACCTCCTTCAAAAGAAGTCGGTAGTCGTGTATTAAAAAAGAATCCGAGATAGATATAGTCCGTTAGGAAATGGATGACAATGCTGGAACTGAAAATTCTTAGTATTGAGTTGAACCAATAAGCTGTTAAATCAAAAAAAAAAAAAAAAATTTAAATGCGATTAAAAATATGAGTGGCTCTAAATTTTTCTGGGGAAGGAAATTGTAGTGAGTCCGAAATGGATATTAATTTAGATTAACCCTCTCAAAAAAAATCCTCCCAACGGCAAACTAAATTGAGATATCTATCTAGCTAAAAAAATGAAGCGAACGTGTATTCGATTTTAGATAGGTTTGCTTTTATGGCATGGTGCAGCTTATCCGAAATTTGGCTAATAAAAAAATCTGGTACTCACTTTTTAAGGAAAATCTAGAAAATCTAGAAAATCTAGAAAAAAAGGATAAAAGTATCGAGTTTTCTAATGTCCACTGAAGTTTATAGAAAAAGTTTCCCCTAGAGTAATTACTCAAGAAAACAATCACTTCATATATGTTTTGAAGTGGTTGTTTTTTCATGAACACCATATTGCTATAATTATTTATATCTATATCTTAACAAAAGCCTTATGTTCCATATATTCATAATTTTTTTCAACCGACAGGTGCGGTTGTTTGTTTAATTAAGATGCATTATTCAAAAGCCTTTCAGCGGTCTCTTTATTTAAGGTTAGAGATGTATTACGTAGTGGCTCATCCTTTCCAAAAAAAAAAAAAAAAAAGAAATCAGGAGTAAATCAATAAAACTTGCCAGCTCGCATTAATCAGGGATTGTTCTCCATAAATTTCATAATTTAAAAGGGAAAAATACAAGTCTCTTTTGATACTTTTAATAGTTTATATTTAGTTCTTATAGCTTATAGTTGTATTTTGAGTAAATAGCGACATTTTAGTGCAGATCATCAATTTGAATTAATTTTTCTCACTCCACAGTTCCTTTTTAGACGGTGTTAAATTAATAAGTTCATTATTAATTGTTTGCATATCTTGACGTTTAATAGTATACTAAAAAAAATATGAACAAAAAACAAAAAAACTGAAGCATTTCACGGGTATCTAAGACGTGATTCACAAACCCTGTTTTTGTTCATACATATGCAGCCACCTCAAAAAAGGTTCGTATGATTTGTGTCTCATTCTTCGCTTTCCAGAAATACTAGACATTCTAATAACTATGGTTTTAAGAAATACCAAATAATTAAGAGAACCCAGATGATAAATTATTTGATTTTTTGTTTAAGAAAGTTGAAAATCTTTATTCTTTTGGTTTTTTATGGAAAAATATATATACGAATATGGCATTTTAATTTTTAAAGTTTTTTTTTATGATCCAAAATAAATAGTCTTATTTTAATGTTGATATATTTTATAATAAATTTCTTTCAAAACATTAGGTTGAAATTGTATAAAGGCGCTTAATTCTTGATCGGTCTTCCATGCGGGAAAAAAAATCTGTATGTTTTTAAAAAAAAAATGTGCTATTATCGTTAGCCCGTTTGTCTGAAATCTAATCACAAATGATCTAAAAAAAAAAGGGAGGTAGATGTCTCAAAGTTTTAGTTAATTTTTTTTTCTTCCGTCATTTTTGTGTTAAAATTTCAAAATGAATTTTAATTAAGACATAATATAAACTTAAAATTGTTGGATTTTCGGATAACATATTTGCATTAAAAAAAAAAACAAGAAGAACAACGGGTGTCAGCTGTCAACTTTCTCATGATGACATCCGCCAGTATATTTAAATGAACTTCACATAAATCCTGATACAGATGATGATAACAATGAAAAAGTAAATTGTTCATTTAGGTTTTTTTTTACGTCTGAAAATTTAGTTATTGTATAAGTGATATTTTAATTATTTAAAATCCAATTTGTTTGGTCTTTTACTTTAAAATGATAATAAAAAAAATAAGTCTCTATTTAAATTCAAATAAAAATATAGTTTGAAAAAAAAAAGTCATTTAGGTTTATTCTTAAATAATAAAGTGGCAGGCTGGTAATAATTGATAGTTTTGGCTGTATTTATTTTGACCATCGTGATAAATAGGGACAAAAAGGTTTTGATAAGTTCCAGAAGAAAACCCCTAAATATGGCAGTAACACGTAACTGTTTATGCTACCAACTTTTAAAATAATGTATTTGTTTGTGAAAGCAAAAATAGAAAGTTTTTTTAGACAGGATACATTTTATTTTTTTTTAAAAAATTACATAATAATGAATTCATTTAGATAGGCACAAATAAAAACAAACTGGGATTTTTTATTATTTAGGTGGGGTTATTTTGTTTAACTTAATTTTTTTTGAAACATTTTTTTGAATTATTTGGGCTTTTCAAGACTTTGCTCACAGTACTGAAAAAAATTGTTCTATGAAAGGCAAATGAAATGTCGATCCAGCATTTTTTAGTCAAGTAATGAAAACAATATCATTCAAGGCTGTTTTTACTCCGCAAAAAACCGAAATAGATTATAACAAGATATTTAATAGAAAATGCTCTATTTTTTTAGAAATCGTCTAAGCTTGGATGATAAAAATATTTCCGGTTAGATTAATTTCAGACTTCGCTACCAAATTATTTTTTATAAGTTTTTTATAAGTTTTTTAGTGAATAATAGAGATAAATATAAAAACTTTCAACCAGAATTCATTTATTTGTTGTCACTGTTTGAACTAAGGCTTGTAAATAATCGATTTTCTTTTATTTTTGTCCATTTCAATATTAAGATTAATGTTGTTTGTGACAAGGTTAAGCATAATAATGTTCATGTCA